AGAGAAAAGGTTTTTTTTTTTTTTTTTTTTTTTTTTTTTGTTTTTTTTTTTGCAGGATTTCCTAATCGGTTGGTCCAAAGTATCAGAGGTATCTTTAAGACATCGGTTCCTGAGACTACCGAGATATACAAATGACGTTGCCATGACTGGCATGCTACCAGGGGTACCTATAGTAGGCGGGGAATACTGCTCGTTCGAGGAAAGCACTGAATATAACTATGTTTACATTGGAATCATCGAGTCAAATGCTATTGAATGTCTAAGTAGCATTCAGAACGGATCTTGGTTTTATACATAATGTCGACGCATTACCCCGAACCCATTTACTGGGATTTGGCGGCCATGATACCTGCATTGAAGTCAATACCTGTTACCTGATATTACGAAAAGCGGGCAGAACACTTACGCTCAACATCAGAAACGCTCTGCTGGAGGATCTGCTGCAGAACCTTGGGGTTCTCAAGCTCCTTGTGGATCTTGCCGATGACGGTCTCGGCAAGCTCACGCTGCTGGCGCTGCTTAACCTGACCCTCGTAGCGCACCCACGAGTCAAGAACCTGCTTGGCCTCAGAAGCAAGGGCAGTGCGCTGCTCGAGCTCGTAAGCCTGAGCCTCAAGCTGAGCGGTTTCCTTTTTACGTAGTCAGCAATTGATTTCGACAACATATTCAATTCCTTCATTGTGTTACCTTGGAGACCGCAAAGAGCTGCTTGGTAACGTCAACAACACCGGAGAGCTGGTTGACATTGTCCATACGCTGCTTAACAGCGCTGGTGTGGTCGTTACGGGCAGCGTTCAGGATGTCCTTGTGCTTCTGAACCTGGCCCTCAGCCCACTCGCGGTAAGCGGGACCACCATACTTGCCAACGGCGGTGAAAACGCTGAGAAGACAGAAGGCAGCAACGGTTTCCTCGTTCAAGACGTAGAGCTCGTTGCTGATGGCGGAGATGGAGACACCGGCAGCGGCGGAAAGGATGGCAGTCTTGGAAACCAGGGAGTTGCCAGGAAGAGAGTCGAGGATCGACTGAGCTTTCTTCTTGGGGTCCTCAGGGACGTTGGAGGCCGAGCGGGTGGCCGCAATGTTGGCAGTGACGGCGAGGTTGCGCGTGGGCAGGGTCGGCCGCAGGCGGGCAGCACCTAAGGCGGGTCAGCGAGAGTGTTCAGGGGGTCTGGATTGTCGAAGAGGGCAAGTTGCAGCATACCCATGGCGGTCTTAGCGAATCGCGAAGCCATTGTAGCAGGTGGTTAGTCCTTGAGGAATTATGATGGGTGAACGGAACTGAGGAGACTGAGGTCGGGATTGCGGTTTGGGCGGTGCGGCCACACTATCCCGATGAGGTTTAGTGCGGTGCTCTCGGAAAAATTGCATAACCGAGCGATATCCAAAATTTCATGAGTGACAGAAGAAGTCGAGCTAGCAATTGAACACTAATTTACGGTCGAAGCTTCAATTTCAGCATCATGCCGGCCGCTACACATGCAGCCGTGAGCTCCAAGAAACGAAAGAGCGTCAAGGACGGTTCTTCCTCGTCCAAGCGCCGAGCAGTCGCAACCGATTCGAACGAAGATGCGACAATGTCGAAGATTACCGAACTAGAAATCCAAATTTCCGAATCGCGAAAGCACTACAACAATATCGCAACCTTGCTGTCGATGCTGGATGTCGGGAAAAATGCACAGAACCCGAATTTGCCCGTGGCAGTCTCCCTCTGCCGAGTCTTCAGCAGATTGATCGCGGCCGGAAGCCTGACAGAGTCGAGTCGGGCAGATGACAACGAGAAGCTTATTGTGGCGTGGTTGAAGGAGCGGTTCCAGGAATACCAGAAGGCGTTGGTGACTATTATGCGTGAGAGTGACGCTTCTGCTCAGGTACGTATATATCCTGTGTTGCGGGCATGTCGAACACTCGCTAATGGGAGTAGGTCACGGCATTGACACTGAGCATGAGACTTGTTGGCGAACAAGTGACACATATTCCCAGTGCAGACAGCTATGTTTGGTCTTCCGGTCTGTTCAAGAACGTTTTCGAGGCCGTCATCGAGGCGCCGGAGGGACAAGCACTGCAGACGGAGTTTACCGAAAAGTTCGTCAAGGCCTACGAAGACGTGAGATTCCATACATTCACAAGAATTTCGTACGTCAATGCCCTTATGTCAATATAAGCAAGCGCTAACAATTGATTCCAGCGAATATGCCTCCACAAAGCGAACAACCCAAACCCTCGAAACCCTCATTACCATCCTCTCAGCCAACGACTCAATCCCCGACCCCTCCCACACATTCGAAACCTTCCTCACAAAAACCAGCTCCTCCAACAAAAAACTCACCTCCGTCAGCTCCCACAAAAAACGCGCACAGGACGCCTGGCTCTCCGTTCTATCCAACAACCTCTCTCAGTCCCAACGCAAATCCCTCCTCCGCATGATGGTCCACCACATCGAGCCCTGGTTCACCCGCCCAGAACTCCTCATGGACTTCCTCACAGACTCGTACGATCTCGGCGGCGCAACTTCCCTCCTCGCCCTCTCGGGACTGTTCTACCTCATCCGTGAAAAGAATCTCGATTACCCGCAGTTCTATACGAAATTGTACTCGCTTCTTGATGCGGATTTGTTGCATTCGAAACATCGCTCGCGGTTCTTGAGGTTGTTGAATACATTTCTTAATTCTTCGCATCTTCCCGTCTCTCTCGTTGCAAGCTTCATTAAGCGTCTCGCGCGTCTCGCGCTGAACGCCCCGCCACCCGCTATCGTCGCTATCATACCCTGGATGTACAATCTCTTCAAAAACCACCCCACCACAACATTCATGATGCACCGCGCAATCCACGATGCAGAGTTCAAATCCGAGCTCGACGCAGAGGGCATGGATGACTCCTTCGACCCGGACGAGCCGGACCCGACCCGCACGGACGCCGTCGAGAGTAGCGTTTGGGAAGTCGTCACGCTGCAGACTCACTACCATCCCAATGTTGCTGCTATTGCGCAGATTATTTCGGAGCAGTTTACGAAGCAGGCGTATAATATGGAGGATTTCCTGGATTATACGTATCAGGGCATGTTGCAGGGAGAGTTGGGGACTGAGGATAGGCCGTTCAGGAGGGTGCCAGTTGTCGAGTATCACATTCCCAAGCGGATCTTTACGGATCGGGGGCTTGAGGAGGATGGTGGTATTGATACGGCGCCTGGGAGTCTAATGCGGAACCTGTGGGATTTTACATAATAGTTGTTTGTTTTGTATAGACCGTTTTGTTTTCAAGCCTGTGCTGAATTACTTTTGGAAATATTGAGACCAAAGCACTTGGATTCCCTATCTTGCAAACTTCTGAAAGAACTCCCAGCCATTCCCGTCGTCAACATGCAAGCGGTAACAAACTATCTAATGACCCAGTATTAACCCCAGGGGCTTAAGTTGCCCGTAACGAATGACAAAATCATAAAAACAAACGCCAAAATCACAATCAGACCCCTGGATGCCCATGTAACGACCCTACACCATTCCCCTGCTCCGTTGCCGTAGGACAATGTATCAAACCCTCGTCGACGTCGGTGCAAGTATGATACTGTTCCAACTGTTCCACCAGCTCTTGCCGACGCAATCCATCGTAGTGAATATGAAAAACTCGCATAACTCTTTCCTGGTGGTCACGATAGAACTGCGGAGACAGCGCTTGGTTGCAAAGCCCTCCCGGGGGCACCTCCAAACGAAACACTCGTTCCCGCTCCTCAGCAATCGGATCACCAGGATGGTACTCGCAGCGCTCATTCAACGCAAACACACCACGTTTCACATCCGTGAAGAAATCATCGCTAACGTGCATCGGAATGTCCTTGATGCTCTCACGCATCATGTCCAGTATATCTTGGGCTCTTTTCCGCCGACGTCGACAATAGAGCTTGACAACCGGGTCAAAAAGCTGGACGCTTCGCGAGATGTCCGTAGCGGACTGCGCCTGCATCACGTAGTTCACGCACCGCTGCGTGGCATGCTTGAGTTCCTGTGCAACAGCACGGAAGAGCTCGTCGATCAGACGGTAAGCGTATACCACGGGGTTTGCGACCTTACGGGCGAGTTCTAGCTGATAGACTCGTTCCCAGAAGGAGAGCCAGTTGTCGAAGCCGACGCGAGACTTGCGAAGGCGGGTCACCTCGAGACTGGAGATGACGGTGCGGCAGACCGTGAGGGTTTGAAGGACTCTGATTCGAGCTTCGTTGGTTGTCGACTCGTGGTCGATGTCGGCTAGCCTCGATGGTTCGGGGGGTCTGCCAGGTGGTTCTATGGTGCACGCGGCGCGGTAGAAGCGTGGGTATATAAGGTTGAACAGTGCTGGATGAGAGGAGTTTGTGGATTTGGAGGATGCGGTGGAGGGTTTCGAAGAGGGGATCGAAGACGAAGACATCTCCAGGTCAATGGTCGGATCGATGGGGTAACGACTGTAGAATGAGGGATAAGGATGGTATAGATCAGAGATCACGGTAAGCGAGGGAGTCCTTCTGAACGAATGATATTGCAGAGTATCGAGAGAGCAGTATAGGAATGGACTTGTGACCAAGGCGAAGAAGAGAAGAGAAGAGGAGGATGGAGGAAGGCAGTTGAGGTTCATATTTACTGGAACTTCGGTCTTCTCCGTGCTCTCCTTCTCATTGCGGAAGGCACGTTAGAGAAGAGAGCGCTCAAGCTGGTATAGGGAAAGTGTCGCCTCTACTCGCAGGGTTTCGCGACAGCGATAAGCTCTGAATAGGAAGGCACCGACAGCCTGGATCTGGGGAAGTGATGTATACTAGGCATCATCAAAATTTCCTCTTCGGGTAATACGTCATGACGCCCATTGGCATCAATTTGCGGTGGCCCAATGCGAATGCGACAGGGTAATTAATAGATATATATGACAAGCCACGCTTATTGATTTTCACTATCTTATCATCTCCCTATGTAGACGTGATGGTGCTGAAGAGGAATTGATTCGACGAGCTTCCGGACACGACAACACCGATATCCGATCCACGAACGCCCTGCACTATACAAGTCAAAAGATGTCAGTCCTTCTCGCATCCCGCAATAAATATCTAATAGTCTGTACACGCAACATTTCAACATTTCAGAGAATTACATGTTGAGCTCCGTACCGAGATGGATGCACCCTTGCATAAGGTGGCATGCATTGCTCGAGACAGGGCGGAACGAGAACAAGCACGCGAGAATCTTAATCAAGGGGCGTTGATCCGAAAAGTGCTGTCAGGTACTGATTTAGATTCTTTTAATGGCATGCAGTGCTACTGCGTTGCTGCTGTGCTCGCCCGGTGATACCGTCCTGCATGTCAAGTACAGTCTGCAGAGTTGCAGAGAAGGAGGGAAGTTAGGGGCGACATACAGTAAAAAACGCGATTTTGAGCAAATTGAATATGTTTACCAGATTGTTGATTGGTGATTGCTGATTGATAGATGGAACTGGTTCTTACAGGGGATGTTGAGGATCTCTACTCTGCATAGGGCACATGAAAATATTGGTAAATCACAAAGGTTCCCAGACTAAGCAGTCCATTCAATGTCTGCGGAGATCATGGTCCGAATACCCTTCTAGACCTGATAGTCGAAAATGTCTGGATAATGATATGTTCCAGTACGCATTCTTCGGACGGCGTTGTTGGCGTACCAACGACAACAAATGCTTCATGTCAGCAACCCGATATGCCGCCAGGAATGCGGCATCTAGAACCGTCGAAACTAATTGGACATTTTGAATTACTGCTCGTCGTCTGGAGAGACACTTGGCTGTCAATGTTACTTTATTTATTGATGGTTAACCTATTTATTCGCTAGATTTCGCCTTCGAGTCCATCATTCCTCATCAACTCTAAATCCCAAGATTCATACCATCATACCTCTGTCTGACATTCAAACCAAAGAAAAAAACATACCTTACCTTGAACTACTTTAAAAAGAAAGTGCCAATCAGGTAACGTTCCCTGTCACACCTACCTCGAAAAGTTCCTTAGCTGCGCTTGCTGTTTCTGTTGCTTTTGATCTAGGAAAGTACGCCCGGCTGCTCGGCCTCTTCCATCTAAAAAACGAGTCAACTGTCCCTTCGACACATTCGCTAGATACACTTCTCGCAGCAGTACGAACGTATCCTATTACCGGATAGCAGCCGTTATTATCGCATTTGCACCGCTATATACCTTTATCAACTTCATCAGTTTCGCCAGTACCGTCAAAATGCACTTCTCCAACACCGTTCTCGCTTTCGGAGCTTGCTTCTCCCAGTTAGCCGTCATGGTTCAGGGCTTCGCGTTCACTGAATGGCCTAAGGAGATCCACCCTGGACAGTCCACCATGGTGAAGTGGGACGGAGCATCGAGTGCGGTATGTGTCCATCCTTTCCCTGACAGCCCTGAAGACTGAAGAGTATCTGACCATGAGCCCTCCATGCAGCCTGTTACGATCGAGTTGTCTAGAGGCGAATCAACCAACCTGCACCGTGTCAAGACCATCACTGCCGAGGTTTCCGGTGACGCTGGCTCTTTCACCTGGGTTCCCAAGGACGATATCGAAGATGGTGACGACTACGCCCTGACCATCACACAGGGTGACGAGACCAACTACACCGGGCATCTGAAGGTCAGCCATGATGAGACGCACATCCCACTCGCCAAGGGCCCTAATCCCTCGAATGCTACGACCACCACGCTCTCTACGGCTCGTCCTACCCACACGAATGCCAAGTCGTTGTCCGATGATGCTCACGTTGTTTCCGGCAAGAGCACTGTGGGCCACGACGAGCAGACTGGCGCGGCTTCGTTTATCGGTGTGTCTGTTAACTTGGCACTGGGGGCTGTCGCCGCGCTTTTCTTCTTCACGACATAGAGGATATAATTGGGATTCGCGCGCACTTTGGATTGGTCGTATTTTGCATTTCTTGGGTCAACTGGATTGCTCCAAGCGGAAAAAGGAAATGTTCTCGTACGCGTTGATTTTGTTTTGATGGCTGGTGTACATATGGACCAGAGTCGCATATCTGTACTTTTATACGTGTTACGGTGTACGATGGGAGGGACCATGGTTTATATGTTTGTTTTTGGTCGTTTTTGCGCTTTTATCTGTTGTTCATGGTCATTTTCACGAATTGCATCCTGTCTTTCTTGCCAGTCATGGCTTTTACTACTGCTACTTTAATGGATCCATACAATACCAAGAGATGACATCTCCTTTATATTGCTCAGATGTGTCACATCTCCATGTGTAGCTCGCAAACTCTATCGTTTGTCAAGAACCCAATTGTGGGTAACCGAGTAGAGCCTCTGCTTGTATGATGCATCGCTTGACGCTGTCGCGAATATATATAGGGGCACCTCATGTAGGCGGCTCAGTACGGAGTACTCATAAGCGAATTAATTTTAAAAAAGGAGAAAAATGACAAATTGGAGTGAGAAACGAGAGATCATTTTTTAGCGTAGTCGAACAGTGTAGGTGCAAATCATGCAGCAGAGACAGTTCAGCCTCATTGTCTTCTCCCATCGTTGATAATTCTCTTCTGCGCGCATTCCCGGGTCGTTTATATATCCATTGTCTGTTTACATATTCACTGTTCCTTTGAGCTTTGATATATCTTCTGTCTGCAAGAAATATATCTCCTCAATTGCTCTCCATCTGACAGCGCACATCTCCATTGAGATATACAGAGTTAGTTGATCCTCTGCCTCCAATTCTCCCCTCGCGGCCATGAAGGATCATCAATTCATTAATTCTCCTACTGCTCTTGCCTGTCGCAGATCCAGTGCATACAGACAGTCTGCGCTATTACAGACGATTATTAGGACCCTTCAATCTAAGCATTGATCCACTTTCCTGGGTATGTCTGATTTCCTTATTTCCCCTGGGGGTTTGGCATGGGAGAGAAAAGAGAGCCAGCTACTGACGTTGGTGTTGGTGCTCTCTCTCTCTCTCTCTCTCTCTCTCCCTTACACCACCAGCATTATCGTCATTATTAGTGCTGTGATGCTATTATGACCTCTATTGTTGCTAGTCCTTTTAGTCCGAGCGTTTCCCTCTTCGTCTCTTCTTGAACCCAGTCGGACCTCTTTCAGACTCTCCCTTCTCCTAAACCCATCGCCAATTGACCACCAACCCAAACCGATCGCAAGACTACACAAAAAAAATCCATTCCATGGTTTCCAGAACATCATCTCCAGAGTACCGGTCTATCGGTCGCTTTGCCGTACTATTCGTCTGGATCTTCCGTGGAAGCGCCGTTTGGTCGTGCGACCAGCGTTAAGGTTGTTTCCGTGGTTCACTGCGTGTTGAGCATCATTTCGAAAGCCGTCCTCCGTTCGCCCTGATTTGTCGGAATGGTCCGATTCGGCCGGATCAAGAAGAAGACGAAGGCGGAACCCGTTCAGGACGCAAGCAGGCTTAGCAACGCTAAGAGCAGTAGTCAGGAACCGTACCAGGAACACGATGCTGACACAGACATCAATGATCCGCTGCCTTTTCCAGGTCCAGGTCATTTGCCTCGAAAACACGCCCCTCGTATTAGTTTGCCCCATGTGGACACTACTCTTTTAAATATGCATCAGGCCAACGGTTTATTTGATTCCAAGTCGTCGGAGGAACAGAATGGGGCGACGGTGATTGAGTCTACAGGTTTGTTGTGGCAAAACATTAAAAAATATTTGGAGAAAATGTTAGGCTCATGGTTCTATTTCGTTTCACAGATCAATCGATTTCCCTCTCTCCAAATCCGCCCCTCTCTCCTAATCCTTCGAACGGCGACGCCCACTCTGCAAACGGCGATGCTTCGACGACAGAATGGTCCTCCGCGGTCGGGCACGCAACGACGGGCAAGTCTGGTCGGGTTATTCACGCTCTCCAGGAGGATGTCGCCCGCTTAACGCGCGAATGTGGCGTCCACCGGTCCAAAGCCGAAGAGGCACAAAACTTGAACGATACCCTCAAGACCCAGGTACAGAATATCGGCGAACGCCTCCGGAATCTCGAAGTAGCCAACGAAACGAACCTCCAGTCGATTTCGCGCAAAGACCAGAAAATGAAGGAACTCCGGGCGGAGGCACAGAGCGAAAAGGAACGAAGACAAAAGGCGGAGGGTACGGCCAACAGGACCGACCAATTGATGACTGAAGCGCGCGACGATTATAATCGGAAAGTGGCTGGGTTACAAGAGATCGCCAATCATTCGAAAACGCAGTACGACGTGCTTGCGCAGTCCGGAAATCGAGACAGATCAGAGCAACAGAGGCGGTTCAAGACCATCCGCGACGATTACATCGCCCTTAAAACCGAGCACGACAAACGAATCGGGGATCTGGAACGGCTGGATACTATTCTCGCGGAGAAGGACCATGAGATTGAAGCTAGTCGGGAGAGGTTCAGCAAACTTTTCGAGACCTACGAAGCCTATAAGAAGGCAAGAGAGGAAGAGATGGGAGGGTTAATCGAGAACGGTTATCGGAATGAAGCCAAGATCGACACGGCTCTCGCGACGATGAAAGAAACAGAAGGGCGCATGAAATGGGTCATTCAAGTCAGCGAAGGGTTGAGAGATTCCTCGCGGGAAGGAGAGAAGCAATGATTGCCGCCTTCCAACCACCATAACCAACACGAATGGATGAGCATGGTCTAGTTCGAACGATGGTCGTCCTACATTCCGAAGAGCAACTTACGTTGCTTTCAGTCCGTCGGCTGTGTCGAGTTCCGAATTAGAACCGATTCTGACACTGCCTTAAGTTCGCCAACGGAGGCGGAGGCGGATGTGTATGTGTCTTGTGGATATTTTCCTTTGTTTTACTACTTTTACTTCCCATATTTGCAACTTTCTTGCCTGCTCTACTGTTCCCGGGATCTTCTCGACATTGCATGGAGTTTGGGAGTCTTGATACCCCGGGGGAGAATACCATGCTCATCCTGTTTTCTACTTTTTTTTTTTTTTACTATCTGGAGTTTACATTGTGATCCGTGATACCTCGATGGCCATGATGGATATATTTGAACATACATTTGAAAGCATATAATAAGATACAGCGACCCCTCATGTTGACGGCAGGCTGTCCTTCTGTGGCAGGAGTATTTGGGGTCTTCATTTGTGGATATCATAATTGAATTCCTTTTCTTATTCTGGTGTGACTAGTCACTGCTTTAATATGCATCTAACCATGTCTTTGTTTGTGAATGCATGGTGGAAATAAAGTATTATAGGCTAGATCTATCTTCACTGGTCTAAGTGCTCATGCATTCACTTGTTTGTCCCCCAACCTTTCTCCCCTCATCTACTCTCTCCAACAACCATCATCTCTTTCTTCTCTTTGGCATCTTTCATCCTTAGATCTTGTTCATTGCATCCATCCCAAGCAGAATAATCAATATTTCATCCATTGCGAGGCTGCTGAGAGCGCTTTAGCAAACAACCAGGAAGACCTACTCCGTACAACCCAGCGAATCCCTCTTCAAACAATTCCTCCCCCCCCCCTCTTTCTCTCTATCGTCTTGATCCGTTTTATTTTCCCATAACTAGCTGGAAGCTCATCAGGAGCGACGATGGCGACAAAACAGCGCCTGACGTTGGCGTCGATGTGGGCGTTCGAGGGTATAGGAGTACGTTGACAGGACAGGCTGAGGAGAAATGGACAAGCGCTGACCACCATTCACTATTACAGGTACAGGAGATACAGAATGAATTCAAGTTAGTCGCGGATTTCTCTGGTTCTACCAGATATGCTGACAATTCGTGTAGAAAAGCCAATCCCGATTTGAACAGTCCCTTGAAGTATTCGAAAGCAGATGATGTATGTGTCTTATGGAATTCCCTCTGCTGGCGAGGCCTAGCTAACGGATATCTCTATTAGGTTCTTGTCATGAAAGGAAACTTTGAAGGCTCCTCCGCGAAGCTCGTATCGGTCATGTCGGATTTTGTCGAAGAACAGAAGAACAAAGACCTCTTGGATGTAAGCCTCACAGCATCCTACACCGTTTAGCATGGGTATCAAATGGTATACTTATAACGGATTGATAGATGCCGCGGATCCGCCAATTGGACGTCCCCTCGATGTTCGACGACGAAGACGATCAGACCAAGGTTGAATCTGAGAAGGACCGCAAAGAGGATCTGTTGACGCTTGTCGATGATTCGAATGACGAGTTGATCCCCGTGTCCCTCAATCGTACTACTAAACACTGGATTTCGGAGAAGGGTGGTCTGGGTTGCCTTGCCAATTCCCAGGAGGTTCTTGGGGATATTGCGGCGATGACGGATACGGAGATTGCGGTCATAGATGACACCCTTGGGATCCAGGTGACTGGTCAATACCATGTTGATGTTGAGGATGCTTTGGCGAAGTTGACTCGGATTGAGAAGCCATTGGTAAGTCGACCATTGTCGCAACGGCATGGTGATGATCCTGTAGCTGACCATTGTCTACTAGTCCCTCATTGAAACTCCTCGAATTACCAACATGATCATGGCGCAACACAATGAGAATACTCGCGTTCGAATCCAGAACTACAGCGAGATAAACTCCGTGGCCCTGCGTCGGATTCTCACGGACCCTAATTTGCCATTGAATGCTACCCTCAACCAGATGTTTGCTACGTTTCTTCTCGCTCTCGACCCCGATACTCTGAAGTTCAATCTGCCGGACAATCTTCTCAACCCTTGCAAGGTCTCCAATGAACCCGGCAAGTCACGCATTTGGAACGACTTTACTTACCAAGGAATCGGAAAGGGAGATGAGTTCATCAACATGGAGTCAATCATTGAGAAGGACACGGCTAACCCACAGGCGGTAACTTCTGGAATTGCCCCTCCCCATCCATTTCTATCCGTTGAGAAAGCCACGCGGGTGAACCAGTGGGTCGTCGAGAGAGTTGAGATGGAGAATGAGCCTGAACCAGAGCCTGAGCCCATCGCACTACAGCTTGATCAGCTTGAAGGCCCTCGCGAGACACCAGCTCCTGCCACCGGTGTCAAGAAAACCCCTGGTATCCGAACGCGCAAGGCTGCTGGGGCCGCTACACCTCGAGCAGCACCAGAGCCCACGGTTGAGAATACCAAAGCCTTGTCCACTGTCCCTGAGAAGAAGACCTCGACTCCTCGCAAGCGATGGAAGATGCAGTACGAGCCTACCGATAGGGTATCTTCACCTACCAATCTTATGCTCAAGGGCCCAGACTCCCCTCACGACTCTACTACGACGGTGCGGCCAGAGTCTCCTGAGGACAAACTACGGATGCCAACTTTTGACCCGACAAAGTACGGCTTGCAAAGCCCCCCTCAGCACTCAGCCAGGAACTCATTTGGCAGTTCTACTTCTCCGCAGAGCTCACAAGCGAACGTTGAGACCTTACCCGTGGCGCCCAAGAAAAAGCCGGTCAAGCGTGAGGAGCTTATCGATGTACTCACGCCTGTTGCTTCTGGGAAGCCAACCTCGCACTTTATGCTTTCATTCGATCAGCCTGCGCTAGTTCCGCAAGTCGCCAATCATGTCGATAAGACAGATGCGCAGGACATACAGGTCCCGGATAGGACCAAAGGCTCAACTCCTCCGGACTTGCTTGACCTTGATTTCGAAACCGAGAGCAGAGTCTTGGGACCTAGCACTGCTACGACAACCCTTTTGAGCCCGACCGGTTCGATTAGTGGTGAGGATCTGACTTGGCAGGAGAAGAGGCTCCGGGATTTGAAGTCATCTCTACGCGAGAAGAAAGACACGTCTGGCTTTGACGACAATGCCTCGACCGTCTCTAATATATCGCGTCCTCCCAAAGACCGGCGTGAGATCAACACGCGGCTTGCCCGTCAGAGAATCGCGGAACTCGAGAAGTCCGTCGAAACGGTGAAGAACACTAATGACGAAGCGGACACCAGAGAGTTCCATCGCACCATGAACCACAAAGCGGGCAAACCAAGTGAGAAAGCGAAAAACAAGGCCGAAGCCAAGGCTAAACGACAGGCCACTCTCGAGGATGCTTGGGGAATTCCTAAGCCAGCCAAGAAAGCACCAGCTGAATCGCCCAAAATGCCAACCGATCTCATCGTCAAACCCAGGACAGCATCCTCTGATGCTAAGAAGCAGGACCTGCAGGACTTGCGACAGCAAGAAGTAGAGATCAAGAGCGTTTTCGAAGCGTTGAGACCTGCCCTTGAAGCTGCTGAGTATTTCAGCGGTCCATTGACTTTGGAAGCACAATTCGGCCTTGTTCTCATACCTCTTCTGCCCAAGACATACAACCAGGACTCAATTACAGTGGACGAGTGGACGAGGATCTTCCAGCCACGCAATGGCCTTCCTGCGCCGACGACGAAGTTTATCAATCGACTTACCACGGCTGGCTCAGATGTTGACCATATTATTGATTTCAAAACGTCAAAATCTGAGGGCAAGCGCCATATGTTCGAGCAGGACTACACGGAGTACAATGTCTCTTACGAGTTTCACTGCCGGGCTACTGCAGACCAGCCTTTCACCATAGCGATCGACGAACAAGGTAGACATTCGATTCGGAAGCCAACAAAGACGCTCGGTGCTGTCAACATGCACTTTCCTGCCCAGATCTGGGATGCCAGCATGGTTCTCTCTGGTGTTATCGAGCACGTGGCTGGTACAGATCCGGAACTCGAAGAGGCAGTTCGGTATCTTGTCGATAATCTCTGGGTGCAACCGGACAAGTCTCTCATCCGTATCTTCAGCCGTCTTCCCAAGGGAGACAAGTTCGTTATCGAGAAAGTGCTCATGAGACGCTGGACTCGCCATCGACACATCCGTAACGGAGATGCTGCTGCTGACAATGCTACATCCCCGAAAGCAGAAAACCAAATCATCGTGGTCAACGACAACGACAACGACAACGACATCTTCCTCCAGGTCACCGAAGTCCAAGACCTCTTAATCGGCTCCAGCACATCAGACAGCCAAGCCCTACGAGCCCGCTGTGCACCGTACCCCGAAATGATCAAAAAAGACAGACTCTGGTACGAAGTCTCCCTCGTCAGCCCCGCCATCGAAGCCTTCCTAAAAGCAAACACGGACGTCGAAATCGGCGAACGCACAGAAGACTGGCGAAACCCAGATCTCCTGGGAAACCACGCTACCCTCGTCGCAGACAACTACGGCATGAGTAACCACAATCCCTCATCATCTCCCTCGTCGTCCTCGCCATCACCTCTTCCCAATCCAGCTCCGCTCCTCAGCCCCGTCGCTTCAGCCATCGGAACAGCCGGCTTAGGCGACCTCCTGCGCCTCACCAAAACCGTCGTCGAGAAAATCGACGGCATAGGATTCTGGAATTACGGTCCCGGCGTCGAAGCAGTCCGTCTATCCGCCATCACCGCTGCTGCTGCCGGCACAGTCGTCGGAACAAACGCTGGTGTTGGTGCTGGCCCGCTTTCCCTTCCCGGTATACCCAAACAGCCTCATTCGTCGGCGATGGTGCCTGCGGCGGCGCAGCAGGGAAGATTACTTGGGTTTGATGATTATTTGGATGGAGTGAAGGAGATAGAGAGTTTGGTGCCGAGTCTTGTGCCGGCGAAGAGTGGTGGTGGGGGGGTTGCGTCGGGGATAGAGAGGTCTTCGTCGACGAGCTCGGCGAGGGTCAATGGGGTTAATGGGGTTAATGAGTTGGATTATTGGTGATGGTGAGGACAGGGTTTGGGGTTGTTTTTGAAGGATAGTTGACGGATAGGCTTAGGGATGAGCTGAGGGTTAGGGCGTTTTTGGTGTTTCATGGTTTCGACATCAATGCATAGCCCTATGACATGCAGGTAATGGTTCGATACAGGATAATATTGAACACTCGCAAAGAACCTCAAAACTAGAAGATAATACTGAATTATACCAAATGCAATCAATTTCAAGAATCTATATACCATCATCAAACATAACATTTCTTTTTAAACATGCTAACTTTTCTCAACCCCACTTAATCCTCATCCTCCTCAGCATCATCAACCCCCCTCAACCACGCCCCCCTAGCATCAACAGCCGCCTTCCTAACGTCCCTCTTCGGATCATCAAGCACCAACTTCAACGCCCTCAACACCTGCGCCTTAACCGGCAGCAGCGGCGACAACTTCCCCGCTCTCGCGACAGCAGGCGCATCCGGGCTCGGCGTCTGTGCAAGCAGATACAGACATTTCACAGAGTCTGTGCGGAGGCGCGATGGGTTCACTGCTGCTTTTGCACTAGGTGCGTAAGCGGCAGTGTTGAGGAGACGGGTGACGAGACTCTGGACATGGCCGCATTCATCGATCACGGAGACGCCGTTGTCGCGGATGATCACGGCGAGTGTCTCGAGTGTTGCTGCGCGGACGGCGTGTGAGTCACTTGTTTGGAGATCGAGCGATTGGAGGAGCAGCGGGAGAAGGGTAGGCAATTGAGGCATGACGAGTGCAGGCGGGATAGTAGATAGGATCCCCGATAGCGCGGTTAAATGTGCTGGTTTGATATGCGCTGGCGCGAAGGGGGCCTCGGAATCGGAGTTTCCGGCGATATTGACTTGTCGGATTTTATTGGCGATTAGGGGGATGACGGTTGTGAAGACGCGCTGTTTGCAGAGGAGGCGGATGTTTGCGCCGTTAGTTGAGGAGAGTACGTCGTCGTCGCTGAGGAGGATGGCGAAGCCGCGGGAGGCGGTTGTGCTTGTTGCTTCGGAGGGGGAGGAGAGGAGGGAGAGGAGGGATGTTAGGATGGTTGTTGTGTTGGGGACGAGGCGGAGGACGAGGGCTTTGGAGAGCCAGAAGGTTGTTTTGATGGTTTCGGGGGTGAGGGGTTGGGTTTGGTTCTCTGTGTTCGGGGGGAGGAGGGAGGTAAATTTCTCTGTAGCGATGGGGAGGTCTTGTTTGGAAAGGAATTTGTTGACGAGGAGGGAGAAGTGGCGGAGGAGGGCGAGTTGTGTTGCTGGTTCGGTTGAGGTGGTGGAGCGTTGGATTAGGTCTGAAAGGAGGTCGGACATGTTGGGGGTTGTGTAGGGGATTGTTGTGCAGTCCTTTGATAGTCCTGCGAGGAGGTATGTCGACACGATCATCGTACGCTGGTGGTCTTCGCTTGCGGATTGCGCGAAAGGAACAGGCGAGAACTCCTCCGCGGGAGAGAACAATGTGTAAACGTTCGCGGCAACTTCATCCTGCTGCTGCTTCGAAACAGATCGCACAATCAAGTTGCAGAGTCGTCCAAGCGTGTCCAAGACTGTATCATCATTCAGAATCCTGTTCGCTGCTTTGCCAGAAGCCGAAGCAGCAACGCTCCGGCAGAAGCCCATTACGATCTTCTCGTAGTATAGCCCCAGGTTTGGATCTTGGTCCATCTTTCTCTGGTCCATGACATAGAAAATAGTCAAGAGGATTGCTCTTGGGTATGCTGGAGACCCGGGCTCCTCCCTCTGCAGCAAGATAGTCAGCTTGCTTAACAACCGGCGCACTAATGTTTCGAAGATTTCTTTCTCAACGCTGATCTTCGCCAAGCTTTCGAGTGTCGGCAAGTAGTTAGAGCTTGTTCCGTCATCAGAGTCCGGAAGAGTTGCCACGAAAGCAGGGAAGGTTATGTCCATAATCAGGCGCGGCTTGTACTTGGAGATCTCAGCGAGAGCCGCGATGGCCTCCTTTTTGAGATCATCCCGACCCACGGACTCCTCTGTCAACAGAATCTCATCGAGATACTGAACGAATAACCCTATCTCGTTGTCCTGGAAAAAGTCACACAGCGTCGACAGGCGCAGGAAGCCCTGGAGCGCCGTGACGCGGAAGGACACTTCCTCCTTCGCAGACCCCATTAATGCCTGACCGAATATGTCAGAAAACTGGTCCTTGAACTCCAGCAAAGGATTCCCGAGGATAGTCTCGAGACCACGCGCTGTCCACTCTCCAAAGACCGAAATGGCAGAATCGAACAAGACAACCAACGTCTCCAGCAAAGCCCTCTGCTTCACAATCCCATCAGCCTCCTGGTAAATCGTCAACATTGGCGCAACAACACTCTGCACAATTAGGGCCAATGCGACGGCCGACGCGGCAGACGTGTAGCTTAAGATCTGCTGAGAAGGCTTCGCTTGCTTTTGCTGAGGCTCTCGTAACTGCTCATTGCATTCCTTCGTGATTGGTCTCAGGTACTGAGCAAGAGGCAATTGCGGCGAAGCTTCCGTGACGCCTTCGGACAGTCGCTTAGCGATACCCTGCAAAGCCACGAGCGAGATGTCGGAGAGGAATTCCTCTTGTGCGTTGAGAATCTCGAACTTCAGGGTTTCCCAGATGGTGATGGAATATCTCGATACAGTGTCCGGGTCGTATGTGTAGATACAAGCAATCAGTGCATTAAGCGCATCTTTTTTGACATTCGGGGAGGTTGAATCGAGCTTATCCAACAGAGATGGAATAGCATATTGTGCAAAGTGTCTCGTCGAAGAGATACAATCCTGCAGGCGGTTCTTCAGGTCCTGCGCGGTGATACCATAAGGATCGTTCGGGGGAGGTCTGAACGTGATTGGGAAGTAATTGTACACCGCGTCGAAAAGAGTCTGTTATCATTAGACATTGAACGTAGACCCCAGCGATATGGACGCATACCTCAGTGTGGTTCGAGATATCCCATTCAACCATCACCACCTTCAATATCGAGAACACAAGCATAAGATTCCGAGGATCCTTCTCCCCAGTCATCAAGTCTACGATCCCAACAATCGAGTCATCGCCCATTTCCCGCAGCGCAGAACGATGATTCAACATCAACTCATTCAGCAACTGATAAACCTGGAACCTCTGCGACTGAGACCGCGACTGCAAACCTTGGTACCCAAACGTCCTATAACCATGTCAGACCTCGCCCTCGACAGATAAATGCAATGGCCAGTACTCACGCTCTCGCAACCTCCTCAGCCAATTCCCTATGAAACCGATCCAGCTTCTGCAACGTCTCCAATCCAGCAACAGCGCCTCCATCCTCAATGCGATCGCAAAAGAACGTCGTCAGGACCTGGATCTGTTGTCTCGACAGGTACTTCGGAGAAAGTGCCTTGATCACGGCCGTGAGATAGGAAACGGCTTTGCCCCGCAGAATCGGATCTTCGTCGTTGATGTACTCGCCCAGGGACTGCACGGTTTCGATTAGGGTTGTTTTTCGGGTTTCAACATCTACCACCATATAGCTGTTAGAACAGACACCTCATAACTTCCCAATTGACAATCTCAAGCCAGAAGTACTCACCATGAGCAACCAGCTCAGCAATCTCCTTCGCTTCCTCTTTATTATGGTCAACGACCAGCAGAAACGTCTGCAAGGCCGACATCTTCGCGATATTCTGCGGCAACGAGGGGCATGCAAGCAATATAAAATCTTAAAATGAAATTCCCCTCAAGTGTCTCTCTGCGACCGGAAACATGACGCCGATTTTGTGGCTTGCCCGGACTGGCCCTTATCGATAGATATCACGTGCGTTTTTCAAATTCTCCGCATTGTCACGTGGAATGAGGGTCGGTTGTTGCGTCATTGACAACTGACAGCGCAGATGTTATTAATGGCCGTGCAGTTGCTTGCGTTGCTTGTAAAATGAGGCTTTTGTCTATAGTTATTCTTATTATTGTTACAGTTTTGCTTATCTGCACAGTATCTGCTATCGAGGGGTTTCATCGCAACTGCAAGCGTCTGCCTCGTCCATACGTTGACGTCCCCGGTCTACGACACGGACATCCAGATCACAGAGTACAAGAGTGGCTCCAAAGCCAACAAGCACTCCTAAACCAAATCCCCCAGTCTCCCCAATTCCAACCCTCTCAACAATGTCCAACGCCAACACCGACGGCCCCATAGTCGCCGACATCCTCTCCAAAACCCGGCTCATAAACACCTACGCATCCCTAACCCGCGAATTTGAGTCCGCCCTCTCGCACATCAACAACCCCTCCAAGAATATCACAATCCTAGCCCCTCGCAACTCCGCAATCCATAACCTGCCGCACAAGCCCTGGGAGAACCCCGAGGATTATGAGCGGTTGGGCGAGGTGAATGTGTATGAGGGGAGGGAGGGGAAGGATCGAGCGCAGGGGAATTTGAAGAGGTTTGTGGAGGCGCATATTGTGAGTGTTTGTCCGTGGGGGGAGGGGGTGGAGGCTGAGACGCTTTGTGGGAAGAAGGTTAGGTGGGTTAAGGAAGGGGGAAAGATAGTGGTGAGTTGTGCTTTGGTTTGTTTGGGGTTTGCGGTTGTGCTGATGCTGTGTTTAGATTGAGCCTGGGCATATTGAGGTAGACCATGTTGCTGAGAAGGTGGCTAATGGTGAGGTTTGGATTCTCAATGGGGTTCTTGACCCTCGTTAGGTGAGTTATGAGTAATGCTTGACGACTATTGCATTTATTGTACGATTCATGGTTCAATGAAAATATTCTCATCCATTATGAACTGGTCCTGCTGTAAATGATATTGTGTATACTGCAATTTGCACATTTCAGCAATACAAACCAAAGATACTTCGTAACCCACAGTCCTACCAACTCCGTTCCGACATCACTTCGAAGCAAGATTATGCAAAATCCTCTCTTCAATCCCATCATAAATGCAAAAGTGTTCCATAACCTCAAGGTTCTCCGCCTCATTCAAGTACAACTTATCAGGGTCCTGACCGGGCTGGAACGGATTCATGCCAGCGGTAGGATTCATACCAGACATTTGCGAAGCCATATGGTTCGCAGCTGCAGTAATTGTTAGCGAGATCCAATTGAAAAGGGTGAGAGAAGACGAACCATTATCACTACCAAGAATAAACCCAAACACAGACTGCAGACCGAACAAGTTCAGGAAATACCACGACAGACTAGACACCCACCTGACATCCAGGTCACGGGTCATAACACCAGACTGCAGCATGGACTTGAAGCGGATGGTAAGCGGGAACGGCAATTTCACTGCCATGGTCAGCAAACCCTCAAAACATCACCAAGGCGAGGGAACACACAAATAACAAATCCCGAGAAAAACGCATTAATCCAACTCATAATCAATGTCTGCGGAATCATCATCATCATATTCCCCTTCATCATCCCCATCATAGCATCCATGCCCGCCGGGTCCGTCATCGGATTCGCAGGCGGCTGGCCCCGGTTCTCCGGATCCTTCAAGAACGCGCCATTCTTGTACGCGGAGATGAGGTAGCTTTTGCGCATCTCGAAGGACTCGGTGGGTAGGACGAAACCGTTGCTGCGGAGGTTGACGCCGCGGAAGATGGAGTAGCGTTCGCGGGATTCGGCGAGGGTGGAGGGGGGTTTGGGGGGTGAGTTCATGAGGACGGTGGCGTAGTGGCGGAGGATACCTGTTAGTATCTGTGATTGTTAGATTATATTCTCTATAAGAGTTGAGATTTGGGACTGACCATGACAATGGTAATCGGGATCAAGATCCAATAGCTTCGCGATGCTGTTAGCACATCAATTCCCAGATCCTCAATCAACAAAAACTCACAATAGAGCCGGATCCCGAAGGATCGTCTGCTCAGCCCCTTGCAATGCCATCGTCCTGTCCCTGATGGTGATGCAGTTCGTTGGACGTAAAAGTGAACGGTGGACGGAGGTGAGGTTGAGTTCTCCGTGGTAGGTTAGCGCCTGGCCTGTATTGCCGCTTTAGCTCCGCCTCCGCGAAAGGGACAGCTCGCCGCAAAACGCCTTGCCGTGTACTCTGTAGACATAAGCAGGCTTCTTCTCCCAACATCTACAGAACATATTCTGAGATTCGATTATCTTACTTGCGCAACAACTTAACTATCACAATGGCGACAACCAAAGTGCCCGTCTACTCGGCCAATGGTCAGCACCTTACCTCAACCCTCACATCTAAACAGACACCCGTACTAACCAGAAACAACCACAGACCTAAAATCCACAACCGACGACGCCCTCTCCCCCTATTTAACCACCCTCCCCACCCCCTACATCTTCACCCAAGACCACACCCTCACCAAAATCCGCTTCCTGTTGGGCTACACAGCCGTCGCGATCGCAGGCGCCACTTTCTACGCGGACCGGTATCTGGGCTGGGAAGCGACGACGTCGCCGTGGGTTATCGCCGCCGTGGGAACGTATTTTGTGTTGAATGGGGTTTTCACGTATTGGGTTTGGTTTGTTGAGGGGGGGGAGGTTTTTCGAGGGAGGAGGGGGAGTGGTGAGGTGGTATGTACTTTCCTTCCTTTTGGGCTTGGGTTTTGGAGTGTGGGAAGTGTTGTTAACGTTTGGCAGATTTCGATCCGTTCCTCGACGAAGAAACACTCGCCGCTGTATAACCTTCACGTGCAGTATAAGACGCCGTCTGGGAAGGTTCTGGAGGATAAGGTTATCGAGACGCCGTTTACGACGTGGTTTTCTGCGGAGGGGACGTTTCATCCTGAGCCGTTACGGGAGTGGCTTGCGTCTGAGATTGAGGTGTTGGGGCTTGCTGCGAAGGAGACGGTGAAGAAGACGGGGGGTGCGTCGAGTTCTGTTGCGCCGGGAGATGAGGGAGATGAGGGTGTTACGAAGAGGAGGTAGTGGATTGCGCTTCTGAAAACCCGGAGTGGTTTATTTCTTCTATTTGATCGGATTTCGGTTTGGTGTATGGTTACGAAGAGTAAAAGGTTATGAAGCATTTGAGTATTTCCAGGTGCGTGGCTTGCTTGCACCAAAACAATTCATTTTGTTTGATCATTTAGGAAATAGCATAAACACATTCAAAACATAACTCGGAAATCTATAGTTTTGGTATCAACATCACCGGCCTTCGTAGAGCGTTCACGCAGCCTCGAGGGTTCCAGGTCTCTCAGTAGCGGCTGCGGGCTTGACATCGTCCAGTCTCCGGTTCTGGATGAGTCTCTGCGCGTAGTTAGTACTGTTCATCCCTGCAGAATATTGGGTACTGTCACTTACCAGAAGATTCCGGAGCAAGACAACGATGGTCACCTTTCCAATCGAGGGGACGAAAATAGAGGCACGTTCCTTGACCTCAGGTCCGAAGTTCTATCATTGTCAGCCATTGTCGATGAATAAAAATTGAGGAGGGGGAGGAAGTTCACCTTCTCACTCGAAAAGTTGACACAAACAGCCCCCTCACGCAACAAGCTAGTATCAAACTTATACTTCTCCCCAGGCACACCAGTAATAACAACATCACACAACGGCGCAACATCCTTAATCGACAACCCCTCCATATCAACAACATCATGCGTACTCTTCTTCAACCCCTCCCTCGTAAACTTCTGCACCCCCGTAATATCAACACTATAAACACAAGCCCCATCATTCGCCAACAGCGCCGCCAACGGCCTCCCCACAACCTCAGACCGATTCACGACGCAAATCGTATGTCCAAACAACCTGTTCCCATACGGCAAAATCGTATTGTAGATGTTGAGGTACTCGAGGATCTTGATGATGGCCAGCGGCGTGCAGGGCAGGATGCACTTCTGGCGCTTGCTCTCGGGGTCCAGGAAGCGCACGTTCTGGTACATGTTGAAGATGTAGCGGTGGCTGAGGCCTTCGACGTCTTTGTGCACGTCGACGATTTGCTGCAGGTATTGGTCCTGGCGGTTGTTGAAGATGGGGTAGTAGATGATGATGCCGTCGACTTCAGGGTCGGTGTTGGCGGCGAGGATGGATTCTTCGATGTTGTCGCGCGAGACTTCGCGGAGGGAGTAGCGGAAGCCGCTATTGATTGGGAGAGAAGTGGCATGTTAGTTGGTTGCGACGAGCAATGGGCAATACATGCGCTTCCTCCGATGTCGCAGGCGTCCGGACGAAGCCAACGAAGAAGACCAAACACAGGGGTATAAAAGTACTCACTGCTCCAAGCAAGTCTTCTCCGTCCACTGGGCATACATCAACGCAGCAGGGTCATTGTTGGCCAAAAACCCCACGAGATGAGGGGCCCTCTCCAGCGTAGTAACCCCCTTATGGACTTCCGCGAGCAGCCCGTTCGCAATGTGCTTGGACAGCACAACCTTGCACCTGGGGGTTTCGGTCTGCGAAGCCATTCTGAATAGTTGTGCACGCACTCGATGCCAATGTAATTGGAGTCGATAGGTCGTTTGGTCTAGTGGGGAGCGAGTAGTAGTTGACCCGAGCGGCGGGGGAGATGCGTTTGAAAATTTGGGTTGGGGAAAAAGACCGGCTCGCTTATCGATAATGCATAAAAGATGCCGCATTCAGCGCACTGACAGGACGGTTTTGGGTATAGTAAAAGCACTCTGCTACAGGATAACTTCTCTGCCAGGTTTCAAGTTGTTAGAACTTAGAATGTAGGCTTTGGGTTCCCCTCCATCCACACTGTCACTGCGGGTAAACCACCAGTCCCGCCTGAAGTGGATATATATATCCTCTCACCGTAACTGATCTTGATACCATGACGATCCTAAACCTACTACTGGGGGTTTTCCGATTACAATAGAACCACAAGGGAGAAATTTACCAGAAATACTCATAAACAAAAGAGATCATGTTCGAGTTGCATACCGACATCGACAAGCATATGGCCGTAGACGAATAGACCGTAGTAACCATCATATTCAGAGAAATGGGTCTTATGTCGAATCCATCGTCCAGCCCATGTTTCCCCTTGTGTCGTGCCATAAAAATAATGAAAGAGTTTCTAAACGTACAGGATATTATTCGTAGAGTGCTTTTTCTGCTGTTATCCCACCATTTTCTCTTTTAATCCGTCATCATAGCTACAGATAGATCGACATGCATCACTTCAAAAATGGAAACTGGATCAACCCGAAGCTTTGAAGACAAAAGGAAAAACAGTGGTCTGAAATTGTACAAGCTATCTCATCTATACACACATGGAGTCAGGAAAAAACATGGAACGGTACATGGTGGACTATAGCACCTGAGATGTGTGTTGGCTCACCTATGCGTTGTAGGACTTGTTGAAGTTGCCAATGACCTCCTTGAGCTTGGCCTCAAGCTCCTTGCTGACCTGGCCCTCCTTGTCAATGGTCTGGGTGATCTCAGGGTGGTTGGTCTTGATGGTGGAGAGGAGGTTGGCCTCCCAGTCGAGGATCTTGCCGACGGGGATGGAGTCAAGGAGACCGTTGACACCAGCGAAGATCAGGGGAACCATGTCCGAAACGGCCATGGGGGAGTACTGCTTCTGCTTGAGCAGCTCAGTCAGACGCTCACCACGGGCAAGGGTCTGGCGGGTGGAAGCGTCAAGGTCGGAACCGAACTGGGCGAAAGCAGCAACCTCACGGTACTGAGCCAAGAACAGCTTCAGGGAACCGGCAACCTGCTTCATGGCCTTGACCTGGGCAGCGGAACCGACACGAGAGACGGAGAGACCGACGTTAATGGCAGGGCGGACACCCTTGTAGAAGAGTTCGGACTCCAAGAAAATCTGACCGTCGGTGATGGAGATGACGTTGGTGGGAATGTAAGCAGAGACATCACCACCCTGGGTCTCAATGATGGGAAGGGCAGTGAGAGAGCCACCACCGAGGCTGTCGTTCATCTTGGCGGAACGCTCCAGGAGACGGGAGTGGAGGTAGAAAACGTCACCGGGGTAGGCCTCACGACCAGGGGGACGACGGAGCAGCAGGGACATCTGACGGTAGGCGACGGCCTGCTTGGACAGGTCATCGTAGGTGACAACGGCGTGACGGCCGTTGTCACGGAACCACTCACCAATGGCGCAACCGGTGAAAGGAGCAATGTACTGCAGGGGAGCAGCCTCGGAGGCGGTGGCAGCAACGATGACGGAGTACTTCATGGCGTCGTTCTCCTCAAGGGTCTTGACGAGCTGAGCGACGGTGGAACGCTTCTGACCAACGGCGACGTAGATGGTGTAGAGCTTCTGCTTCTCGTCGCCAGTCTCGTTCCAACGCTTCTGGTTCAACATGGTGTCGAGAGAAACGGCAGTCTTTCCGGTCTGACGGTCACCAATGATCAACTCACGCTGACCACGGCCGATGGGCACCATGGAGTCGACACACTTGAGACCAGTCTGGACGGGTTGGTTGACGGACTGACGGGGCAAGATACCAGGGGCCTTGAGCTGAGCACGGCTCTTGGCCTTGGCGTTGACGGGACCCTTGCCGTCAATGGGGTTACCGAGAGCGTCGACGACACGGCCGAGCAGCTCAGGGCCGACGGGGACTTCGACCTTTTCGTACGTTAGTTATCTTGCACCCACGATATAATGCCATTGAGACGCGAGATCACATACAATCTCACCGGTACGCTTGACGGTCTCACCCTCCTTGACCAGACGGTCGGAACCGAACAGGACAACACCAACTTGGCCAGCTTCCAAGTTCATGCACATGCCCTTGACACCAGAGGCGAACCTGAGGTTCCGTTAGCGGGGTATTCAGATGCAGAGGGGCATGTCAATTGGCAGAACATACTCGACCAGCTCTTCGGCCTGGACGTTGGCCATACCGTGAACACGGGCGATACCATCACTATCCAAAGAACACGGTTAGTTCACTGTAAACAATTGAATCCGAGTGCAATTGTGTTGTTGATGTTGTTGATGTTGACGCTATTGGCCATTATTGCCGGGAACTGAATTTTTTTTTCTTCTCAAATTGGGCGAGGGCGGTGACGTACCCGACCGAGAGGACACGACCGGTCTCAGCGACATTGGCCTCCTCCTGGACACCACGGATTCTCTGCTCGAGGAGGGAAGAGACCTCGGTGGGCGAGGCCTTGGCCTCAGCAGCGTAGTTACGGATCTGCTTGGAGGCGACGGCGGGGACGGCAGCGCGAGCCTAGACGCAGCAGAATTTTGTCAATATCACAACCGACCGACTAAAAACGTATTGAAACGAGGTAGAAAAGGCAATGAAATAATCGAAAAGACCATCATGAAACCCATTGAGATGAGATAGCATGATGGAAGACCACCACCGGACATGGGGAAGTGGGTGGTGGGAAGATATCGACCTCGGTGGTTTTGGGATGGGATGGGACATGGAGGGCATTGAGGAAGAAAAAGAACTCACCGAAGCGATCCGGCCAGTGGCAGAGGCAGCCGCAACGGCGCGGCTGGATTGCCGCAGAGCGTTTCTGAACATTGTGATAGAAGGGTTCAGAGGTGGTTACTCTGGAAGAGAGAGGGAGGTAGATTGGGGTAAAAGGGAAGGAAAGGGAAAAGAGAGGAGGAGAGAGGAGGAGGAGTAGGAGGGAGGGTTGTGGATGGATGGAAGGACGGGAGAGAGCTTGGAGGTTTTGCCAGAATTGGCGCTAAGCCTAGTTTGCCGAGCCTCTGCTTCACCAACCTCCGAAGCCGCCCTAGTGTCTCCCACTGTGAAGCAGACAGCCCACCATGTACATTACTGCTTTTTTGTATACAATTCTATTCAATTTACTGTAATTTCTTGAATTATAATAAAATGAAAGACGACTCTCTCACCAATTGAGCAGTATCCTTCCGGCCACTTGGCGTTTTTCCCATTATTTTTTTTTCTCTCGGATCTGCGGATACACTAGCTTAGTCAGCTCGTTTTCGTCACAGCAACCGGATGGACTGACCTGCCAGGCGCCGTTCTCCGGATTCGGGAATTCTGTGCACCACGAGGGGGAGTACGGACCATAGTCTGTGTGTCGCTGCGAATACATGTGTTATGTAGAGCTATGGCCAGCTTTGTGCTGGTGAGAGACACCTGTTGAGAGAAGAACACCTTGTGCTGCAATGACCCTCCGGGCTGTCTGTACATTCCTCCGAGACCGCATTTCGCTTCCGAAAGATTCCACCGTGCAATCGTGACATAACCGGAAAAACATCCAGCACTTAACCATGGCTCAGTATCCTCCATTGTCCCCGTTTACATTCCTTCCGGGTCAATCATACAACATAATGGCTTTTAGGGACTACAATTGCTCTTCTAGGCTTCAATTTCCCCAATTAACTCGAAGTTACGCCGTACAGGCAACATACATGGATGGTTAACTGCGACGCGAATTGCTCATGCCATTGAAAAACGCCATCTAACTATGCTCAGTACACGCCCTATATGCTGTAGTCTTGGTTAGACTTATTTCGCCTTGCCATTCTGGCTCTTCTTAAACGCAGCAATTTCCCTCTCCACGCTCTGATGGTACCTAGCCCTCAATTCCGGCCGGTATCCTAAGAAAAACAGAATCTCCATCCAAACAAACAACGGAGCCAACAGAAACGCCTGCACCAGATTATCCAGCAACGCAGGAGCTCGTTTCTCAAAAGCACCGTGACCAACAAACTGCAACACCCACGACGCCACCTGAATCCAACCAGCCCAGTAGTTGACCGTTGTGCCGTAGGTGCTCAAGAGGTAGTTTGCGAACGCGGAGCCGGCGATTATGACGGGCGCAATGAGGCCGCCCGCGACGGGTTCGAGGAGGACGTAGAAGATCGCATATATGAAGCCGCCGATCGTTCCGAGATTGGCCGGGAGATACTCATACTGTAGAGCTTCAGAGACATTGATTAGAGCGGGCGTGTTCGAGGCCTAGACATGGAACAACCTTGTTAGTACGGAGCAGGCGATAGGTGGGAAGATGGATGGTGAAAGCAAGAACAGGACATACCAGTACAATGCCCGTAAATAACAACACCGGAACGCATGTGATGTGGATTGCGACGTTCACCTGCGATCGATAGTGATGAGCAAACGCTTGTCGACGATAGCAGAAGTAAGGGTCCAGAAAGCACGTACTGGGTTACTGTGATAGGCGCCATACTGTAAACGTGTAAGTAAACTGACCTCAGTTATAGTAGCGCCGTAGGGGAGGTTGATCTCACAAAAAGTAGCTGCCTTTCGAGATTCAAAGCCATTCTGAAGCACGCCCTTTTTTGTATATCCCAATCCCGAGGCTGCTGCCGAGCGTGCTGGGGTTTAGAAGAACAAGGATTGTTGCAAGGAGTTATTTTCCACGAGAACAGCGCAACAGGGACGACCAAAAGGTCCAAGCAAAAGAAGACAGATGATAAATAGGAGGAAGAAGAAGAAGAAGGGACCCTTAGACCAGCCAAGAGGTGGAGAATTTGGGCACTTCCAGGTTGCTAGTATAGGATATGATATGCCTGTGCCTGTGCCGTTTACGGTAGTCTGATTGATTATTAGGGACTATGGACGTCATTTTGGAAGGCCCCGGGGCATTACCATTGTTACGCCATATACTGATATTATGCAGCATGTAATTCATACATCCATGTATTTATGCGTAATTATACAAATATTTACAGTACATATCACGTGTCAATATGGCGGCCGATCAAGCTGCGCCGGCTCTGGCGCAGGGTAGCTCTGCGAGCATTGACGGTTTTGGTCTGCCGGCTTTGAGGGCAGTTATCTTCTTTTTTGTATATTGTGGTTTCATTCTTTATTTGTTCTTTATAGCGTCTTTTCAGAAAAAAAAAAGAAAAATTTCTGCAGCAAGTTCCTGTGTCTGTTCGAATCAATTCCTTCAATTGCAAGCGTCCCACGTCGCAACTACAGTCGCTGTACATCAAGCCGTCGCCTTTCGATCTTTACTTGAACAGAGAAAGCACGTTATCACCTCCTAGATTGATTGAATTCTAGTGTCTACTCGAGTCGAATTACTACGAGCTACTCACCGTGAACCACTCGACTCAACCAGCGCATTGACCGGACCATCCCGTTGCGCGCGACCTCCATTTGATACCATACCGTGAAGAAGAAGCCAGCACAATGTTCTTCCTCAAAGAAGAGACGAAAGTCATTACGCTGCACCCGTCGTACTTCGGGCCCAATATGCGGGAGTACCTCATCAACCGACTAAACGAGGAGGAAGAAGGTCGGTGTACGGGTGACCACTTCGTCATCTGTGTGATGGACATGGTCGACATTGGCGAAGGGCGAGTCCTGCCGTCTGGTGGGCATGCAGAGTACAGCATCAAGTACCGGGCGATTATTTGGAAGCCGTTCCGGGGAGAGACGGTATGCGCTGGGTTTTCGCCGATGTTGTTCTGTTGCCAAGGCTAACGGTTGAACGCAGGTCGATGCTATCGTTACATCCGTTAAACCCACTGGTATCTTCACACTCGCCGGACCGTTGTCTGTTTTCATTGCGCGAAAAGTATGTCGAGCAAAGGGACTCGGATGAAGATTGAATGCTAATCGAAACCAGAACATTCCCTCGGATATCAAATGGGAGCCAAACACAGTACCCCCACAATATACAGACCATGCAGATCAAGTCATTGAGAAGGGGACAAGTTTGCGACTGAAGATTCTTGGTGTGAAGCCGGATGTGGCTGCGATTAACGCTATTGGTACAATCAAGGAGGATTATCTAGGGTGAGTGATCTTGATCCTTTGCTGAAGAGATAGAGATGCTAACACGACGGTTTATAGACCCCTGTAATGGAACCGCTATGACCCTCTCGCTTCTTATTTGCCTGCCATTTGAATACCCCAGAAGATGCTGGACAGGGCGGAGTCCAGAGATACAAGGACAAGGACCCCCGGCAACGGCGTGTCAAACTGTCGCTTACTTGCTTTAGACAAAGGAAGCAATTGTTCCATTGTCTTCTTTGAAGAGCAGATGATATGATAGTCTGCTGGCATGTGGTTGCAACTGACTCAATGCTTCCACGAAAAGACATAGAAACCAGAATTATCCTGACAACAAACATCTAATTGTAAGCCACGACAAAGCAATGACCACAGAACATCATAATTTCTGCGTATTCCGCGTAATGTGCATATATAAAGTAGATGCTCAGAGTTGCCGGAGAGACCAAAGCCGGCCGGGCCTTTGCCCACACGAGGTGAAACACTGGTGCGTCCATGGCAGCCGTGCACCACAGTTAGCAACCACTCAGGCTGCCCCGGCAAACGGGCATTGCTAAATTGCGATTGTCTGCAGTGAATATCGCCGGGGGCCGTTGAGGCGTGAGTAAGCCACAAGGAGTCACCTTCCTACTTGATTTTACAGGGACACTCCCCTGAAGTCTTATTATCAGGATTACACTCTCTGATCCTCCGCATTCCTCAATTTCTTTCCTTCATTTATTGCTGCCTCTTGCTCTGTGTGTCTGTTTTTATTTTCTTTCTAGTAGGTTCCTGATTGTTTGGGTCTTACCAACCATAGAACCACTGTTTACGGAGTACTATTCCCTCCGTTTCTCCTCCTCCCATAAGCAACGACTTTACCCAACATTCATTATTTCTTGGTTCTGTTTACTATCCAGAGCCATGTCTCTCAAGAACGTGTACCAGAGGTTCCTGGCAGACCATCGCCAGTCAACTTCGTCGTTGGCTGCCGACGCCTCGCTGATTTACATCCCCACGACAACCAAAGTCGAAGGCCGAGACGCCGTGCTCAACTACCTCACCAAGCAGCAGAAAATCGTCAAGACGAAAGCGCAAGACATCCTAGGTGTCGTTGAAGGCTCTGACTCTCTGTGTCTGGATGTCGAGACGACGTTGGAGTTTGATTCTGGCGGCGGGGCCTATCTCCCCCAACTCGACAATAATTTCCTGGCCGACCGCGTCACGTCGTTCCCCACGGTAAGCTGTCATACGTCTACTAGTCTAATATCATGCACGTGTGAGGCTAACTTCTGCGCTTGGCATAGATTCATATCGTCCGCTTCAACAAGCAGAATCAGATTCAGAGTGTTCGCATTCACTGGGAACAGGCATCGCTGCTGAAGCAGGTCGAGGTTATCGGTTCTCGGAGCCGCGGTTGGCCTATTCGTGAGGCAAAGGACCAGACGCGCCTGATTAAATCCGCGATCTCAGCGATACCTGCAGATGTCGGATCTGCGCCCCCGCCGTCGAATAACGAAGAGAACTCGAGGCCAGTTACTCCGGGCAAGAGACGCATCAGAGACCCCTACGCGGCCGAATCCCTGACCGACCTCCTGTCCCCCGGCAAAGATGACCGAACCGAGCCTGTTCGTCCCCCGCGCTCCGCTGCGTCCGCGATGCCCCCGCCGCGCGACTACGAGGAGCTCTTCGTGAGCCACGGCGATGATGATGAGCCGGATGTCACTCCCTCCAAGCCAACCAGAGGCCCGATTGCTCCCAAGGCAGGCGCGGGAAGGAACTTCCAGGGTAATCGTATCTTTGGTGATGAAGAGGAGGAATCGCATCCCCAGATCGCATACAAGGCCAACCCGAAACGCTTCGACCACTTTGAAATCGGAGGCGACAATGGTGACCTCGAAGTCCACGAGAACCTCCCCAACCGTCCCAAGTCTCGCCACGAACCCCAATGGGAACTGAACAACACCTTCGTCCCCGAGAAACCCCGCCGTGCCCTGCGAGGCCAGGAAGTCAGCAACCTCCCCTGGGAGGACTTCACACCTCAGCCCACCCCACCCCCAAGACACCACGTCGCACAACCCCGCCGCGACGCAGAGACCCATTTCGAAATGAAAGACCCCGAAGCACAACCCAAGGGAAACCGCATCATCAGCTCCTTCCAGAACAAGGGCCTGCACCTCTACCGCGACCCGGTCTTCGACTCCCCATCCCCACAGAAGGAGAACCAAGCGCCCAACCCTTCGAACCCTAGCAACCGCAAACACGACTTCGAGAGCCACTGGCACATGACCGATTCTCCGCAGGGCAACAAAAACAACGACGAGAACCACAAGCCCGTTGGCCAGAACCGCACGCAGTCTTCTAAGAACATGGAGTCTTCGTGGGATCCATACCAGTCGCCTCAGGGACCTAGCGTTGCTGGTCCGCGGAAAGGCGGCCGGAATGCTTACCAGAGAAGCTGGGACTTTGGTGATGAGTGAAAAATAAACCAATACTCTTGATTGTCTATGAACTGTCAATCGAGAGAGAGTTACCTGAGCCATGCAGTCGCCTTCGACGCCTCCTAACACAAGGAATAACGCTTACAAGACTTACGTTGCAACTGCACGACTGAGATTGAATCACTCACATTCGATAACGTGAGATTTGTGATTTGCTAGTATTGTATTATGTACTGTGTGTCATATGCGGATACTTTTCAAGTCTAGCTACGATGTACCGGTGCGCAGCATGAGTATACATACTACTGTGCACCGGAAGCAAGATTATTGTTGTACTTAGATGTCTACATTTGATATTGCTTGTATTGTATGATTTAGTTGAATGATAACGAGATCTTATTTGAGTGTGCATCAACGTATCTAAGTAGATTGAACTTGACACGCTTAAACTGTCCTGGTATACTCAAAGTCAGCGTCCACTCTTTTAATATCGCAGAGAATACTCGTACATACCTTCTTCTCTTCAAACCACAATTATACACAATACACAACATACGATATCAAACAATATGATATCCCAGACCCAACACAACCACCCAACCAGGACACTTAGTCCCGACCAGTCGACTGAGACGGCACTGGTCTCACTGACAAACAGAATGAATCTAGGAGACGAGCACACTCGCGCGAGGTGCATCAAGTCCCCGGGACATGCGCTGTGCTGTGCCGTGTTGTGTGTCAGTGAGACCAGAACCGTCCTCAGCCTCCCTGCCGTAGGTCTGGTGTGCTGTGTGCTGTGTGCTGCGTGTTAGTATAGATAAACCAGCCCCGTAGGGCTCTCTCTCTCTCTCTCTCTCTCTCTCTCTCTCTCTCTCTCTGTGTGTGTGTGTGTGTGTGTGTGTGTGTGTGTGTGTGTGTGTCCCAGGCCCTACCCTACCACTCAATCGGGACTGACTGAAGACGGAGTCGTCCAAATAGTCAAATCCTGATCAGTTGGCCGGTGACGACCACTGGTTGTACTGACACTGACAACTCAAGAGGAGCTGGGGAGCTCGAAGCACACACACGCCCCAATCCAACCCGACCCGACGCGGCGGTGCTTCAGGCTTCCGAGTCGAGTGTCAGTGTCAGTTCCAGTATCGTCACCGGCCTCCCTACCAAAGGCCGGTATGCGCTGTGTTGTTAGTATGTATGTAAGCTAGCCAACCAGCCCCGTAGGGCTGTGTGAGTGTCCCAGGCCCTACCCAACCACCCAACTAGGACTTGTTGTCCCGGTCAGTCGGCCGGAAACAACAACTGGTGCTACTGACATAAAAGCGGTCCAGGGCGAGCACACTCAACTGCCCCTACCCAGCCCAACCCAACGCGGTGAGGTGCTTCAAGTCACCTGGTAAGTGCTCCGTGTGTCAGTAGGACCAGTTGTCGTTTCCAGCCTCCCTACCGTAGGGCTGGTGATCTTGCTGTGATGCTGTTAGTATGTAGGCAGCAGCCCTCTCGGGGCTGCCTTCCAAGCGCTACCCACCACCCACCCGCGCCTGGTAAGCAGACGGAAAAAAATAAAATAGATCGGGTAAATGAAGACTGAATAGAAGTAGATCAAGAACATAAAACGGAAAAGAAGTAGAATAGACGGAAATGGACCAGAAGTAGATTGGAAAGATGGCAGAAGATGAGGATAAATCGAACGGAAAGAATAGATGAAAATAAATGGCTATAGATAAAAGATAGAATAGACCAAATAGAATGGATGGAGCAAATAGATGGCAGTAAATCGAGTAAGCTAAGTGGAGAATAAACGAGAATAGATGGCAAAAGATGAGAAGAAGAATAAATGGCAATAGAAGAGGATATATCGAACTGAATAGACCATATAGAATGGTCTGTAGATGGCAAGAGATCAAATAGATGGTAGAGATGAGAATCAATGAGAATAAATGAGAATAGATGAGAATAGATGAGAAGAAGATAGATGGCAAGTAGATGTGAAGAGGAAGAAAGAGAGAGGAGGAAGAACGAAGAACGAGCAGTGATATAGACGAGTTCAGGCAGCAGACATGGGAGATAGAACAACCGACCCAGTCGAGCCTGGGGAAAACGTCGTTATTCATGCTTTTATGTAGTCATTAATGACCAATTTGAGCGTAGCCCTAAATGGTATGCGCCTGGTGATTCAAATCCGATGGTTATAGCCACCGAACGCGCTTGACATCAATTGTCTACACGTTAGTCGTCTCTTAAACTTTCTTGACCTCTTTTAGTGTTCAAATAATTCACATTCCATTCTGTCTTCTCTTCTCCATTCAGGTTTCACATTATGATCCCATCCTTTCGATTACTGAGCGCTCGATCTGCTATTAAAGCCGACAAATATGTGCTCAGAATCGCCGTTACCTCTCGACGCTACTTATCATCCAATCAAGATTCATTTTTCAGGAACACATCGAGAAGATGGATGTCAATTCATTTCTTACATACCATTTCAAGAAAATACTAACAGCGAGTAGTTTCAATGAAAAAAGACCAATTGAAGGAGAGATACGTCGACCAAAGCAATAGCCGATTCGCAGGTATGAAATGAACCTGAAGCAATGTTATCTGCAATCAGAGGCCACCTGGGGATCGACCTGGAAGGAGGCACAGAACCTGAGAATTTTGAGTGGGCTTCCCATCAAAATCTGGAGTTTAGGATGGAGATGTTACGGCAGAGCGAGGAACATGAGCACGAGATTTGTTGGGGGAATTGGCCTTTTAAGGATGACGAGGATAATTCCTTGCCTCCTCATCTTGACTGATGTTGGTTCCTTCCTTGACTCTCTTTCCGGGTTTATCCTCTAAGCTCCTGCCACCACATCCCAAAGACTCGTCGAGAACTTACGGACACTCACACCGCCGATTTGCGGACTTGCATCCGCCTAATGTACCCAGAGCGCTCCTTGCTTAGATGGGGCAATTAGCAGAGAAAGTCGAGAATTCGTTTCCGCTGCTGTCGACCCTGGAGGGGTTTGAGGTGGCTCGAATCGGGAGAGAGATCCGAGGTGCGGAGTTGGGGGGTTGTGGAGGAAGGTTACATACGATTGGTACATTCTTTGAACTCCTAATTGATGACAGGGAAATACAACGCTATATCAGGTTGATATACTCGGTGCTTGGAATTTAGATAAGCCTTCGTCGTACATATATACTCCCGCATTTGACTGCATAGATCCCGATAAGCGATAACCTGATAAATATAAATAAACCCCTCTTCTTCCTGCATCGTCGCATTCCCCCAACATCCAATTCCTCTCAATAACTTACGATCTCGTTGCAAAATGGATTTCTCGCTCCAATCCCACAAATCCTTCATAGGTCTCCCAGCGACAGAGCTTCCAACACCGTCGCTAGTCCTGAGCAAACCCGTTATCGAAAACAACATCCAGCAGCTCCTCGACGATGTCAAGCAACTTAACATTGCGTTCAGACCGCATGTTAAGACCCTCAAGGTACTACCATACAAAACTCCTACCCAAAAACACTGCTGATTATGACGTTAGTCAACAGAAGTCACCCGCATGATGCTTGGCAACGGCCGCCATCGCCGCATCGTAGCATCCACCCTCTGTGAAATCCGAGGTGCCATCGCCCTCGTACAAGAGGGTATCCTTGACGAGGTTCGCCCTCACCCATCCCCCTACCACCAAGCAAAGTCCAGCTGTCTAACCCAAAAAGATCCTCTACGGCCTCCCCCTCCCCCCCAGCGCCCTCCCCCACCTAACCACCCTAATAAAAACAATCCCCAACCTCAAAATCCTCCTAATGATCGATAACCCCCAACAAATCACCCATCTCGAGAAATACGCCGAGTCAAACCCCACCCTACCGCCCTGGCCGGTATTCATCAAAGTCGATGTCGGATCGCACAGAGCCGGTCTCGAGACATCCTCACCCTCGCTTCCAGATCTCGTGAAGAGGGTTGAGGCGTCGAACGCAGCGTATGTGTATGGGTTCTATTGCCATGCGGGGCACTCGTATGCATGTAAGACTAATGCGGAGGCGGAGAGGGTGTTAGGGGATGAGATTGGGGGTGTGTTGAGGGCCGCGGAGTTTTTGGGGGAGAGGAAAGACAAGCGGAAGGTGGTTGTTTCGGTGGGATCAACGCCTACGGCGCATGTTGTTAAGGCGTTGAAGGAGAGGGTGCCGGGGGGTGTGGAGGTTGAGTTACATGCTGGTACGCCTCTTTCCCTGTTTGAGGATTGTCTGGAAGAGTGAAGCTAATGAAAGCAGGAAACTACCCCGCAAACGACCTCCAACAATTAAACACCGGCCTCGTCAACCAATCCCAACAAGCCGTCCGCATCCTCGCGGAAGTGTGCAGCGTGTATCCCGAGCGCAACGAAGCGCTCGTCAACGCGGGTACTATCGCGCTGGCCAAGGAGACTAGTGATTCACCGGGATACGGCCGCGTGGTGGATAAGCCGCAGTGGAGCGTTGTGCGGATGGCGCAGGAGCATGGGATTTTGGGATTTACTGGAGCTGCACAAGGGGAGGAGAAGGTGGGGGATGCGTTTCGGGTGGGGGATAAAGTGTGGTTGTACATTCAGCATGCGTGTATTACGGCGGCGGCCCATCATGTTTATTATGTTGTTGATGAGGGAGATGTTGTTAGGGAGACTTGGGTGCCGTGGAAGGGGTGGTAGATGGTATAGAAAAATGCGTTATGACGAGATGAAGTGATATATTTACATGCAGATATTCAAACATTCTTCTTCCTGGAGTTTAAGCTTTCGTCTCCGCCTCCATCTCCGGCCCAGCAGGCCTCCCCTCCCTCTGAACAGACTTACCCTTACCCTCATTATCTGTCGATTTAACCTTCGAATCAACCCCAGATTCCATACCAGCCTTCTCATCCTTCTCCCTTCCCTTCCCCTTAACATTCGCCCTCCGAATCAACCGATTATGAAACTCCTCTTCCATCTCCGGATCCTCACGCAACATCCTCCGCGCAGCCTCGCCCCCAACAACCGGTAACCGGTCTACACCCTTCACACCACCCGGAACCAACTTAGGATCTAACAACCCAACCTGCACAAGCACACTAGCTTGATCCCAATACACGTGCTCTGATGATAACTTTCCCGCTTTCATACTAACGATGCTAACCAGTATGATTTCGACCTTCCGGTTCGTCGGCGGGACACCAGGAAGCATCCAGGGAATTTCATGCGTATGTTCAAACGAAGCGTACAGTTCGTCAACAATACGATCTACCCCGACTGTGCGAGATATGAGACGAAGACGCATGGATGGTGGTAACGTGCGCAGGAAGTGTTGCTCGTAGAAGCGGCGGAGGGAGTTGGTGCCGATTCCGCCGGTTAGGGTGGGCGTGTATGTAACTGTTGGTGTGAGGTGGGTGGTGTAGTGGTCCATTGTTGTGGAGAGGTTTGAGGAGAAGAATTTTCCTAGTCATCATTAGCAATTGCCTTGATTTACTGGGGTAAAGGGAAAGGGAGGATACCCTCTTGATGCTCCTCCCACCTCCCCTCTAAATCGAGATCCTTTCCAAACCCCCTTCGTAAAACATGTAGACTGCGCGTCCAGGCGAGCTCGGATGCTAACCGGTCATATTCATCTAGATCATGCTCTGCGAAGCCCGGCTGCACGTAATCGTATGTATATGTCGGGAACCCGATGTTAAGACGTTCACCAGTCCCAATCCCGGGGTCGATCTGACACGTCCTCCGGCGCTTCTTCCCTTGTAGACCTAAGGCTGTTGGCACCGTTGTTACATCCACTGTTGAACCAGCCAGATGTGTCAATACTCGAAGCGACTGCGGGAACCGACACCGTGTATCAGGTATGTTCGTCGGATAGTAGGCAATCAGCGCACAGAGACGACTCGCATTCGTAGGTTTGAGGTAATGATCCAGACAAAACGAAGCGGCGTCACCGAGTGCTACCACACCCGCTAAATCAGCCCAACCATTCCCTCATCAATAGACCGTAACTCACCAATAACAGCATAATTCTCCCCCACGCCCAAACCCTCCCTAACAGACCTCAACCTCGCGACATACTCCTTCTCCCCGACCTCATACGGGACATAAACCACATCGAATCCCTCATCTTGCCAGCTGCGTAGTGTCTCGTTGTCAAAGTCCTCTGTCTCGGCGGTGATGCAGAGCCGGGCGGTTCCTGAACCGGAGTTGTAGAGGAATCCGCTGGCGCCGCCGGTGTTGATGGATATGGCTGCCATGGTAGTCTCTATGTATCCAGGGATTGAGTGTTGATGTTGGGATAGACTTTCAAGTAGATAAAAGAGTCATGATATGTATGTATATAAAATAGGACTTCATCATGCCATTGCATTGTCGGGACATACGTCACCGGCTTCTGATGTCATCAGACGGGTTTGTTATGGAGGGAACGAGAGGAATTAATGAAATTATTGGCAGTCCAGATGTCCTGCCAGTTAAAGAATGTCATGACAGTAGTCTTGGGGTTGTGATTGCTCGACCATGTATAGCCTGGATCCGAAGTTCGTGAATTAAGCATCCGCTAACGGTCATGCACGTGCCTGTCAGGTAATTCTCCGGTGACTTATGCCGAGAATGCCTTACACAGACCTCGAGTATCTAGTAGTACGCTATACAAGATGACAATCGCTTTACCGACCGATATCCGCAATATATTAACTGAATATGCCACTATTGGTGCGTGGTTACCATGTCTTCTATGTATCCGATTCTGTCGTTGGTAGAGCGCATGACTCGCATCTCAGTTCAGGGCATCATGAGTCCCGCAGTTCGAATCCGTGTGTGAGCATTTCTTTTTGTTTTTGCATAGTACGGAAGAAAAATCTCATTTTATGCCATGCAATGATAAAGTTATACACCACACTAATGTAACTTTGACCCGTAATCGCACGATGCGGGGCTATCCTGTGACACTCGCCATATGTACTCTACCCCTTAGTCTCCGGTATCTCAACGCTCTCAACGCGCCAATCGTGAAGAATCCGGATATATAACCCTCCCCGCAAGATCGAATTCTCCCTTTTTACCATTCCTTCACTCTTGACCGAGAGACTTATCACTGAAATTCAAACATGCCATCTACCGAAAATCTGCACTCGGAGCCAGAAGCCGGGTCTCTGGACCTAGATGTTCTCATCATTGGCGGCGGCTTCTCCGGATGTCTTTTACTCCACAAAATCCGGGATGAACTCAAATTGAACGTGAAGATTATCGAGGCCGGACCTTCCGTTGGCGGAACATGGTACTGGAACCGCTACCCGGGGGCACGTGTCGACTGTCAGGTTCCTGGATATGAATTGTTCAGTCCGGCCGTCTGGAAGGATTGGAGGTGGAAGGAGAAATATCCCGCACAGGCTGAGCTTAAGGCTTACTTCGAGCACATCGATAAAGCATTGTCGATCAGCAAGGATTGTCTTTTCAATTCTATGGTGACGTCGGCTCAGTTCTCTGTGGATGAGAAGAAATGGGTTATACGGGTAAAGGACGGACGCGTGATTCGGGCAAAATACTTCATCCCAGCGGTTGGCTTTGCAGCGAAGGAATATATTCCAGACTGGAAGGGACTTGACAGCTTCCGTGGAACCATCTGCCATTCTGCCAATTGGCCGAAGAAAGGAGTAGACGTCAAAGGCAAGCGGGTTGCTATTATCGGGACGGGCTCTACGGGCGTACAGATTGCCCAAGACTGGGCGAAGGAGGCCGCGGAAACTTACGTCTTTCAGCGGACACCGAATATCTGTCTGCCCATGCGCCAGAAGCAACTTGACCCGGTCCAGCAGGAGAACAAGGAAGAACGTTTAGCCTTTTTAGAGCTTCTCTTCACAACCAACGGAGGGCTTTCTTATCACCCTGTCCCAAGAAACACGTTCGACGATTCGCCTGAAGAGAGAGAAGCCACATATGAGAAAGTATACAAGGAGGGGGGCTTCTCATACATAAGCGCAGGCTATAAAGACTTCATGCTCGATGTGGAGGCAAACCGCGAGGCATACCGATTCTGGGCCAAGAAGACACGAGCCCGATTGAACGATCCCCGGCTCCACGACCTCCTTGCTCCCCTCGAACCACCTCACCCTATTGGCGCGAAGCGCACATCTCTTGAACAGGACTACTACGAACAGTTCAACAAGCCCAACGTACACCTGGTCAATGTCAAGGAGAGCCCAATTGCCGAACTCAGACCCAACGGTATAGCAACCGAGAAAGAATTCTTCGAGGTCGATATCATCGCCATCGCAACAGGCTTCGACTCAGTCACCGGCGGTATCGAGAAAGTCGGCCTCAAAGATGCCGACGGTGTCGATCTCATCAAACGATGGAGAGCCGATGGTGTCCACACGTATCTCGGGATGATGGTCAGCCGCTGTCCGAACATGTTCCTCCCTTACAGCGCCCACTCGCCCTCCGTTTTCTCAAACGGTCCTACGACGATCGAGGGACAGTGTGATTGGATCTGCGGCGTGATACGGAAAATGGAAGCGGATGGGATCAACGCTATTGATGTGAAGAAGGAGGCTGAGCAAGGATGGTCTGACGAGGTTGCGGCAATCGCCCAGATGACTGTCATTCCGTACGCCAAATCGTGGTATATGGGTGCAAACATCCCTGGTAAACGGGTAGAGCCTCTGTTCTATCTTGGGGGGATTCCTCGTTACCGGCAGAAGTGTCAGGAGGCGTTGGATAACAACCTGGAGGACTTTGCTAGGCTGTAGATACTTGCACGTTGAATTTGCCCCTGAATAGTACTAACGCGACATGTTATGATCAGTCAATTGCTATAGTGTAGGTAAATCTATAGTATCTTGCAGAAAGTCTGTCGAAAATGTCGAAGAAGAGTTTTATTTCTTTGTTATGATGTGACATCTGCATGGTACTTTTACATCCATGTCGTTTGGTTTAGATGCATCTGCATTCACCTCCCCGAGCATCTCCATTCATTCACCCCAATTCTTCCTTTTATTTATCCTCTATCCCTTCCCTTCATCTGTTCTCCCTCCATCCTACTTCATCCTCCCATCCAGTCTTCCCTACATACCCTCGCGAAAGCCACCACATCTCAACAACCGCAAAGGAGTCTGACGAAGAAGAGATACCAATGGAGACCGTCGGAGAATATCTCGCTCAGCCACTACCAGCCCTCAACTTCAACGGTCGAGGCGAGAGTCCGGACATCCCGTCGGAGAGGATTGCAGCAGAGCTGTTGCACCCATGGATCCCCTTCGAAAACGAGGTCACCGCAGCCCTTCAAGGAGTCGACCTGAGCAGGGAAGTCCCCCAGCCCGGTCTGCTGGGAACAGTCGAATATTATGGCGTTGAAACCAAGAGCAGTCTGTCCGGCAGGTTCGTCTATAACGCGTGCGTACCCGTTGGCCGAGCACTGAATTACACGGACCTGCGAAATAAACCCGTCAGTCCGTGAATGCATGGCTGGATTCTGCGCAATTATCGCCAGTGACAGCGAGAAGCTCGAGGAGCCTAGTGACTTCAATGAGCAGATGCTTCTGTCTCCTTCTACTTGGTTATTTACTGCATGTAATTTGGAGTTGAAAATAAAATTAAGTTACAGTCTCTAGCTATCGTGACTTTTTCGTAGTTTAATTCAGCAAGCCGTTCAACTTGCCGCAGCAGTGAGGTCTTGGGTTCAATGCCAGTCTATATCTTAGATCCAACACCATATCTCTCGAACGACATGATGTTGTCGGTTCTTCAATGAGCATAACTGGCTCGTCACGAAAAGACCGTGATAAAACTCAAACTAAACGAGAATGAAACAATAACAAAGTGCTGGTCAAAAGTCTACTTTGAGAAAATTGCTGCACGCATGGGCGACGTTGAACCGAAGCCAAAGCTAACAAATGTCGATGACAGCTATTCCCAAGTGGTATACCAGCATGGGACGCCCTCTACAAAATGTATACAAGCAGATGCCACTCTTTCCATCTGTTCTTGACTACGGGAGCATCGTTTTCTCGTCGATCTTCGGACTCTGGTCATTGCGTTAGAAATCATTATCGAAATGAGTTAAAAGCCGTATAGGCATTGATCTAAAGTCCACAGCATGTTATTTACGAGTGCAGAACGCCAATACCTGTCGTCCGGTCCCTTAGAGTTTGGCAGGCCAGCCCCTGACAGTATAACGTCCTGTGTTGACGGGGAAAAGTTGACAAGCGACTTTGAACTACGAACCTCCCCTGCTGCCAGACCTCGGGTGGGAAATGGCCACACAAATAATACGCTGTATAACGAAAAGTTTATCGGAGCTTGGTAGGACCGTGGGGATGTGCGAACGTTATCACGTCCTACACATCTCCAGAGGTCGTTTTCTACCGTTTAGCACCAAACGCTGCGGCATCGACGAAACTGTGTACGAACGAAGAAACCCGCGTCTTGGACGCCTTAGGGTTGCTTGTGGTTTTCGGAAAAGCTACACGATGATAATGAGACATACAGTGTGCAATCAGTATTTTGCGATAAAGAAGATACTTCTCCTCGCCTCATAGGACCCCTAGCGAGGAAAGAAACCTCTTGTAGGACGAGGAAGCTTCGGGAAAGAAAAGAGTGCTTGGGTTCCCAAAATTAATACTTGCCCTAGCTCTTTAGCTCTTCAGCTATAAAATGGAAAGGCTGACTATAGGCGTCCTCATTAAAGAGGACATCAAGAACGCATACACGAAGAATCCAATGACAGAACCTAACATATCCAGTTATTCTCAGGGTTATATGGGCCAACAACCCGTGGAGGAGCAAAAGCGCTCTGACTAAATTTTCTATGACCTGAGAGAATAGCACAAGTCTTTGGCGTTATCGGTCGAGTCACCAAACATGGATGTCCTATCACCACCGTCAGATTCCGACTCGCGCCATCCCCCCTCCAATTTGATGCCTTTTGGCTGGATTTGAAGACTAGGAGTAATGTATTCTCTACAAAAAAAACCCGAAAGGACTCTAGAAATAATCCAAACTTTGTCGGTACATGAGTCGAAGATGTCAAGAGCCCGATGCTCACCCCAAACGTGAAAAACGCCTCAGAAGATGGGTTGGACTTATTGGCTGAATGCTTCACTAAGGGAAACTGGATGCTAAAGATATTTAGGGCACCGACCAAACATTATCTGGGTGCTGTAATAACTATCGGATTCCTATCAGAATGCGGATCGCATGTCTGCTGTTTGATCCGACCATTTCTCGCAAATATATACAAAAGATACATCTTGATTTGGGGCTCAATCTGAACCAGAGGCAATTGGCTTGCCTAAAATATTCTGTTGGCAGTGCACCAAGAATAAGCCGACACCCTCCGGAAATCAAGATCTCAATGATATTGAAGAATCATCACACACTATGGGACCGAGTGACATTTCCCGAAAGAACTCTGTACTCCACACCAAACACGTACATCAAGAATGTTCCAGAACAAGAGCCCAAGCACCAATACGTCAAAAGACGTATCCCCAGAAAACCTAGTGGCCGCTGATATGGACTATCCTGACTGAATAGGCGTTGCGAATAGGCGCTCGGAGAACCAAGGCAAACTCAATCCGAAATCACTGCATATTTGCTCTTGCGTGACTCCTCCATCTCCAAGGGCTCGAAATAAGTAATGAAGCCACTTGCGCACACCCTGAACAGCTCCATGTTGAGGCCAACATTTTAAAGCTCTCTCTAGTCTCCTATAGAGCCCTTAGTAATCCTCTTGCCAGCATACAAGAGGAACAAATTGAGACAAACATTTGAGGATAAAAACAGTCAACTATGTACTGCTCACAGATGGATAAGTTATCCATTGAAGATACGCGCGGACTGACGCCCTTGCAATAATTTGAGAAAACGGAAAAAGAGACCAGATACCTGCGGAAGACATCAAGCGCCTAGAAACAATGTACACAAAAAAAGACATTGTTTTGCTGAAGGCGACTACCACAGATAGGTGAGTATAGCAGGTTGGTCTAGATCAGGACTAAACGAGCAAGAGGAACACTTTCGGTCATGGTCGTTGTATCGCCGCCGATATATTTACAATCGAGCTAGACATGGAATTTTATACTTAGAGTCTTGAGCTGGGAAAGAACATTTATACAACATTACAGCACGCTTTCTGACTTTGTTGCTCTTTAGATGAAGGACCTCCAAAGAAGCTCGGAGCCGTAGGTTCCCCATGATCAAAAGCAGCCAATTCGAACGAAAGTCCCATATGGTAATGGGTACCCGGGAAATGACACGATTGAATCCATTTCCTCCAAAACCTCCACTCGTCAAGTAATGCCACCAGATCGTAACTTCATTCATCTTTGTGACCCCTCCCAGGCGCGAACCGAATTCCCTTCTTCTGAGGCCGGTCCCATCCAACAACATCCGTCCCATGAATCCAATCCATAACACCCAGCGTACTATAATTAACCCGGAACTTCTCATGATGCAAATCATGAATCGAATCAGGCGGTAACTTCAAGAAATCGTAACCACTATGGTCAGCGGCCGCTTCCCAGAGCTCAAACAGATCTGGCTGATGGGGCGTGAATGTTGTTTTGTGATTGTGTGGATTAGACGTTGGCCTTAGAGTTGAATACTATTTACAGCCAAGTAGTGGCAGAAATATATCACTGTTATAACAAGCAAAATCAATTCGGAGCCCGTTAGTACCGTCGCTCCTAATAGGGCTCATCGCGTCTGATATGCAGGGACACTACACAGCGATTCAACAAGGACGAGTATACTAACGACCATCGGAGAGATCCATCCAGTCAAGCTATCCTTGGTATTCGTCATGAAACACAGCAGATATCTACGATTGAGCCGATTAGACGCTTATTGAAAAGACTATCTCGATATAAAACCCGGGTCATGTTGCTGTGGAATATACCACAACATGGCCTGTTCAACGTGCAGAAATCGGCCATCGCCGATAAAGGTAAAACAAAGCCAGCAATTCCTTGGAAAAAATGCAGCTGAAGGTTCCGGTCTCTAATTGACGAAAGGCTAAATCGCTGTCATCGCCAGACGGCAAGGGAGATACTGACGTCCTACAAAGTACAAGCATAAATACCCCAAATCAGGGAACCAATACCATAACAACCATTCAAAACAAAACCCACAAGCAAACCCGTCTCTCCAACCGCACTGACCCGCCAAGCCGGCCAGCGTATATGTCTCGACGTTAGATTCGTCTCTCCCCGCATTCTACCCCGGATCGACGGTCTAGCCGCATGTCCCCGTCGTATCAAGTACCAAAGACGGTTATCTTGCATTACTGTTTCAGGATATGTCCGAGGTAGTGCTGCGGCACAGCGGTCTATTCCGTCCATGTCTGGGCTTGCCATGGCTTCTGAAGTACGATGATAGAGGGGAAGCTCTGGTGGAGTTTATGGGGGGTATATATGTCGACATGGGGAGACAGCATTTTGCGGGGTCGATGTTCGGCTTTGCTATCGTGTTGAATTTTTATCATTCTTCACCTACTAATTCAAAATATCAACCAAAATGACGAACGCAAGTAGCGAGAGAGCAGACGAAAAGGACTGGGGAGACGAGAAAATCGAAGATGTCGGCCAGCCGGCGCTCAATAATATCGACTACGATGAAGAGTACACCTACCAGGAACAGCGCAAGATAATTCATCGCATCGATCGACGACTGGTCACGATGACCGGACTCTCATATTGTATCTCGTTGATGGACCGGACGAACTTGAGTATGGCAGCTGTGGCTGGGTGAGAAAAATTGCTATGTGTTGTAATGATGGTGAATTGACCCGTCATAGCATGACAAAAGATCTGGCGCTGGATGTCGGATATCGATATGTATGTATGTTAACTACATTTGGCCTATTGCAAGCTAATACCATGACAGTCTCTCGTGGTTCTTATGTTCTTCGTCCCCTATATCATATTTCAGCCTCCGATGACCGTGATAACGAGGAAGTTGGGTCCTACCTACTTCTTGGGAAGCATCATCGTCGCATGGGCTGCGATTATGGTCGTATGTACCAGAATATCGTCCCTTTGATCGATGAAGAGAAAGCTGATACCCTCGCTAGGGAATGGGTTTCACGAAGAATTGGAAGGACATGCTTGTCTGTCGTATACTCCTCGGTCTCCTGGAAGCAGGTATCTCAACCCAGAGATGCAATTCGAGTCAGCTCGATTATATCTGACCTTCTTCTCATAGGCTATTTTCCCGGTTGCGTGTACCTTCTGTCCAGTTGGTACGTCCGATGTGAGTCCATTCAATACCAGCTTTACAGACCTACCGGCTAACTCGGACAGACGATGTTCAAAAACGCTTTTCTATATTCTACCTGATCGGCTGCGTAGCATCAGCACTGTCTGGTATTCTCGCCTTCGGACTGATGCAAGCCGATGGTCGCGAAGGGTTGGAAGGTTGGCGTTGGATCTTCGTCTTGGAAGGAGTGATCACCGGCGTGATAGGCATCCTTGCATTGGTCTTTCTAGTCGACTTCCCAGACAGAGCACATAAATCATGGAGATTCTTGACTGAGAAAGAATGTGCCTTCATTGTCCGACGTATCAATCGGGACCGCTCCGATGGTGATTCTGAGCCATTCAGTCTAAAGCGGTTCTTGAAGCCTGCTCTGGACTTGAAGATTTGGGGATTCGCGATGATTTTCCTGTGAGAACACACTCAACTATCTTTCACTTCAGCGCTAATGCCATCCAGTTGTGTCACTGCCGTCACTTATGCCATCGCGTACTTCCTCCCAATCATCCTTCGTGAAGGTATGGGCTACGACATCGGCGCTTCGCAATGCCTAGTCGCACCACCCTACGGCTTTGCCGGTATCGTCATGTTCGCTGGTGCATGGGTAGGAGACAAGTACCGTGTGCGAGGAGCCATTGTTGCATTCAACGCTTTGCTATGCATCCTTGGCCTGCCTATGATGGGATTTGCGACGGGAAATGCCACTCGCTACACAGGCGTGTTTTTCGCCGTGGCCGGATCGAATGCAAATATCCCGGCAACAATGGCATACCAAGCTAACAACATTCGAGGACAATGGACTCGTGCGCTGTCCAGTGCCACGCTGGTCGGGTTTGGGGGTATTGGTGGGATTGTGAGTAGTGTAGCATTTCGGTCGCAGGATGCGCCGGAGTATAGGCCGGGGATGTGGACGACCATTGCGTGAGTTTATATTCCTTCTGTCTCGTTATTTGCGCGATGTGTGCTGACGTTGTAACAGATGCAATCTCTTGATCCTGGCCATTGTCCCGGCTCTCAGCGTGTGGTTCCGGTATTGTAATAAGCAAGCAGACTGTGGTAAGCGGGTTATTGAAGGGGCACCAGACTTTCGATATACTATATAGGGCTGGGATAGATTGGACCGTGCATCGAGCACAGTTGTTCTATGCTGCAGAATAGGAAGACCACCATATGCCAATATAAGCCTTTTAGAAAACCGGTTCCCTCGCGTTAGTTTCCTTCTCTTATTGCTTGCCAGAGTACTCTGTACCTACGAGCGCATGATCTAACGCGTTAAATTAATATAAGCTTGTGCAATGCGGTTTCCATTACTTTGGACCTCCCACCGCAGTGAGCGAATATATCCACGGGTAGACCAATGTAGCGATGGTCACTCTATTCGATGTACCCTAGATACTCCATACCCCGGAATGACGACTTGTGAGATATCCCTATTCCGATCTTCTGGCCTTGAATACTTGTAAACCGACGAGCTGCAAAAGCACGCACCGTGCGACGTGACAGTTCGTTTCTGCGATAAGGATTTGCGCTCAGCTGCTGCAGGAAGCTGCATAACCTGCAGATGGTCTATGTATTTGTATACAAACGGAGTACTATGTATGATCTCTATCTGTATCTGTTCATCCTGTACTCCGGACACTCGATCTGGGAATCCCATGCCATCTTATCTTCCCCGTGATTACTCTGAACATTCCGCGGACGCGAGGATTTTCTTTTCCGACGGGAAAGTGGCGAGCTTATCGTTATCAGGCGTAAAACCGCGTATTGTGGGGAAGATTCCACCGCCTCCGCCGGGGTTTGCGGTACTCCCATTGGCGGGATTGTGACGTTATCGTGGTTTTCCGGTACGTTCCCCGTACAGCCGCGGGCAAAGAAAGAGGGACAAACCTTCGCGATTTCATTTCGGACGGATTTTTCTTCTGGTTCTTTTCTTTTTCTGTGGCACGTCTTCTTCTTCTCACTCTTTTCTCTTCTTCTTCTTCAATCATTCCTCACTCTTCATGTATTGACGTTGTGCCATTGACAGAGCCCTGATCTAGCAAGCTACTGTCTCCCGTCTATACCCCTCTGACCTCTTATCTAGTCCTCACGGACTCTTAATTCTCCCCAGTATGGCTGCCTCCTGGTACGCCTTGAGAGGCACTCGCCAGCTGGCCCTGCGCGCGCCTAGATTGCGCAGCGCACCTTCGCCAATTGCCCTCCGGAGAACCACTCCGTCGCCTCTGAACGCATGCCGTCGTACCCTGCACACGCCTTCCCAGCAGCCACCCCGCCGGGCAGTCTACACGAGCACATTGGCCGAGCACGGCGAGCCTCAATTCCAGGATGCGTTCCAGCCGCTAGACACCTTCCCCAGACGCCACATTGGCCCTTCACCAGACGCGGCGGAGCAGATGTTGGCGAAGCTTGATCCTCCGGTGGCGTCGTTGGATGAGTTTGTCGCGCAGGTGTTGCCTGCGGACATTTTGTCGAAGAAGGATTTGAAAGTTACGGATCCGAATGCGGATATTAAGCTGGAGCGGGATAATGTGCATGGTGGTGTCGGGGAGACGGATATGTTGAAGTTGTTGGAGACGTATCGGAAGCAGATTGATGTGTCGGGGAAGACGTATCTTGGCACTGGTTACAATCCTACGATTGTTCCTCCGGTTGTTCAACGCAATGTTCTTGAGAACCCGGCTTGGTATACGAGTTATACGCCTTACCAGCCGGAAATCAGTCAGGGTCGTTTGGAGTCATTGCTGAACTTCCAGACTTTGACTACGGATTTGACCGGTCTTCCGTTCGCCAATGCCTCGGTTCTGGATGAGGCTACCGCTGCTGCGGAGGCTATGACCATGTCCTTTGCTCTCCTTCCTGTTTCCAAGCAGAAGAAGCCCAACAAGGCTTTCGTTGTTTCGCACCTTTGCCACCCGCAGACCATCGCCGTGATGCGCTCGCGCGCGGAAGGATTCGGCATTAACCTGGTTGTTGGTGATGTCTTGGCCGACGACTTTAAGTTGGTCAAGGAGCAGGGTGACAGTTTGATCGGTGCTCTCGCTCAGTACCCCGATACCGAAGGTGGTGTCTACGATTTCCAGTCTTTGGGAGAGACCATTCACCAGTCCGGTGGTACCTTCAGCGTTGCCACTGATCTGCTGGCTTTGACTGTTCTCAAGGCTCCTGGTGAGTTTGGTGCTGACATCGCTTTCGGAAACGCCCAGCGACTGGGTGTTCCTATGGGCTTCGGTGGTCCCCACGCTGCCTTCTTCGCATGCTCCGACAAGTACAAGCGCAAGGTTCCTGGTCGTGTGGTTGGCATCTCCAAGGACCGTCTGGGCAACCCTGCCCTGCGATTGGCTTTGCAGACCAGAGAACAGCACATTCGTCGTGAGAAGGCTACCAGCAACATCTGTACCGCCCAGGCTCTTTTGGCCAACATGAGCGCTATGTATGCTGTCTACCACGGACCTGCTGGTCTGAAGGCTATCGCTCAACGTATCATGGCCATGACCAATGTCCTCCGTGAGAAGCTTGTCGGATTGGGATACAACGTTCCCGTCCGGACAAACGCCGCTGATGGCGGTGTTGTCTTCGACACCATCACCGTTCAATTGGCCAACAGCCAGGACGCTGAAGCTCTGGTCGCCCTTGCTCGTCAGAACGGCATCTTTCTCCGTCACGTCGCCCCCGAGAAGGTCGGTATCTCCGTGGACGAGACGACCGGCCGCGAGGAACTGAAGGCTGTTCTTAATGTGTTCGCTACCCACGGCTCCAAGGCTGAAGTCAGCTTGGATGAGAGCATTGGCATCGCCCCGGTTCCTGCTACCTTCGAGCGTACCTCTGCTTACCTCACTCACCCCGTTTTCAACACCCACCACTCAGAAACCCAGATGCTCCGCTACATCCGTCACCTCGAGTCGAAGGATTTGTCGCTCGCCCACTCGATGATTCCCCTGGGATCTTGCACGATGAAACTGAACGCTACCAGTGAGATGATGCCTATCTCATGGCCCGAGTTCTCTCAGATCCACCCCTTCATGCCCGCCGACGTCGCCAAGGGCTACATCCAGATGATCGACGACTTGGAGCAGCAGCTTGCGGATATCACCGGCATGGCTGAGGTTACCGTGCAGCCCAACTCTGGTGCTCAGGGTGAGTTTGCTGGTCTTCGTGTGATCAAGAAGTACCAGGAGGCGAACGGTGGATCTAAGCGCAACGTCTGTTTGATTCCCGTTTCCGCCCACGGCACCAACCCGGCTAGTGCCGCCATGGCCGGTATGCGTGTTGTTACCATCAAGTGCGACACCAAGACCGGAAACCTGGACCTGGCTGATCTCAAGGCCAAGTGCGAGAAGCACAAGGATGAGTTGGCTGCGTTCATGGTTACCTACCCCAGCACATTCGGTGTCTTTGAGCCTGGTGTCAAGGAGGCTTGTGAACTTGTCCACCAGAACGGTGGTCAGGTGTACATGGATGGTGCCAACATGAATGCCCAGATTGGTCTGTGCTCGCCTGGTGAGATCGGTGCCGACGTCTGCCACCTGAACCTGCACAAGACCTTCTGTATTCCCCACGGTGGTGGTGGTCCTGGTGTCGGTCCTATCGGTGTTGCAGAGCACCTCCGTGCCTTCCTCCCCTCGCACCCCGCAAGCGAGCACCTCAAGTCGAAGCGCGGAGAGGCCTCCTCGCCTCCCATTAGCGCCGCCCCCTGGGGTAGCGCCAGCATCCTCCCTATCGTCTTCAACTACATCAACATGATGGGCGCCCGGGGTCTCACTCACGCAACCAAGATCACCCTGCTCAACGCCAACTACATCCTCTCCCGCCTCAAGGAACACTACCCCATCCTCTACACCAACGACAACGGCCGCTGCGCACACGAGTTCATCCTCGACGTCCGCAAGTTCAAGGACACCTGCGGCGTCGAGGCTATTGACATCGCCAAGCGTCTGCAAGACTACGGTTTCCACGCACCCACCATGTCTTGGCCCGTGGCTAACACACTGATGATCGAGCCTACGGAGTCCGAGAACAAGGCTGAGCTGGACCGGTTCTGCGATGCTCTTATCTCGATCCGGAATGAGATTGCCGCTGTCGAGAGCGGTGAGCAGCCCCGTGAGGGTAACGTGCTGAAGATGTCGCCGCACACCCAGCGGGATCTGTTGACTAGTGAGTGGGATCGCCCGTACTCGCGTGAGGCGGCTGCATACCCGGTGTCGTGGTTATTGGAGAAGAAGTTCTGGCCTTCGGTTACCAGGTTGGATGATGGTAAGCTTTCCCCCTATTTTACAGAATTGAATGATATGCTAACATATACGTCTAGCCTACGGTGACCAGAACCTCTTCTGCACATGCGGCCCCGTCGAGGAGACCGATTAATGATACCCGTGTTTTGCTTCTTTTCAACATGCATGCGTTTGGCGGCTTTCAACATTTTCTTTAATATTGTTCCTGGGCTGGTTATGAGTGGATGATTGTAGTACGATTGATTCAACATGGTCATGATAGACATGGGTGGCGTTTTTGTTTGCTTTGTATTTCCTTTCGACTTCAACATACTGTACAGTACTCGGTAATCGCAAAAGCATATTATCGTTATCGTTATCGTTATCAGTAGATCTACAGTGGGATGCAATAAGTGTCCGCACCCCCCCTTTTCTGCCAACATTGACCGCTTATATATTGCCGCTAATATACATAGTTACATCTAATATACATACTAATATACATACTAATATACATACTAATATACATACTAATATACATAGAGTACGGAGGTGGGCGGAGGTTGAGGCAGTCAATTAGGCGGCAAAAGGGGGGGGGGGGGGGGTGCGGACACTTATTGCATACCACTGTATCTTATCCTGAGCTGAGCTGAGGTGCATGTGGAGATAGAGAGATACCCCTCCAGCTGAAGTCTAGGGAAAATTTTTCAGCACTTGTTCTTTTCTTTTCTTCTCTTCATCCTTCAACACCGGAATTGCCATTGCACTTGCACACCAAACAAACAAACAATACGAAGATGGCCACGCCAACATACACTCTCTTCTTCGGAACATTCATCCACCTCCCCCGCCAAACAAGCCTGAACGGCCCTCATACCCTCGAAATCAGCCACGGCGTCCTCTGGGCATCGACTGATGACGGTAAGATCAAGGGATATAACTGGGATGTTCGCAGTGAAGATGATCTCCGGGAGTTCCTGGAAGGTAGGAAATGGGGGAATGAGGTGAAGGTGGTTCGCGCAAGGGAGGAGAGGAATGAGTTCTTTTTTCCGGGGTTTATTGGTATGCCTACGTTATATCCACTGGTGATTGATGAGAGGGTGCTGATGAGAAAGTACAGACACGCACATCCACGCCCCGCAATATCCGAATTCCGGGCTGTTCGGGTCTTCGACGTTACTGGACTGGTTACAGAAGTATACCTTCCCGCTTGAGAAAGCGTACGGGGATCGTAAAGTACCGGATAGTGTGCCCCCGAAGGCGATAATGGCCTATAACCAAGTTGTCTCCCGCACGTTATCGCATGGAACAACGTCTGCATGCTACTTCGCGACCATCCACGTCCCCGCGACGAATTACCTAGCGAGTCTGTGCCACAACCGTGGCCAAAGAGCGTTCATCGGACGGGTGTGCATGGATGACGAAAATACCTGTCCAGCTGATCTTAGGGATACTTCCGCCGGTGAATCCGTGACCGCAACGAAAGCAAACATCGCACACATCCAATCCCTCGATCCGAACGGCAATCTCGTGAAACCGATTATAACGCCCCGCTTCGCGCCCTCGTGTACAGAGCAAGCATTATCAGACCTAGGCGCGCTAGCAGCGGAGCACAAACCCCCGCTACACATCCAAACACACATCTCCGAGAACAAAGACGAAATCGCCTGGGTCAAAGAACTATTCCCCGACTCTGCAAACTACGCAGACGTCTACGATAAAGCGAACCTGCTCACACCCCGCACAATCCTCGCGCACGGCATCCACTTGACCCCGCAGGAACGCGAGGTAGTCTCCGCTAGGAAATCAAAAATCTCCCACTGCCCCGTGTCAAACTCCGCCATCGGCTCTGGCCTATGCCCCGTGCGTGTCTTGCGTGATTCCGGGATAACAGTTGGTCTTGGTACTGATGTCAGCGGTGGGTATAATCCTGGTATTCTGGAAAGTGTGCGGCAGGCGATTCTCATCTCGCGGTTATTGCGCCATACAGTACGGGACGGGGATACGTGCGAGAACGCAAATACCGTGAAAGAAGGACGGGAGAATCTTAGCGTTGAGGAGAGTCTTTATTTGGCTACGAGGGGTGGCGCGGATGTCGTTGATATGGGGGATGAGATTGGAGGGTTTGAGGTGGGGATGTTTTGGGATGCGCAGATGATTCAGCTCGGCAGTCTGAAACTTGCCCCTGCCGTTGCTTCTGGTACGGGCTCTCCTGAAAAGAGTGAGAACAGTGGAAGCGCAAGCAACGTCGACATCTTCGGCTGGGAGAACTGGACGGAGAAGGTACATAAATGGGTATGGAACGGCGATGATCGGAATGTGAGCAAGGTTTGGGTTCGGGGGAGATTGGTTCATGATCGTGATGAGAAGGAGGCTGGGAAGGGTGTTTTTGGGAGGTTATGAGTGGGAATTTGGTGGGGATGGTTGGGATTGTTGGGTTGATGTCTTTGGGGTTGTTCAAGGTTAGTTAGCAGAGCATATGTTTGATACTAAAGACGAAGTACAGCTGGAGCGGTCGTGTGTATTCTGTCTATTATTGTCCAAACAAATAGACTCCTAGCATGTTAAACAGTGACTTCCCAGACAAATACACAAACTGAGCTCCGTTGACACCAGTCCAACACAGCACCCACAGTTCACTTGGCACAAGCCCATCGCTGAGAGCTTGCATATCTGTAGATCGAGAGCGAGAATAAATCCCGATACAAAAAAGTTATTGCACAGCGTTTTGTAGATCCTGAAGTCCATTACCAACGCTTGCAAGGGGTGGCTTATCAAGACCCTTAACCCCATCCGCCGTTCATTCCCACATAAGAAGTCTTTGCTTCCATTCGCGCGAGAAAAGCAGTTGTGGCCGTGGATCTCTTCCTTCTGTTTAATCGTAGTTAGTTCACTTGGACAGAAACGATGAAGATCGATTATCGCACAAGGTTTCAGTAGTTTTCCGCATCGCTCAGGAAGATTTTGCAGGCTGGATTAGCTCTGAATGCTTGCTATATCAGCCACAACCTAGGGGGCCGACTTGCTTTTGGTAAGCGAGCAGTCTGGTGTTTTCCGATTCGGTTAACGGTTCCGGTCGGTTTGGATGTTCGGGTTATTCATCGTGTTTGTTGTAGTGTCTGCGTGGCTTGAACTTTAGTATGGACGATCAAACATCGTCTGCTTCATCTCTCAGCTGTTCAAAAACCATCGGAAATTGTCGAGTAAGCTTGCCGCTTGTTGTCCGCTATTTGATCAAAACCGCAATACCTACTGTAGCGTAGGATCGCGTCCAAATGGATATCAGTTGATGTGGTGTTCAAGGAAACCTCTGCTTTAGAAATGCCACCACAGCCTCTGCGAGGCACTCGGTCTTGTGCCAGTCTTTTGCTTGGGCGATTTTTGCGGCCTTGTGTCCTTGCGCGTGTGCACGCTCAGCAAGTCTTATTGCCATCTGTCGGTTCTCTGTTGACTGGCGCTTTTTGGTTTTGCCCTTATTAAATGACCCGTGCGTCAGGGATCAACGCCATCGTGAACCAGTCGAAGAACACATCCACGGCTATAAAATGGCATCGTCGCTATTTTTAGCCATGGGAAATTCAAGCAAATAAGACGCGAAGGTTGTTACTTTTGCGTATGGACGTGGCCTATCCGATGTTTGCGGGTGATGTCGCTGCCATCCACCCTGAGATGTATACCTCACACCTTGCCGAGTAATACACAAAAACCTCCATGACATTGCCATCGCAGAGAACAGCCAGGACTGGCGTCTATTGCCCGGCCTTCCTGTTCGCGAACTCGCAGGCTGGTCTATGTGAGCTTACTGCTTGAATGACTGGAAGGATCAACATACCCGCACAGTCTGCCAGGATCTGGCCTTTCATGTCCAGATCGTGGCCGCCCAAGGCCTTTTTCACCTCGACGGAGATGACACTCACGGTGTCAAAAATTGTGAAGTGGTGTTTGATGCAACCCTTCCTCGTGATGTTGCTTTCAAACGAGCCTTCACACTTGTTCATTACAGAAGAACCAACGAGCGACAATGTGAGCGAACAACTATTTGTTATTAGTTATACTTCTTGGGTCAATATCTAGCTGCTATGTACTAACCGCCATAATGAATCGCGAGCGTACCTCCTCGTTTTCTTGAACTTGCAGTGGATCGAATTGGCTCATGGCCACGTCGAAGTCTCCGAGGATGTCATAGAAGATAGAACGAGGCATGCGCGATGCAAACACTTGCAGTGGCTTCATATTGTCGCCTTTTCTGCCGGGGCAACTTGTTTGTACGTGACACCTGAGAATGAGGCCTCGATCTTGCTGCCTGAACGGTGTAAGTACAGTGTATTCTCTCCTTTTGTATCTGACTTTTCTTTGGATATCAGAATACTTACCAGTGTATAGCTGGCGGGCCACGTCAAGAGGCACGTCGTAGTACCTTATCAACTGGAGGAACGCCTTCTTTGGCGTGAAGTATGCATTGCTCTGGATTTGCGATATACATTGCAGCAAGTCATTGTCCGGCGCCAGCTGTGACAGCAACATGTCTGGTCGATTTTTGACTACTCCCGGGCAAGCCGGGTTGGTTGTCTGCGCAGGAAGATTAGTTGAAGCACTATTGCAAGAAAAATGCAAACAGTGCATTGCGAGATATCCTGTCAGCCGAGAGGACTATTGCGTGTTGCTTTCGTCCTTGTTCCCCGTGGTTAATTCACCGTCGAACTGCCTTGTTTGTCTTCTCCACGGCAGCGTTGAATCCACCTTCTAAAAGCACCTCCGCGTTTGAGGCATAAATAAAGCCATTTCCATAGCTTTTGAGATGCTTCACTCGATCCTCGCCGATTTCGCGTGTCATTTCCGCGCCATATATTATTCGTTGGTTACTGTACTCGTGATGCTCGATATGTGCAATATGAGAACACCAAGCAGTCAGGCCAGTCAAGGTCTCGCAACTTCTGCTTCATGGATTAATCTTCAATTTTGCAACCAGGTATAAATTCACCAAAAGCTGTCTTACCCAGCAAACCTTCTATGTCTTTGTAATTTCCAGCTCTATAAAGGTTTCTAGCATGATGCTTTTAGTTGGATTACCAACCACGTCACCAGTTAGTTAGTCAAGCCAGTCTTTATGGCCACTTTGGTGCTGTAGTTTTCCAAAATTACCGTAGGTGCTGCAGGTATCTCTGGAAATTACCATATATTCCACAGATCTCTATACGTACCATAAGCTAAGGATTGGCTAAACCCCGGGATAGTGCCATATCGAAGGATGTGCGTACTTCAGCGCGATATCCTCAAAATAACTATCGTTAGTATGGCTTTGATTTCTTGCTCAAACAAAATTCCACCGCGAGGCAGACCACGCATAGAGACTGACACGCAGAGTCCGCTCTCGTGTTTTTGACAAATGGCAGTGCCAGGCGGCCGGTGTGTGCGCTTGAAAGGGACGTTTATCACCGCGGAGACCATTGCTGGGTGGATAAATCTGGAAATAGTCCAGAGACATTGATTGAAAAAGTGGGTGATTTTCTGCAATTGATTGGTTTACTGTTCCTTTCTCGCTGCAATACCCAAATTTGCGCAGCAAGCCACAAGGCACTGGATTTCGGTATTCAATTGCATGCGATGTAGATGGTAGCCTCCGGGAGAGTTGTAGATGTTCCAGTCATTGAATATAGGAGGGAAGGGCGAACTTCAAGCCTTTACTGTAACTGGATTATCCGGGTTGATATACATAGATCTGACAAACAAACCCTGTTCAAGTTGTTGTACATCATTCCGATATGGAGTAGCTTGACGTACGTCGAAGTCAATATGGACTCTGTTCTGGGTGCCCTCGATCTCATGAACTTCGTACCACGGCGTTGCGTCTCGTGAGGGATTGGCATACTGACTAGCAATTTGTACTTGCAGTACAGCATGAACCTATGAGCAACTTGAAACCATCAAGCAGAATATGCCACTCAAAGCTTCTCCAGAGGATATATCAGAATATATACTAATGTCCAATTACCAGCAGGACTTTCCTTTCAGCATTGGTTTGCGGTTGTACATTTCGCATCACCCGCATCATGGATCGCACAGTAATTCCTGTATCTCGCAGGCAATTCGAATAGTATGCAACACAATGCGACTAAATCCCCCTTGATCTCGGGGGGGGGGGGGGAACCCAGCAATCATTGTGGGCCCATGTCTTTCCGAACTCTCGCTGACGTGTGGCCACTGTCCTTGGATAATTAGGCATTGATAAGTCACCGGTATAGCTCTCGTCCGACACAGATCGCTCATCCGTGTGGGTGTTGCTTTTGGATAAGAACCTCGCAGGTTGCGTTGTATGGTTGCATTTGAATAACCGACATCGGTGAAGTGCGAATCCACCGTCAAAGACTAGATTGAAATGTCTTTGTTGCTTTACCTCGCTGGATCAGTATGCCTTGGTCAACTATAGACGGGGGGTACATACATCTATAATGCCATGACTTTATGCATTCTAACATTCTCCTTGGGGGATGGGTGTCATTGTCATTCCGCAAGAGTCACGACCAAAGTTCGCCTACGAAATTATTGAATGCGGATTAAGACACACGTGGGCCGATTGCTCGTTGCGAATGTTTCATCGATGGTGTTCTGTATACAAGTCGTATGAACGGAGCATATATCCAGTTCGTTGCTTTTTTCGTTTTGGCACTTTGGAATTGGAAATGGGAGTTTCGTCGAACGATGGCGCTGTGCGTGATTTTTTAGAATCGGGATTTTTCCCGGGGTATATATGGGCTCTTCTGCCATGGCTCTGATATTTGACGCAAAGAAAGGACGTATGAAGAGGACGTATATATTTCATGAAAATAGTAAAAATCGACCATGGAGTCCATAATGATTAGCCTGGTCTCCCCGACTCTGGACGTATATATAGAAGTGGGTTGAGGAATTCATGAGAATGATAGAAAATATTGGCCAGCTATATGGTCAAGAAGAAGTGAATAAAGGACTACAGAGCCATCTAGTGAATATTTTCAAAGAAGATGTACGTATCTGAAAGGAACGGTTGATGTACGGGATACAGCATATAAAGAATAAAGAATACACACAATTATGAACATTCAAGTAGATATCCCCGCAGTCAAAATTATTAATTATAATGCTCCATAAAGCAATTTACATACACATCTACTCAGCCAACTTCAACCCCTTCCTGTACGACGTCAGATACACATACTGACAGCCGCGAACATCACCCGCGACAATCGAATCCGCGAGATCGTTGTTGTTCAGGTCCTTTAATCCGTCCCTCTTAGCATCCACAACGTACATCCGTGTTCCCATGTCGATGACACTGCATGTCGCCAGGGCGTAGAACCGGTCTTCGATCGCTCCCACGTACATGGCGGGGGAGTCTTCGAGCTCACTTGTGTGGACTTCTGCGAGGGTGCTGTGGTCTTGTTAGTTTGGCAGTTTTGAAGAGAGGGAAGGGGGCGAGACATACATAAACTTGGAACCAACAGGGACATCAGTCAAACGAGAAGAACGGAGGTTGCTGACACCAGTCGCTTCCATCTCGCTGGGGTTGTAGTTGAGGTATCCACCGTAGATATCACCGATGATCACGACGTCGCTTGCATCGGGACGACTGGCAAAGGGCGATCCAGCGGCGGTGTCAGGGTCGCCGTACGGGGCCAAGTACAGACGGTCTTCCTTACCGGCAAAGAGCACGGCAGTCCGGTTCATGTCGGTGATAATGTTATCGTACGAGAACTTAGTCACCGGCTCCACGGTGTCAACATCAACCGGGACATGGTCGATCTTGGGGGGCTTTGTCGAGACGCTTCCATTCGAGAATTTGTTGTCAACCGCGATTTTGGGATCCTTGATATCCTCATCCTCGTCACCGTCATCTCTCGTTTCCAGGGCGCGGCGTTTGAGATCCTTGGAGGTGGTCTTCTCTCCAACACATCCCAGTGGCTTCTCCCAGAGGGTCTTGGTGTCGATGGCGTGGTCATACAGGCCTAGCAGCTCGAGACTGATGTAGATATAATTTTGTACAGCCAGTCCGAGCGTAATTCCCTTGCAGGACTCATCTTCTCCGGCCTTGGCGTTCACCAGGAATGAGGGCTGGTCGACCAGGCCTACTGTCTTCTTCCACTTGCCATTGAGAACGTCGACTCCGAATTCTAGCGCCAGTGGGAGACCGAAGTCCAACGTCACACCCAACTTGGGATCACCACGGAACTTGGCGATGGGTGTGAATTTGGGCTCAAATCCGGTGACCCCCGTCTTGCTGCCGTCCAGGAAGTCCAGTCGTGCCTTACCGGGGGTGATCTCAAACTTGGCGCCGATGAGGATGTCTGCCTCAGCCTGGAAATAGATATCGATCACCGCACTGACCGAGATCTGGGGACCAATGGACAGGAAACCCGGAATCTGAAGGGGGGTCGGGTTATACGCCAAGAGCTCCTTCTTGAACGCCTCCAGCTTATACTGGCCCTGCAGCGTCATTGCCAGCGCCAACCGCGAGTCCCATCCTGCTCCGGCTTGCAGGTATCCTTCCTTCATGCCGTCTCTGATGCTGGCTGCGACACGGCCGCTGAACGAGACTTCGCCCCGCGCATAGCAGTTCTCGCAGCTAATGTTGGCGGGGATGATCCCGCTGCTTGCAATCACCAGTCCCGAGCCTTCGCCAAACAATCCAGAGCTCGTGGGCACACGAGTAGTGCCTGAACCACCGAGATTGAAAGACCGCTCAACGCTCGTTCCGAGACTCCATTCGTAGCCCAAGGGGTCCTGGATGAATTTGCCAATCTCCCGACCCGCATCGATGACGACTTCGACGACCTTCTTGACCACGTTGACTACTGTTTCAACAGCGTCCACAATAGCATTCGCGACCGTCTACAGGTGCCATGTCAACAATGTCCTCTAGGTCAATGAAGAGATGATGCAACACTTACCTTGACCGCATTGGATATCCAGTCCCAGAATCCACGTTCCTGCAGCATGGCACGCTTGTCAATTGGCGTCACCGTGCCGTTATAGTTCGCAGGTGTGGCCTCGGGCGCATCGGGGTAGGTCTCCGTGATAGGTTCCTCGAAGAAACTCGCCAGCTTGTCTGGATCATCCGTGATGTCGACTGTATCGTCCTCAGCGATAGCAGCGTCGCGTCGACGCAGGCTATTGCGCTGTGCTGCTCTCTGGTCTCTCTGCTGGAGTGCCTCTTCGTAGTGGCCAAAGTCCATTTCGAATTCATCCATGGCGTCCTCGAGGGGAAGCTCGGTGGCATTGACATGCGCGCATCGGTTCTTCATCTTAGAAGAGCCAAAGCTGATAGAGGAGACCTTCCAGAATGTCCGCATGCCGGTGTCATAGTCACCGCAGCCTGCATGGTTAGTACCAAGGAGAAGAGGGCCGTGGTTCGCCTTCCATGTCTCCTCTGCGTGGCTCTTGGCCTCATCACTGGTGAAGCACACGTCTAGACCGTTGGGGCGACAGGCAACCTCTTTTACGTGCGATGAGTGATCGAGGAGGACCGTGGGGTAATTGAAAGTCGACAGGATGTGTCCGAATGAGGAGACATCGTGTTCTATCATCCATCGGTTAGTCTCCTTAATCGGTTAAGACGTGGCTAAGGGATATACTGTACCTGTCTTGCCATCTTCCCGATAGTGCAGGGCTTGTTGTAACCCCGGAACCAGATGATCCAGGTGGTTGGCATCGTGACCCGGAGGGTGTGCCGGAAAGAGGGTACGATGGCCAGGGTTGGACTGGCGCGCAGCACTGGCACTACCGGCCAACACGGCGAGAGATGCAGCCAGGAACTTCATCCTTTGGGTCTTGAGTGTCTGAGAGGATGCTGAAACTTGGTCCAGTATTCATGCTGTGCTGATATCCCGATTAAATACTTGAGCATCCCGACCAAAGTACGGATTCTCGGGTCCAGGGGAAATCCACAGGCGCGCGAAACCTGAATGCAGAATGTGATGGACATACCGCATTGCATACTAGCGTCGATAGAAGGGTTCATGATAACTTAATCCCACCGAGTCAATCGATTCATTGCAATAGTATGATTGCAATAGTAACCCCACACGGAAGCCGAATGGATTCATTAGTTCCTGCACGGATCAACAACAAGGCAATCCTATCCGGATCACACAGCACAGACTGAGTCAAGACCCCCCTCTAGTCCTTTCCAATCCAAATCATGATCCCTTCAGCCTCGGCCCGCACCGAGGCACAGGTCAGGGCTGATGAAAATCCTCCCAGAAAGGAATCCTATGAACGAAGATCAGTACAATGGTTGCGATGATCCGTGCAGTAGCGACGTGCGATGAGGATCTTAAATTGAGATCCTTTTCAGCTGAGGATCCACAGGAATCTTAGGGCAATGTGATATCCGGCGGAGTGCGGTGATCGACTCGCTAGTCCAATTGGGAACCGGTTCTCGGACGAACACCTACTGAAAAAGCTTGATCTTATCACCATGAATGGATAGATCGATGCAGGGTCAATGGTCAATGTGTTCCATTTGCCGACATTCCCTTTTCAGTTTTCTTGTTCAGATGTGGCCCGCTAGTCATATTGTCTGTAGGACTAACGGGTAGCGGTCGGTCCGCTCTTGGGCTGTCGCAAATTATCATTCAATCCCCCTCCAGCATTGGAGCGAGGAGAGGTGGTTTCATAAAATGCTCACTGTAACGATTATTGAGAAGGAGAAGTCTAGAGCAAACAAGGAGATAAAGGAGATCAAGAACCGGTTTTCCGGGAACACCCGCTGTCAAAAGCATTGATCCGTTCGGGCATCGGGGGATCGATCAAGCCAGGGCCAAGACGGACTTGGGCCATAGTTGTCTCGCCCTATGCCCCAGTGTCCCTTTCTCGACATTCTTGCTCAGACATAATATGGTAGTCTTGTTCGCATGTGATTATCTGCAAGAACAACAGGTCGGGTTAGGTCTCTTCCGGATTCTTTTTCCGGTACCTATCACTCAATTTACCTCCAATACTCGGGATAAGGGTCTGGATATGCCCGTGATTCAGCCTCATGCTTTGAATATAGAATCTGCCGTATACTGCACCACAGAGTCAACACGGCACAATGAATGGACACCATCACCACCAAGGTTGCAGAACATCATCGAAATAGCCTCTAAGGTCCCTACGACCAAGTGGGATAAAAAAAATTAAGTCACCTCTCAACATTTGAACACCTTCAATACCCCATGACATGCTTCAAGATGGCTTGTATCTCAAACTCCAAGACTACGGGGCCTGATAACCATCGACAAATTCGCAGAATGTACGTCCCCAGTTAGCATCCGGCGTAACCAGCTTTTTAACACTCGACAAGAGCGGACTTCCAGGTCCTCCCTCTTCTCTTAATCGGCTTTGCCACTTATCAACTGGATCGAACGAATATTTCAAGCGCATTAACCGGCGGTTTCGCGGCTGCCATCAATGTGGACCAGAGTACAATCAATCTCGGGAACCAGCTGATGTTCCTGGGCGTGATTGTGCTTGAAATACCCTCGAATATAATCCTGCACTCAGTAAAGAATCCAACTCACGTTTTAAATATGTGGAAATATCAGCTGACCTAATTGATATAGATCGGACCACGATGGTGGATCGGCGGGCAGGTCCTGATATTCGGCATCATGGCCGCGCTACAGATCTTTGTCCAGAATAGATCTGGATTTCTTGTCACGAGGACATTCCTCGGGTTAGCAGAGGCCGGGTACATCCCTGGTGCGATGTACACTTTATCATGCTGGTATACGAGAGAGGAGCTCACGAAGCGCATCGCGGTGTTCTTCTTCGGGATGTTCGGGGGTACTGCGGTTTCGCCGCTACTAGGTGCCGCGTTGTTAACGTTGGACGGAAAGGGTGGATTATCAGGCTGGCAGTGGATTTTTCTAGGTACGGTCTTTGGCTTTCGCTGCGATTCTGGTTTCAACCGCTAATTTCCCGCAGTGGAAGGTATATGGTCGATGCTGGTAGGAATCATGCTACTGGCCTTCCTCCCAGAACGACAAAACATCCGAACAAACACACCCGCTCAAAGCGATGTCTTGGAAGATGTAGAAAAGCAGCCAAGCGATGTCACTATCCAAGAGGCTCCCAGCCAAAGCCAGCACATCTCCCTCGAAGTCGTATGGAAAACACTAACCAACGTCCAAAAATGGCCGCATTTCCTCGCTACAGCCTGCGTCTTTGCAACATGGAGTCCGCTCACAACCTACACGCCCACCATCATCATGTCCCTGGGCTATTCGCGCATCGAATCGAATGCGCTAGCCGCAATCGGAAACTTTATCACCCTGCCCGTCGTTTTGTTTTTCGCGTGGCTGAGCGATAGAACAAAGCAACGCGGCCTGACTGTGATGGTGGCTATTACCTGCTATCTGATTGCGGTGATTCTTCTGAGATGCCTTCAAGCGCGAGTTGGGAAATGGGGACGATTCGGGCTATGGACGACGGTAAATGGGCTGGCGGTTGGATACCATCCGATTCATAACTCGTGGATTCAGATGAATTGCAAGAGTCCGGAGGAGCGGAGTATTAGTGTAGCGTGAGTTCTCCCAGAATTCTCTTTTACTCAAGAGGCATATGCTGACCTGAAACTCCTTCCAGAATGTGTAAGAGATGTCCCGTCCCACCTTATACAATCTGACTGTCAATGATCACTGTACTAACCTCCCCCGAGTTGTGATGACTGCAACAGGTGGCCTCATGGGAGGACAACAAATCTTTCGCAAGGACGAGTCCTCGACAGGGTGCGTTATCAGATAGTCCGGACAGCTTGAGATCCGATGCACTGACAATATTCTCCCTTGCCAGCTATCCTAGAGGATTGGTGATCATGATTGCTCTTATTGTGTCAGGTCTAATCCTGACCGCAGGACAGATGGTCATTTACTTTTTCTCGAACCGTCGGAAAAAGAGAGTAGGGGTATCAGGGGAGCTTGATGTCCTCTAATATAGCGAAATGAGCACATTATTGGTCGTATGGGCATCCTTCTGGAGGAGCAAATTTTGGAGATTTAATTAAACTGTAAATTGGAATAGACAAAAACATGAAACATCCGGTCCAGATAAATACCATAAATAGAAATCAATGAAACCGATATATCCTAACTGCCGGGATCGATGATCACTGGAAAAGCTCAACACAGTCAAAGACCTGCAAAAATACCTGTTAGCTTGGTATACGATAGACCATAGGAAGCACGACTCACAAAGTTAGGGCTGAGGAACTCGTCCCCGGAGCTTCCGGAAATGACAGTGATGTTGATCTGTGCGCGCATTAGCAGTGCTCTATGTATTGCCTCGGAAGGAAGTACTAACCGTGTTGATACCCTCAACAATCGTCCCCTCAGGGATCGAAACATCGTATACGTCCCCATAGCCGCGGTACGCACCGCGAGTGACTCCGCGGGAGTTGAGGTCTGTCGGGGCGGAAGGGGCATCTCCGGAGTAATCGTTGATCTGTCTCATTAGCTCTAGGTCTTTGGCAACATGTTATTGGTTATGCACGTACAGTAGCTTGAGGACGACCACCAGCAAAAGACAGCGTAGTTCCGATGCGCAGTGTCGCGGCACCGGTCTGCGATGAGGTGGCTTCGAATTCAATCGACACCGGAGAGTTCACAGCATCAAAGATGGCCATGGGGAAGTCGGTCAGCTCGGAGCTGTTAATGGTATAGGTGCCGGTACTCCAGTCGGACATTCTCGAGTCGGAGGGGTGCATGCGGAGCTGGTTCTCTGCGTTGCGGAATCCGGTAGGTCTGGAAATGTTAGAGAGCCTTTTTTTTTTTTTTTTTCACAGAAGAGCGGCGTATTGTGAGCTTACTGGCCATCCCATTCACCGATCTTGAAAATGGTAGTTCCGGTCGTAACAGATCCGGAGATATCCTTTGATGTGCTTGAACCAGCGCTGACTTTCACTTCGGTCTCTGCGACATTGAACTCGCCCTGGTAATACACCATGGTGTAGGTTCCGGGCTTCATGGCTGGAGAGGTGAAGCTGCCATCGGAAGAGGTGTATGTCCAGTACTGTGCGTCGTCGTTGTACCTTGGACACAATATGAGTTTCCCATTCTCGTGACAGGGATACCAGTCACTTACCAGTGAACAACCCAATCAATACTAGAATCGGCCCCCGACGCAGTACCAGTGACCGTCCCTCTATCCTCTTCCGCAACATATCCCTGGATATCGAGGTCCGCGAAGAAAGAGGTGTCGACATCGGTGCTGGGGGTTCCGCTACGGCTGAAGTACATCGAGTACGGGCCATGGAGACCCACGCGGAAGTCCTCGGTCGTCACATGGCCAGAGTTCTACAGCGGTCAGCATTGCAAAAGGGTCTAATGGGCGGCTACCATACCATGTACCAGTAGAGGTTGGTGGAGTCACCGGCGTTGTTGGAGTTGATATCGCTGTGGTAATGTTAGATACTGTGTAGTATATTTGTATCTAGGCTCACTTACCGATGGAAAGGACCGCCAGACGAACTCTCGTACTGGTTCAGGATCATGCAGATACGGCGGTCATCACCGGAGACGCAGTGTCTCTGGTCATCAATGAAGCGCTCGCTGGAGTAGAACTTGCTTCGGGTCTCTCCATCGATCAAGAACTGCGGTCCTGTTAGAATATCCTTTCGCCTCCCTCGCCGAGATACTTACGACATCGGATCCTTCGATGGCCTCTCCACCACCGGTAGTGGATACATCGCCGAAAGGCTCCTCGTTGGGCAAGAGGTCTGGGTCGAGACGAGCGATCCATCTCAATTCTCCGATCGATGGTTCTATGGCATGTTAGAATAAACAATCCGCACACATGTCAACCAATTTGCAAAAACTACCTTCAGTAATATAGGTTGCCATATGGATGACCGAGTCGCCATTGTGGACCACAAAGTACTGTGTCAACGTGTCCGTCTCACACGTTACTTTGATATATTCACCTTTTTGATACATTAGTGAAATCTCTATACAGTCCATTGTTTTCTTTCCAAGATGCTCTTACCACTCTGAGTAGCAGATACCGTCGCACTTCCCAGGCCGGACCCAATGTGAGATCCTTTACCAGAGTACTGGAGTTCGGAGCCGTAGTAGTTGATCGACGTGATATCGCAGCTCCCACGGTCCACAGTGAACTTCAAAGGATTGGCAGAGCCAGCGTCGATCACATAGGAGTCATCATTATCCGTGATCCCGAAAGCCGCGGATGCGACTTGCGTGCATAGAGGGAGTAAGGAAATGCCGAAAAACCTGGACCGCATTGTTTCTGGTAGACTCCGTTGAAAGTGTGCCTGAAGAACCGGACAAGCTTAGGGACATCCGCTGCTTTTATTTCCTGCCAAACCTGGTTCTCTTGGCGAGTCCGAGCGAGCGTTTGCGGTTAATACAACCTGTCAGGGAAGCTCTTGATAGTTCATTTCCATCGCATACAACAAGACCTGTCAATGGTCGGGAAGCTAGCCTGTTTCGAGGTACTAGCTCCGGTGATGTCGGCATTATATTGGTCTCCGATGTGATGACAGCCGAATATAGCGTCAAGAACATTGAATGAGACGGCGGACTCGATCTGGATCCACAATTTAATATAGTAGAGTCGTATATATATTGCTTGCCGCGAGTGCGGAGTATGTACTCCGGTACAAAGTACAATCTGTAGTCCTCTCTGGGCATGCCCCCTTGTGCTTCCAGTAATTGTGATGGACGGCTATCGGCTGTAGTCGAGTACTGAGTATGCTTTTGAATATATTTAGCCGTTGAACCCAGCATGCTCAAGGGAGAACCTCTTACCGTGTTTATTTAACCGGTTCCTAACGCCAAGACAGTCGCTACATATGCTATGCGCTAGCACGTTTCATCGATCGCGTCAAAAAACAGAATGGTCCTTGCTCAGCTAGTAAGGAGCAGTCTCGAGGGTCAAGGTATAAGAATGACAGCCATGGCGCCGGTCAGGCACATGGCTTCCAAGGTCTTAACCTGGGATATCGCGTATCTGTGGATAAGTTCAGGCATGGTGCATACTAAGAACAATCAATTAACCGAATCGTTTACCGCCAATATGTAAACCTATATGGGCTGCTGTCACATTTGTTCATGCCGGACTTTACAAGCTTATAGTATGTAAAGAGGTATATTGTTCATCTGATGGGGTGATGGTGTAGTTGGGAGCGCGTTCGACTGAAGATATCAGAAGATATTATTAGAGAATCAGAGGGTCGCTGGTTTTCTTTTTAGGCTAGTTGGTGTAGAACTTCAAGTTCAAACTCTGTTTGTTGTGTTATATTATAAAATCTACATCCTCCATAGCCTCATTAGGCAGTCTCAATTACTCGCCGGAAAATACAACATTGTCAGATGCAAGTTCCTGTCTGTTCGTACAGGAGTTATGAACAGTATGCATCGAATTGTACGAGGGTGCTAAGCCGTAGGGACGTGGTACTTGGAATGGATGGCTCCCGCCTCGTATTCCTCCGAATGAATTCTCACCATCCAGCAAACAACGAAGTTCCGCTATGTTCGTTCGTGTCAACGGAATTTGTCACGGCATCATGGCGAGTAGCAAACTACGTCCGAGATTCCGGTTCGAAAAAGCAAACCGACCATAAGACGTCAATATATGCGTTCTGTATGCTTTGGAGCTGTGATTGCATCCTGGAAAAGAACCGTCGTGCAGGGCGTGATTTGAATTGGTATCGGAGAGCCCAGTGCTTATGCGCTGTCAGTGCTCATTTCGTCGCGCTGCATCTACGGTCGCATAATATCTCCTGGCGTGCCTCGTGTGAGTGTTCTGCTGCTTTGGAAGCGAATAGTATAGAGCGGGTGGCAAGGCTTGGACATGATAAGTTGACGTGTTCGTCTTCGTCTCGCAGCGGACGTCGTTCCGGTTCTGACTAAGATTGGCACTAGTTAGCAAAAATCCGGGGTGACAAGGCTGCGCTCAGTACTTCGTATTAGACAAGCCAATGGTGGTATCTCTTGATGTTTTGGTGGTAAAGACTGGACGATGTCGGCCTTCCTGTTTGGGACGTCACAGGGCGACCAACCCGATTTTGACTATTCCAACCTCCGGTACTTCCTTCACTGTCGCTCTTTGATTTCAACCATCCGAACATTCTGCAATTCAGGATAATTTCAGTAGACGATGGGAAATGATGTTGATCTCCCGGGAATGATCCATGGTCTCGGAGGAATTCATCGCTAATGCAACAGTGAGTGTGAAGACAGTGTCTACTCTGTACGGGAAGAGTTGTTACTAACTACGGAAACAGATTGTCTACCAAGAATAATGCCAAGCGCCTGCTTACGATTGTCCAGGCCCTTTCCCGAACAATTGAGACACAGATCCGGCGTGGCTATGAACGGTCCATGCAGCGTTTGTCTGACCCGTGTCTAATTCGATACGAGATCTGAATTGACTCACCGTCAGCCTCCCAGGAATGTTGATATTGTTCTCTACTGAAGATATTGTTCTCCCAGTGCAATAGTTTCGGAGACTTTGCCAGCAAACAAAGAAAACAAGAACACTCTACACCCGTTCGAGAAACCTTCGGCCATGTGGTAACGTTGCTTCTCGAAGCCATGTGGTATTACTGGGATAGTCGCAGATACAGGGATTCTTCCGTCTGTGGCACAGGATTACCGTCCTTGAGTTCCGTGTATGCGCCATACTCCGGTGCTCTGTCGTACAGTACCCAATGTGTCCATTCACATCGACAATACGAGTTCCTAAAACGGGTAAGTTTACCTGCCTGCTGTCTCGGCTGCATTGGCTTTTTTTTTTTTTTTTTCTTTTTGTTTTGTCTGACCTCGTGCAAACTAGATGGTGGGTACCAGCAGGGTCGCTCAAAGCCTTTGCTTGCCTATATATATATCCTGTGACGGTACCCGGCTGCGTATAGGACATCTTCCATTTCATCGGTCCATCGCTTGGGAGGAAACGACTTCATCGCCCTAATATGCGCCTCGACATGGCCTTTGTTCCTTTTGCCTTGGGGCTTTTGGCGTTTTCCACTGCCGTTGCTGCATTTCAACAACCGTTACCTTTTGCCCGACGCTCCGATAACGCCCCAGCTGAGAGTCACAAAGCTGAATATGCTACTGTATGTATAACTCTACCTTGGATGTTATCTCTGCCTTGTCATCCACAGACTAATATTATCCTGTCAGATTCCTATTGATCACAACGATTCTTCTATTGGCACCTACCAGAATCGTTACTGGGTGAACGAGGAGCACTATACTTCGGGAGGCCCGGTGTTTGTTCTCGATAGTGGAGAATCCCCCGGCGATAGTCTGGCAGAACATATACTGTTCAACTCGTCAACCTTTTTTGGTAATGTCCTGGAGGAGTTCCACGGGATGGGACTCGTATGGGAACATCGGTATGTGAAAGAAACCGTCTTGGACGTATTTTCATTGGGCTCTGTTAACACTATCGCAGATACTATGGAGACTCTCTTCCGTTACCCATTGAGAAAGACCCTGCGCCGGAGAATATGAAATACCTTACCGTGAGCCAGGCACTGGCTGATCTTCCCTATTTCGCAAAGAGCTTTAGCCGGGACGGTTTCAACGACACCAACTTGACCCCAAAGGCAACACCGTGGATTATGATTGGTGGATCGTATCCTGGCATGCGCGCTGCATTTACTCGGAATGAATACCCGGACACGATTTTTGCTGCATTTGCGGCTTCTGCACCGGTCGAGGCTCGTAAAAATATGTCTGTGTATACCGAACAGATCTACCGTGGAATGGTAGCCAACGGACTGGAAGCCTGCACCAAGGATGTGCATGCTGCTATGTCATACATCGATGAGCAACTGTCCAACCATGAGACCGCCGCATCTATCAAGCAAACATTTCTTGGGCCCGGAGCCGAGAAAAACACCAATGGGGATTTCGCCTACACTTTATATTCTTTGTTTCTGTCTTTCCAAAGCCGTGGGATTATAGACCATCCGGGAACTATCAAGGATTGGTGCACGTACTTGGAAACGGACCCGAACACGAACAAGACTGCAGGTCCAGAGGGCCTCGCACCATCTCGCGGCGGTCAATATGTCGCTGAGCGACTGGCATCATGGCCTTATTACGTCGAGAGCATCAATAAAAATTTTGAGACCAATTGCAAGGGCACCAACGAAGCAGAACCCATTTCCTGTGAGCTGAGAATGCTGGTGACATTGCCCGACACGATCAGCTGGTACTGGCAGTATTGCACCGAGTTAGGATACTATCAAATCAGCAATGTCGGCCCTCATCAGCTAGTGCCCAAATCCTTAGACCTGGAATATGAACAGGACCTCTGCAACCGCAATTTCCCGACCGCTATTAAGAGCGGCCAATTCCCGTCCAAGCCGCAGGTCGATGCAGTGAACGCGGAGCATGGTGGCTGGACGATTCGTCCATCCAATGTGTTCTGGAGTGCAGGGGAGTTGGACCCATGGCGGACTTTGAGTCCCTTCTCGACGGAGGACTTTGCACCCAAGGGTGTCAAGTATACCACCGACATCCCCAAGTGCGGCGTGCAAACCGCCCAGGACATTCTGTTCGGATATCTTATGGAGGGCAAGATGCATGTCGCCGATGTTGTTGCTGGTGCAAAGGTCGACACCGCCACCCAGACTTCTTGGAACACTTTCAGGGCTGCCTTGCACGAGTGGCTTCCATGCTTTGAAGGTCAGAACAACGGTGATTCCGCTTGATTGGATTGGAGACGGCTGAATGGTTCGTCCGGGGAAATATGTTGTACATTTCTTGATGCATAATGCGTATTTTAGACTGTCGCTTACTTGAGTGTTTCATATCTTCATTATTTTCAATAAAATCCATTCCATTCCACTCTGAGTACGGCTTCCGAGCCCCCTCTTTCCCCAATCCGGCAATGCTGATTGTCAATGCCGTGGATCCCACACTAACCCGATTTGTCGATGCTTGCGATCTTCCATCCTGCCGACTCGCATCCAATCGCAGACGGCGTTATGTATTTCTATCCAATGGAGACGAATTGCTCCGTTTCTGCAAAGGATCCGTCACATGTGTCTAGACCGAGGCGCGGCTTCCGATCGGAGAGATTCTTTCCCCGGACTAACGTCAATCCTGGCGGATCGAATGGAGGGGGAGGTTTTGTAATGTCAATCCACTGAAGTTGGGGTATTTAAATGTGATTGTGTTCATGGATTATCTCCAATTCCAGTGGCTGATGCTGGTTTTTCTTTTTGACATTCCGGCCGCGTTGAAAATATATGCATAACACTCATGCTACCTGATTTGCATATCCCCCGCTAAAACGATATAATGCTCCTCACCCCCGTGTTCCTCCTATTCGCGGGGACCTACGCCGTTTTCCTAGTCCTGTGTTACATCCACAGCCAATATCAACACCACCGACAAGCAAAATCCCTGAACTGCGAATCCCCGGCCCGCGGCGGCGCCGGCTTCTTCGGAATCCCCGGTTTCATCAGGCTGACCAGAGCCGCGAAGGAAAAACGATGGGTTGATTTCATCGCAGAACAATACGATAACTACGGATATACATTGGGGCAACGGTTTCTGTCGCGAAGGTTGATTTCGACTATCGAGCCGGAGAATATTAAGGCGTTGCTGGCGACGCAGTTTGGGGATTTCAGTCTGGGGACTAGACATCGCGAGTTTTATCCGTTGTTGGGGGATGGGATTTTTACGTTGGATGGGGCTGGGTGGTCGCATGCGAGGGGGTTGTTGAGGCCGCAGTTTACGAGGGATCAGGTTAGTTTGTTGATATTTGGTGGTTTTAGTGGATGGAGATACTGACGAGACTCTGCTAGGTTGCCGACCTCGAACTCCTGGACGACCATATCCGTAACCTCGTCGGTCTGATTCGCGAAAACAGCGGTAGTTTCGACATCCAGCGACTCTTCTTCCTTCTGACAATCGACTCCGCAACACATTTCCTCTTTGGAGAATCTGTTGGATCCATGGGCTCCACTTCCGAGAAGACCGGTCTATTGGAAAAGTCCTCCGTCGGCGACGCACAAGGGTTCGCAGAAGCATTTGGTCTGGCGCAGGACTATCTTGCTTCGAGATCGCGAGCATCAGACCTCTACTGGATGGTGAACCCGAAGGAATTCCAAGAAGCGAATAAGCGCGTGCACGAGGTTGTCGACCACTATGTGAGGCTCGCTATGAAGTCGGAGAAAGAGAAACCACCGGGGAGTCGGTATATTTTTGCTGAAGCGCTTGCGGCTGAGACGTCGGATCCGAAGGTGTTGAGAGATAATATGCTCAATATTCTTCTTGCTGGTCGTGATACTACTGCTAGTCTGCTTAGTTCGGCGTTCTACTACATGGCCCGCCATCCTCATGTCTGGAACCGACTTCGTCACGAGATCGTCGAACAATTCGGTGATGCTGCGCAGCCCAAGGCTGAAATCACCCAAGCCAAGCTAAAGGACATCCCATACTTGCGATATGTCTTGAACGAGAGTACGTCCATCCCTCTTCTCCCCAATATACACATCTTTAACAATCACAGCCCTCCGCCTCCAACCCCCCGTCCCACTTAACTTCCGCGTCGCAAACAAAGACACCAGACTCCCCGTCGGCGGCGGACCAAGCGGAAAATCCCCCGTCTACGTCCGAAAAGGCTGCATCGTCGCATACAGCGTCTACGCGATGCACCGACGAACCGACTTTTACGGCCCCGATGCACACACTTTCCGACCAGAGCGTTGGGAGGAGAATGCGAGACGGGGATGGGAGTACCTTCCGTTTAACGGTGGGCCGCGGATTTGTCTTGGTCGTAAGTATCTACTTCCAAATTCATTTCCCGATTGACATGCTGACAAGGTGTCCGCAGAGCAATACGCACTTACCGAGGCTAGTTATACTGTTGTCCGGTTGATGCAGTACTTCGATACGCTTGAGAATGCGGATCCGGAGTCTGGAGAGGAGCCCGTTAAGCAGTCGAACTTGACGATGTCGCATGATCGGGGTGTTTGGATTAGGTTATCTTCGAAATGATCTAGGCATAAATTTCTTTTGGATACATATTTAGCTCAGAAAGCTTGAAATCTTATGATTCATGATTGATGGTTCAATCTACGTTATGTTTGTGTACTCTCGTTGAATGATTAGCGATGCGATAGTTATAGTAAAATTATTTTTCGAATGTCCGTTCTTCTGAAATGGTAGCACTGGGAATGATCCTCCAGGAGTATGTGTGTATGTTATGACACACCTTCTCCACCCTATGGATGTAGACTTTAGACATGGTCCATCCCAATCAGTGAATAGGCAAAAGACTATAGAATCGGATGACATACCCCTGGCAGTGAATGGCTACGACACAACCTCCGAATGTGCTGTAAAAATTACTCGACCTTCTTGATTCTCTGCTATCTCCCTCTCCGAGTCTTTCCTTTTTTCATCCACCAAGCAGAGAATGCCCCTATTTCCTTGATATTCAACACGAGACCTCTCTAAACAGTTTCCTGGACCAGGGACTAGGTTTCGCTCTTCGTGATGGAGTTTTCTTCCTAGGTTCCGCAAAGATGCATACCGGTGGTTCATGGTTTTGGGGGGGAAAAAAAGAGCCAGGATGATCTTGGTTCTCTGAGATACCCGCGAACCAGGATACATACAAAACTGCAGTTTGTGCTATATGTCAAAGACATCGATTTAACCGGATACCGGGAAGAACATCTCGCAGCGGCTTGAAGTAGGCATGGCTACATACCGAGATGCTATTCGATGCGTGTCCCATCTACAATAAAATTCTGGTACAGCGGTTATAACGATCTTTTGTCTATCCACAAATCCGCCTACTAAGCGAAACGGCGATACAAATACCAAACACGACAAGCAAAAAGACTGAAACGACCGTTTTCGAAGGGGATCGACTTAGTGAGAGGCACGGAAGATACACGTTGCCTTTGTAAAAAACCAGAAACCGAGGTTTCACGAATTCGCCTCGGCTACGACAATTCTTTTCTGGCACTGACTGTCAAAAATGCCAATCGAAATTCACGACTCCCATAACCACTCCATCGACGTGCTCCTAGCGGATATACCTTGATCCGTGAAGCCAAGGAGGCTACTGAGACCCGGGAGGTCGAACGGACTCTCGCAATCGAACATCTCGATGCTGACTGTAACCATGGTATTTCCAAAAGAATCTCAAAGTTGAGAGATCAAATCTGCGAGTTGAATACAACGACCGACAATAAGAGCTCCACACCAGTACGCCGATAAGATGGCCCACAACTGCGCGATAATCTGGATGGAGTGGGGAATCGCAGCGCAGGGAGTAGATGGCATTCTTTTCTAAAGAAGGATCAGAGATTTCAAGGATGGGCAGTGACAGCTGAACACAATGTCGACTATCAACGGGACCGAGCATCAGGGTTTTTCGAGAAGTATAAAGGAAGCGTAAAGCTGCCAGATGTATCTCTCTGGGGCCCTGTAACACCCCACTGTTCTTATAGAGAGCGCGTTCTTTGAGACGCACAAGAAGCTCCTGGGGGACAAGGACGTCTGGGTTATGGATATTATTATTTAATCAAGTTTCTTGTCCATATCGAGCCCTAAAGCTATGACAGACAATTTTCCATGAGCCCGAGGCCTGCAGCTAGCCTGCGGCCTCTTGTCCCTGTGAGTTTCTGAAGCAGACCTCCTTCTATCATCTTTCTGATTCTTTTCCTCGCCCCAAACCGCATGTATGCGCAGGGCTTTTAAGCAGAGTGCTCTCCTTGCGTTCTCGGAGCGGGGTGGGTGTGGCCTAGGCTGACTGTCAGCTTAGGCTACCCTCCCTGCTACCCTTCTCCTGCTCTACTAGCCTCCTTCAATGCTTACAGTCCCCATTCCTCGTCTTTCCAGGCTCCTGGTTCATGGGTAGAGATCCCCACGTGAAAGCCGTCATAATCGGCAAATTCTTTAGGGACAAGTAGAGTCAAAGGCGATGTCGAGTTATTCCGAAAGACCAAGGTGATGGATAAATTGAGAGATGTGGTTCTTATGTAAGGTTGATCTGGAGTGAGCCATGAGACAATCACTAATCTTGTGTCAGGTCTTGTTCCCAGATCCTGATCCACAGAAAATCCCCCTCAGACGATACGAGATCTCAGGAGGGGGTTTGGACAATGAGACAACCGGAACAGACAAGCTTTTATTTCCAATTTCTGCGCTCTGGGAGGACGTGCGAGAAAGCTTCCATCCGGAGGGCCTAGAAACGACGAGTGTTCCAAATAAACAAACCCACAAAACCGCAAGCAGGATTCGATAACTAGATCGACATTGGACTTGATCAACTAGAGGTATTGTTGTCCTTTACGCAGCCTTCATTTGATGTAGAAGTCTAATATTTCGACGGCCTTTCTTGTGGCCCATGGCCCATAGACAAAACGCGAAAGGAACCCAATACCAATATTTGCGCGAGCCGCTAGTCTTCCAGCCATGCATATCCGAGTGCACGATTGCTTGGTATACCCATGACCCCACCGTTCATACAAACGAGTGTAGATTGGTTTTTTCACGCAGGAGGAGCAGGAAGTGCTTGTGATCTTATCAGGAAAAAATACGCGCGTGTCCTTGCTCACTTAACATGACTATCGACAAAGAAGCCTTTGCAAAACTTGAATCCCTGTACGACAATTCAGGAAAGCAACCTAATGTATATGTCACTGTCGGCAAGCTCTTGCGTCCGACATTGCTTTCGAGATACAGGTTTAGTGCTGTGTAAAGGCTGATCTAGGGTAGACCTTGGAACAAGCCCCAATTTCGTGTCAGGGACTCTTTACGGACCCCGAACCAAGGTCCTAAATTCGGAGTATATCGAGATTAGATGGGAGATTTTTGGAGATCAGATCTAGAAGCACTGGGGGGGGGGGGGGGGGGCAGATAAGCTACGGCTTTGCATTGCAGGATTCGATCTGATCGACAGTGGATGGGGATGGTTCAAATCTGTCCGAGCTCTTTTCAAACTCGCTAGTCTATATTAACGTTCTATACTAGGGGTAACATCAACCAAGAACAGGTCAATCGGTGGTAGCGAGCAACGGCTAGAGATGGGAGGAGGCGGAAGGGTCTTAGCCCTGTAACTGGATCATCGTCAAGTTGCCGCATGGGACGGTATCGCAGGACGCGGTCATGGAAGCGCGATAATTCTTAAAAGACGTCAAAACCGATACGAGAAACTTCAACCCGAACAAAACGCTGCGCTACGGCCCTTTCGGCAGAGAGACCGCAGCGACCGCCGTCGAATTACTTGAGCAGGATCCCCACATAAAAAGGTCAAATGCCCGCATTGAATAGCCGCCTTCTCAAAAGTTTTCCCTGCGCAGCGTTCCGCCTTTTTGGGCTGACTGTGCTGACTTGGACTAGTCAATACTAGGGGATCAAACCATAACTACTGCGGGCTACTTCCGAAGCCACTTAAGATCCTTTGGAGTGGAACTATTGATACATTCCTTGTATGTAGCTCTAAAGGATCATGCTCAGTATCCCTGTATTATTCTCCATAGCATGGCTCATATGAGGCTGCGCGGGCCCGGCGAAACAAATCGCTGTGAAATACCCGAGGCACGTCAGTGGATCATAGCCCGATAGAAGCCAAGATACAGCATACAACAAGAGTATATATACGCGCGATCTGCGATGGCCATCAGATTCGAGGAGAAATAACGCACATAAGGATCTGCAAAATCTGATTAGCTGCCGTTAGGGCTGGGACACCCAGAAGGGAAAGTTTCCTTATCGGGAATGTGGGACCAGCGGCCATCGTGATCAACCACGGCAACATCATCTCTACCAAAAAGGGTCGTTCGACCAACTTCTATTAGCTCTATTGGATGCTTTTCTGATGTGATACAAGATTCGGGGAGATCAGCTGTGGCGCACAATGTTTGTTTTGGAAGTATATCTCGTCATGGACAGGTCAGCGAGTAGATATGTATACCGTGCCAGCTATCCGGTCAAGTACTCCCTCGACACATTCTTCTAGAGCAACCCTGATTTCACAATGCTGGCACTCCTAGTGTTTTTCGGCACAGCACTTGCCGCTATCCTCTACATCCTTGTCCTCCCCGTTGTATACTACTTCTACGACCCCAAAGGACTCCGAAAATACAGCAACTTCTCCCCCCTCTCTGGCCTCACCGACCTCCGCCATTGCTACCTCAGTGCCTGCGGCTACCGTTCCAAAGGCATATACAAAGCGCACAAGGAGACCGGTGCTCCCATCCTCCGTACAGGCCCTAACGCTCTCTCCTTCCGTGACATCCGCGCGATCCACGACATTTATGGCCACGGCACCAGATGCACCAAAGACCTCAACTATGTCATCCTAGGCGGTACGCATACCCAGCTCTTCGACGTGGTCGATAAGACAGACCACTCCCGCAAGCGCAAGAGGCTCTCTGCGGCTTTCGCGATCAAGAACCTGGAGCGGTGGGAGTTCAAGGTTGCGCATACCACGCAGCGGCTGCTGAACGCAATGGATGCGCATTGCACGAAGCCACTACTGCCTGGACAGACTGGTCCGGATTCTGCGGATGTAACACTGGATTTTGGAGAATGGATTTATTTCTTCACGATTGAGGCGATCAATAATATTGCGTTGTCGGCGGATTTGGGTATGTTGGAGAGGGGGTGTGATGTTGTCACTGCCCAAAGAATGGATGGTACGCTGTACCAGGCGCGGTATCGCGAGGCACAGAATAATTCTGCACTTGCTGGGGCCGTGTTCGTGTGGGACTATAAGCACTTTCCATTGCTTGCGAAGCTGTCCAAGCTGAGTCCTAAGTGGTGTGATGTTTGGAAAAAGGGAGAACCTTGGGGTGATATTGTCCATCACCAATCTGCCATCCGACTGCAGCAATACTTGGCTGGTGAGAAGCTGGATGACTTTTTCTCGTCTCTGATGGAGGATAAGCAAGGGAAGGCAAATAACCTCAAATGGGGCGAGATCATAGCAGAGGTCGGTGCAATAATCAACGCGGGCGCAGACACCACGTCTATTGCTCTGACGAACGTCCTGGAGCTCCTCCTCCACAATCCCCAACACCTCCACACTCTCCGCCACGAACTTGACAGCGTCCTCGATGAAGACGAAGTTACTGCCCCCTATGAAAAAGTCAAAAACCTCCCCTTCCTTCGCGCTTGTCTTGACGAGGGTCTCCGCATTTCCCCTCCCACCTCAGCTGGTCTCCCCCGCCGCACACCACCAGAAAAAGCGCAAATTCTAGGCCAATGGATTCCAGGCGACACAAGTGTTTCGATGACCATCTATGCCACGCATAGGGACTCCAACATCTTTCCGGATCCTGAAGAGTATAAGCCTGAGCGGTGGATGGATCCTGAGGCCAGGAAGCGGATGGAGCCGTACTTTACACCTTTCTCTTCGGGAGCTCGTGCGTATCTGGGAAAAAACATCACGTATTTGGAGCAGATGGTAGTGTTGGCTTCGATTGTGAGGAGGTATGAGTTTGCGTTGAAGTCGCCGGACTTCAGGCTCGAGCGGAGGGAGGCGTTTAACTTGCTTGTTGGGGAACTGCCCGTCAAAATTTGGATGAGAGAATTGGAAGTATAATTGCAACTCATGAAAGTAGTAAGATGGTTAAAATAGCATTGAATATAACTTGTTTTCTTTGACCGTAGTGTCAGGTGACATGTGCAAACAAACAAACAGGTCGCGCTCAAAAAGGACCTTCTACTTCCTCTATTACCCTCGATAACTAGCACTTTAAGCTTACTCACAACGGCTACTGAAGTTACGACTCGGACCGATACCTTCTAGACGATTATCGCCCTACTTTCAAGTTGACTGAACTGTTAATGACCTTAAGGACTTCCAACGCTTCCCATACAACGATAAGCGTTAGAGGTTTGGAAGCCATGTCAGTGAGGATGCGACACTAGATGGAGTCCCGGTCTTGGTTCTGTGGTTATACGCGCGGAAGAAAGGGACCAAAACCAAGGCTACATATGTTGCCAATGCTGTGAGTCGCTGTATTCCCAATAATTGTCTCGACAAGTTCTGTTCAAAGTCATGCAGAGCCTATTTCCCACAGTACCATAATGTCATAAGATACGTGGACCCCGGGAAGTTTTCAATTAACTACACACCATTGCCCCTTATGATCGTTTTGGAAGCTATAAAGCCTGAGCTAGCGTCACGGCGGATACTCTGAAAGTGGTCCAATTGGAGAAGCAATAGTCCCCGAGGAATTTTGTCAGAAACTGAAGGACTTCACACTTAGCGAATTCGAAGGCAGCTGGTAAATTGCTTTGTATGGCCATAGAATCCATCGTTTGTTTGCACTGCATGCCATAGGGATCATCCATGGCGACATCGAAGACCATCATTTATGACTTTCTGGAAACTTCTATGGCACCGTTCTTTATGACTTCTCAATCGCCTACACTTTCTCACCTTCTTACCCGTATCATATAAATTGTAAAAGCTCTAGACCACTGTCGGAACTAAGGGTGCGTGAACAGCAACACGCCGAGGAGACAGTCCTAGAACGGTGAGGGGGGATACTGAATCCGTGTTTGCAGTACTGACGTATACATATAGTGCCGAAAAGACAGACTTCCACAACCACCTCGCCGAATCGCTCCAGCTTAGCACAGAAGCCGTCACGGAACTTTGCACCCAGGCGCTGGATAATGAAGAGAATCATCTAGAGTTGTTGATGCTGAAGGTTATGCACCGACCTATCGGTTCGTACTATACAACCTCATAGTCTGGAAACTTGTGCTAATTTGTCGTTGAAATACAGCTTTTAACATGCCTTCCCTTGCCTCCATATTCCCTTTCCTGGAAGCCATTTGCCCAACCGATTCTCCCACCTGGCATATTAGCAGAGCTCGACTACTGGAGCATTACAATGCCGCATGAGTCCAAGTCGAACGGTCGAATGAGGAACCGTCATTGATCACCTTCCCTGACGATCTACTCCTTGTTCACGAAGTCCAGATAGTGCGAGAAGATGCTACCTTTATTTTTCTCCTATCCCCAAAATACTGGGATGTGAAAGGAAGCCAGCCAAAGCTCTTAGCAGTTTTTGCTGAGCTGATCCATGACTCGGAGAGACCAGGGACTGTGGTTACAATGCAGGAATTGGGCGAGCGTTAGGGACTATTGGGGGCAGAATGCCGGGGCTGCTAGGCGTCAATTTTTGAGGGTTTAACGGATGGCTATCTTTGTTTTCGTTGGCTGGGTTTCCAGTGAATAAGCAGCATCATGCCCTGTTTGTAAAACAGTAAGTAGAATTCTAGTTTCAGTTGTGTTTGTTTGCCAAAATGTATTTTCAGAAGAAAGAACGTCTATCCCTCAGTCAACAGAAGCCTGCCAGTTATTCTCTCAATATCAACCTCTCTCGAGGATTGTTGTTCATCATGGAGACCATCCTAACCATCCTCACGAAGCCCAATGTCAACCTCCACAGCTACCAGCGGCAATCAACCTTCACAGAACACAGTCGCTGGGATCAAATAGAAAACATAGCCCCCCTGGTCCGACTTCACATACCAAAACCTCATCCACCGCTAAGATGCAGAACTAAGCCGCCAAATGCTCTCATTCGATCCAATTCCTGTCACCACGGATGCCGACTACCACAAGATCTACAAAGAAAACGGTCTCGGCGTCGTCGCTGCTGCAAAATCCCGCATGATAGTGTCCTACGCTCTCCCAAACAACCTTTTCGTCGCCGCGAGCTCCAGATGCAATATCAAATCCAGCACGAACACGGACTGGGTGACTGGTAATGAGCACAAGTTTGACGGTAATAAGCTGAAGCCCTTGGTGCCCGGAGATGGTAAGTATTGTTGGGGCCATGAGGAGGCTTCTTAAGGTTTTTTTTTTTTGGAAGAGTAGAGACGGGTATGAGGCGAGGAGGCATAAGGTTATGAGGCCGGTGGAGCAGGTCCAGTATTATGGAACCCGCCATAATTGCCGCTTCGCCTGTGTCCAGCACGAAAATGCGTTGCTGCTGTTGTGTCTCCGTTTGGCAGCCGATGGAAAGAAGTCGCCGCGGCCCAAGCTAGAGGTTCAATCCGGGGCACAGTATCAGCGGACCCAGTCTAGCTCGACAACTTCGGATCCGAATTCTAGCGGTACCGAAGTGTCGAGCGACGGGTCTATGGTCCGGGAAGGTGCTGAGATTCAGTACGTGGCTGTCCCCTGGGTGGGAGGACGGGAGGATGGACTCACTATGAACCTGGCTTTGTGATGCTTGGTAATGCTTGCCAATGAGGAATTCCATCTGAAACAGGATTATGAGTCCCTGACACCGCCTCTTCCTCCACAAGTTCAAGCCTCTGAAGACGACTCAGTGATGGATGATGATATGGATGGTTATTCGTAAAGACCAGAGACCGGGGAAAGAAAGACAGAACAGAGAGACAGCAAATAAAAGGAACAAGGAGCGACATAGGGCATTGTTGGGGGAAAAGTCAAACCCGTGTTAGACTACATGAAAAACAGCCCTAAGCTCGCGCTCTCAATTCCCAAGCTCTCCTCAACGCCGCAATCGTAGCCTCAGTAGGCCAGGAATGCTCCACTTCCAAGCCCACCAAGACATCCACCAACGCTTCCTGCTCCTTTGGATTTTTAAAGTACTCCCCACACATAGATATCCCCACGGCAGACGTCACTAGCGCCGGTGGCATTTTTGGATTCGAAACGCCTAATCCAACCAGCCTTCTGGTGATAGATCGTAGCTCTGCCTCTAACGTCGCATTCGCGGACGACGCACCGAGACCGATGCGGGATATTGTAGGATTTGATACGGCGAGGAGGATGCGTGCGAGCTCGATGTGCTGCTCAGCCATGACTTGGCAAGAATTGATGTGCCATATGCGCGGTAAGAATATACCAGATCCGGGATCAGGATCTTCATAGTAAATAGGTCGAAATGCGTGTGATTTGTGTCTGCCATTGTTCTTCGAATTCTTTGAATATTTTCCATCGTTGGACTCTCTCCTCATGGGTCATTGGCTCACAACGGAAACAAAAATTAAGCAGACTTGCGCACCAAATGAGTATGCGATTTGTCCAGATAAAGTCGCTTGCCGTGTCGTCAAAGGCAATGCCAGCTTCATATGGACATATCGGGAGGCGGCAGGGGTGTTGGTGGAGACATGCACTCCAGATCTCTTGTCGGAGGGCGATCAGACAAGCAGAGTGGCCCAGTGATGGTGCGGGGATGTCATGAATACTGGCATTTCGTGGTGGACCGGCGATAGTTCTGTAGGCATAGAATGACTGGTTCCGTTGGGTGTTGATAATAAATTGAACGGCGGTTAGGTATGTTCCGGCGTCAGTTCCTGCGGATGGGGCTATAAATGGTCAGCGACGTAGCATTGTATGGGTGAATGGCATCTAGCATACTGTCAAGCTGTTCGAAGAAGCGCAGGATGGTTGCAGCGGTCAAAACATCCTCATTGAAGTCCCCGCTCGGATCATTCGAGACATGAATCAAGTACGATATGCAGATATCATGGTAGGCAATTACAGCGTCATACCGGATGTTAGGCAGTTGGATGCCGTCATACACGATCAAATTGTTGGAGTTTCGATATGGGCTGCATGGCCGGGTGAGATGCCCAGCCGATGCAGTAAGTAGAGCATAGCGCAGGACGGGACAGAACATTGCCCGTTCTGGTACCGTGTAGCAGAAATTATGGTCTCGATCGCTCGTGTCAAACTAACAATGTCAGTTTCTAATTAGCGAGAGCTGATTAATGCATACCCATGGGGCTAAGTCGTCCACAAAGTGTCGTATCAGGCATGCCTCTTCTATATTCGTCACGAAGGCCTGATTTGATGCAGAGTCCGGGAGTCCTTTCAGGGGACCTAAAGGGTACTTGTCTCGCTGCGGAGGATAAATGGATTGCTCCGGAGCATCATGGTTTTGTTCGATACTGGAAAATGGCAATAGTGCAAAATGGCCAGCGGAATGAGTGTTTTCGGGGGTATACAGTGGCCCCGGACTCGAGAAAACGGGGTCTATTTCGGGAATGGATGAGTGCTCAGTGTCATGAGCATCGTCGGGACGAGGACTGAAAGGGGCTATCGCCGCCCCATGGCTAAAGACGGATGTCTGTCTGGCTTTCAACTTGTTTGGATTATTCTGTGCATATTCCCGGCTCATGTCGACGTACTGAAACTCGCCTGTGATCTGATCAACACTTAACGAGGGCAGAACTACATCCACGAAGACTTACCATCCCTGGCCGTTCCAACCCATTCCTGACTGGGCGAAAACTTCAAATCCGGCTTTGGTCGAGGCTTGTGTGACCGGAACCTGATGTTCACCCTCGACAAATCGCATTTAATGTCGGACTTTTTGCATTGGGCACATGGCCTCTCTCTATTGCCTACAGAAATGTGTCAGTACCTAAGTCGTTGCAATGAGTACATCTTCCAGACATTTTAGATGACGCCCTAGCATATAGTTAGCAACTCCCTGTCCACGGATATCAAAAGAAGAAACTCACCCCTACATCGTCGACAAGCTGGCCCGCGACGGCCCATTGTATAACACTTTCTATTCAAAGTCACTGATACAGTTGTGAATAGTATACAGGTAGAGAAATGATTTATTTCTGGTTCTCTATTTCCGATATCTACCCGATGGAGTCAATTTCCGGAAATGCGGGGAAACGTGGGGAAACGTGGGGAAATTCGGGGAATGCCCAATCGGGATAGATTGTCTCGAAAGGGAAATTTTCCGTATTGGGTTAGCTGCAATTGGAACAACAAACACGATCTTGCCTCCGGTACAACTACATAAGGTCTAGAACGTAACCAATCTCGGATAGAAACTATTGAGTCTCATAGTGATCTTTTTCAAGGGCACCCGGCTGTCGAGGGCATGGACATAGGTGTTGCAGTTGTTCGTTGCCGCATCGTAGTGAGGGTTATCCTTAAAATAGGCCTTGGCTATAATAGACCGTTAACATCCGTCGCAGGTAATCATCGGATGGATATAACATTGATCGTTGGCAACTTGCTGGTATCCCCCAGTTTCTTCACTACCTTCCCAGAAACCTCGCCCACAAAATGCACATTTCTCTTATCCGTGGTGGGGTTCCACTTCCGCGTGTCATAAGTGACGGGGTGATAACTCCCGTCTTTGACGCCCAGGTCCCATTGCATAGGTTTGCTGAAGTTCAGCTCCTCCCTTTTGTTCTTTCCACCTCCCTTCGTAGTCCTTATCACCTTACTGACGGCGTAGTAGATGTGCTGGTAGCCAAGCTGCTTTCATGCCTCATTGATATGAGGTGGCCTCCTCTTGAGCGCTTCCTTCATCTCTGACAAAAGCAGGATCCATCCTGTACAACAGCTTACAATACCTCTCACAAGCTCCCTTTTCTCATAGACAGCCACTGCCAGAAACCTTGAAGCACCGGTTGAACGGGATGAATTTCAATACATCGCCAAGGAGCTTAATGGGAATGATGTTAGTCTTCATGATCTTATAATTCCTCCGGAAAACTTCATGCCTTGGTCAAATTGCTTCTCATCGCTCAGCTTGGGCATTGTGATATGCTCCCAGACGAGCAGCTCCTGGAGCTTGACTATGTTGCAGACTGTGACGGCTCAACGACCAGGCAAACAGTGCCAACATGCCAAATGATGCCATACAAGCAATCAAGGCAAATGGAGTACTAGCCCTGCCACATAAACATCTATAAAACTCCTTCATCATCTAGATAGATTTCTCCTTTCTTCTTCTTCTCTCCAGATTCAATATTCTAATCGATGGTTACCTAGTTTAGATAGGAATATCATTTTGTCAGTATCTACTAGTCCGAGCTCGTGACACGCTCCACTGCGGGTTCGGAGCGGATTGGACAGGATTTTGCGGGTCGTAAATACCACTCTTTAAGGGATAACCAAAGAGTTTATTCAAAATGGAGGGAGTTTAACAGCTGCAGAAGTCAGAGAGCAAGCTCAAGAAGTTGCTCAATAGAAAGAGGAAGAGGTGCAACATTCAAGGCCTCACAGGCCACCAAGGTGCAGTAATTGTAGTGTTACTGGACATAATAGGCTAAAATTCCCAAGCAGATAACTTAATTGATATTAAATGGAAGAATACACCAGTTTAGTGGCGATTAAAAGCGTCAAAACTCATGGCGTTGATATTTCGTGGATTTTGGAGCCGCTCGGTGGTTGGCACTAGCTCGGTAATGGATCACGTATGAACAGGGAACTTGATTAAATAATAATAATTATAATCATAACTGTCTCCGGGGTGCAGACAATACATCAAATGATGTCAACAAGACCTCTACAAACCACAGTGCTCTGCTAATATATTAAACGCCGTCGGCAACAGAAACCATTAGTCATTTGCCGAGTCAGCTACCAGCGCTGATCGTGATGATATTAAGGTTCATGATGGCCAGGGCAAACAATTTCCCATGCCACTTTCACTGGACATCGGATAGCTCGGCAAATTCAGTCAAGCGATTTATATCCACCATTAGCTTCGAGAACCCGACTAGGAGCGCGGAGAGCATAGGTATCGTTGCGAGTGCTGTCCCGTATGAACCACCGATATCTAAGACGGCATGAATGGTGTTGTTGCGGTACAGATTTCGCACGGCGGTGATGCTGTAGGGTATTAGGGCAGTTTTTTATATCGGTTATCAAGTTCACTCATCAGAGTTGCCATTTCTATAGGCCCGAGAATGAGATTCAATCTCCTTTTGCAAATGCGCAAGTGGCTCAGGGGCACTTGCACTGGCAACTTGGGGCTTGATCTCTAGCAATTAGCGAGACAATCTGCTGCAGACTAATAAAAGAGTTTATTAGTCTTCATTTATTCCGCCTTGGGGATCAAACCACCCAATAATAAGCGGACCGCTCCCCGGTCAAGTTTAGTGATTGGTGCCTGTTGATCTAGGATGAAAGCTTGCGCAATCTGCTGGGATCGACGCGCTCAAGCCTACAAGTGGTTGCACCTAATTACATTGGAGGTAGGTGGATGCCCCGCAGGATCGTGGTGGCTGTCACCACTGCACTCAAATTGCAAAGTGGATCTCTTCTTCTCCGTGTGAATGCAGGATCCAACAACCCCAAGTTTTCCCTCCTCTTGCCATTCTGCAAAAGACCTGTAGCTCCTTCAAAGACTATATAGACTCTGGTGCCCTCCAGTTGTCAATGGTTGTTCAGATCTTGTGATAGCCCACCGCCCAGTATGGCGGGTTCTACCATTGACGCTGCCAAAACGAGTAGCAAGAGCCGGGAGTTGATGTCGGTGATGTGGTCAATGACTACTCTTGCCACATTGCTCGTGGTTACTCGTTTATGCGTTCGGCAGAGAATGTTACGCAACTTTGGGTTTGACGACTGGTTGATCGGAGCATCCATGGTGATTATTCCAGCCATTTTGCCTTTGTCTAGCACCTCCAGATCAACCTATCTGACATATGAGGGTACTCCAGATCTTCGATTTGATTTCTGTTGTGACAGCGACAATCTCTGTGGCGTATGGATTTGGACAACATACGGCCAGTCTTGAGACACAGGCCGTGGAGAAAGCCCTCCTGTGGACCATGATCTCATTCATCTTCGGAATCATATCATTCGCGTTACCAAAGCTCGCCGTTGCCGCTCTGCTCCATCGAATCATGAACCCAACCTCCATTCAACGCATCATAATGTGGGGTCTAGTCATCCTGGTGGCTGTCATTGCCACTGTCAACATCTTGATTTATGTTACCATGTGCAATCCACCACAGGCACTCTGGAAGAGCTCAATGGTATTGAGCGGGGAGGCCACGTGCAGGAATATTTCGATTCTTATAGATTATGCTACGTTCAACGGAGGTGAGTGGAATTCAACAAATCTGCCAACAGTGACTGATGAATATCCGTAATTAGCGATCTCTGCATTTGTCGATCTCTTTCTCGCAATCTATCCCGCGATCATCCTGTTCAAACTTCAAATGTCATTACGCAAAAAGATCGCATTGACTGCTGCGCTTGGCCTGGGCTCGATGTACGCACAACTGACATTCACCCCATCTCTTGGCACTTAAAAGCCCTAACAAGACGGTTCTCTCTTAGTGCGGCTGCAACTGCCATGGTAAAATGTGCTCAGATAAAGGGTTTAGTAAACCAGGCAGATGCAACCTGTGAATTCTCCCTTCCAACAGCCAATGATAATTTACCTTCAAGCGCTAATATTAAAACCAGATAGCACTGTACCTCTTGTACTTTGGACGAAGTAGGTGACTCCGTTTCGCGGATAATGATGCCATAAAACTAATAATGCCGTAGTGTCGAGGCCAACGTCGTTATTATTGCAGCCTGTATCCCAACATTACAGCCGATGCTTGAGCTTATTCTGAGAAAGCTGAAACTGATTTCCACAAGCAAGGGTACCTCCAAGCCATCATCTTATGCACAACACAAGATATACGACAATCAGTACAGCTCAAGGGCTCAAGTGTCGAAAAAAGAAAGACCAACTCTTCTTTCCAGGAAGGAGAGTCAGGAAAGTATCCTGAATGACCTGGACCAATGCCAGATACGGTGCACAGATGAGGTTTATGTTGAATATGAGATGCAACCAGTGAAACAACCATCTCCAAAGTAAAGCCTTCGTTACTGACAACCAAACTTTATGATATACTGAAAAATAATATAGAACTTAGATTTTAATTAAGATCATTTGGCATCCGTTGGACTTGACGTCCACCAAGTCAATTTGAAATGTTGCCGAGCAATTCAACGCCCAATTCCAACGACTTGATATACTGGTCCTCAACGCCAGTGTTATGTCTTTGCCCCCTGGCGAGACAGAAAGACCTTGTCAACGGAGGATATTATATTTCTGTTGGGCATTTGAAACCACACAATAAGTATGCACGAATGTTCGTGGCATACGACCACAGATGCCAGTGAATACATGACTTGAATGAGAGAAAGATATTCACATATTCACTTACAAAAAGTCCCTCTTCATAGGGGTTTTTACTGAATCGATACTGGGAAATATAATTGAATCGTAAAACTCATAAATTGCAGCCGATCTAAATATTAACACCAAGATATTAAAAGTACCGTCAAGATCCAACAGGTCTATATACAAATATTAGGATATCAACTTTTCATCACAATCAAAAAGAACAAAACAACCCCAGAAGAAAGAAGATAAAAAAGTCTAAATGTCTAAGCGCGCTTCCCCTCAAAGCCCTCAGCAGGCCATCCTTGCAACGTACTTCCATCCTCAACATGGTCACCCGAGAGAACCAAAGTATGCTCGAGAAGACAAGCATCCTCGCCCATCGAAGCACCGGACATCAACCGCGATCCAGCGCGCATGATACTCCGGTCCCCAACGCTCAAAGTGTGCAACTCGAACTCACCACGCGAGTTCAAGTGGCAGACAAGACTGGAGTCGTCGACGGCGACACGGTCACCAAGAGTGAGGAGGTCAGGCTCGGTGAAGAAGATGTTGGGCGTGCCGTTGGCGTGGATGGAGCAGTCCTGTCCGATCTTCGCGCCCAGCAGGCGGTAGTACCAAACGATGTAGGCAGAGCCCGTGATCATGGGCAGGAGACCGCCGCCGTAGCAGTCCTTGATCATGGTCTCGCAGGAGAGCAGGAATTGCCAACGCTGGTTGTAGCTGCTCTTGTCCCAGTGGAAGGTGCCTTCCTTGCGGCGGCCCATGACCATCCATTTGATAGTGATAACGATGCCGAGGGCGATAAAGGCCTGTGCGGCGCTGACGCCCGAGAGGATTGCAGCGAGCACGCCGTACAAAACGAATGGGCGCCAGGGGCCTTGTTGGAAGCCGACGGCGTCGCTGTGGGTTATGGCAGCGCGGAGAGCGAAGAGAGAGAACAAGATGGTGAGGAGCCAGTAGACGGTGGTGATGACAACGGAGAGAACAGAGTAGATGACGATTTGCCAGATGCGGAGAACGTAATAGTTGGATTCGTGGCGGTAGAAGGCGCGGCCGAAGGGCTTGCAGGTGTCCTTTTCGGTGACATTGGTGTCGGTGATGGTCTTTTTCTTGGAGCCGAGCGGGGTCTGCTTCTCGTTGGGGGTCTTCTCGCCGGCACGCTTCTCGTCTTCGCTGTCGCCGTTGGCGCTACTGCTGCTGCTTCCGACAACGGTGGGAGCAGTCGAACTGGGCAATGGGGTGTTGGAGCCGGGGAACTGAACGGCATCACCACCCTTGCTACCAGTCCAGACGGTGTTAGCCGGATAGTCGCCGTTGCGGCGGAGCAAAGCACCGGAACCAATCATGGCCTCGCGACCGATGGTAACACCGGGCAGAGCAACACAACGGTCACCAACCATGGTGCCATCACCAATCACAACGCGGTCACGGCCGTAGCCATCCGAAGTGACAATGTTCGAGCGAGAACCGAAGACAACGTCGTTACCAACCTCCACAAGGTCAAAGTCCGGAACAGCGGGACCGACACTGGGCCAGTAGATGCGCTTGCCAACCTTACCACCAAGGGCACGGATCGCCATCGAGACGAGTTCGTAGTGACGACCGATGAGACGGGTGAGTTCGTGGATGTCGCCAGAGGGCAAGATTTGAGCGAGCACAGCACTGCGCACCTTCTGGCGGGTAGTCTGCTTCGATGCAGGACCAGGCTTGGGCTTGCCGCAGATGAGATCGAGCAAAGACTTGACAATCAAGACTGTGAGGAATAGCACGATCGGACCACCAACAGCACGGCAGATCTTCGCAGTGATGTGGAAGCCAATCCGCTGACCCTGCGTGAACCATTCCAGCGTGGCCAGGAACATATCAGCCGCGGGAACGGGGTACTGGCGCACCATGGGCACAAGACCACCCATCCAGGTAAGACGGGAAGCAACCCAGACGATGATCTTGAGTGGCTCGACAATGAGCAAAGTCCAGATCCAGTGCGGACCGGGGATACGAGAAGTGAGCAAGTCGCGGTTAGACTCGTCAGCGTCCTGGAGCTCCCAGCTCGACGAGTTGGGACCGATGCAGGTGTTCTCGGGGATATCGGCACCAGGGGCGACGATGGACTTGATACCAACAGACGAATCCTTGCCGATACGGATGCGCTTCAGAAGCATGGAGGTGTTACGCTCCACGGCGAAGGGACGGACCTGGCACGTATCCAAGACGACGTTGTCACCGATCTCGACGAGATCGTACTCACCAATCTTGGCGGATGGCGCGAGAGTGACGTTTTTGCCAATCTTAGCACCGAGCAAACGGTAGAAGAGAACACGAGACCAGTTGTAGTTGTTGAAGATACCCTTTCCGCACACTTGTAGCGCCTTCTGGGTCAACCACCAGCGGGTGTGGTACGGTCCCCACATGGGGAACATGCCCTCCTTGTAGCGACCGATGACGAGCCACTTGAAGATGATACCGCAGAAAGGAGACACAATGGAACCACCGACACGGGCGGCCAGCACAGCCAGAACGATCAGAACAAGACGACCGATGAGGACCTCGCGAATGGGGAACCGGGTCGAGCACTCAGCCATGACGTACGCAAACAGAAGCCACTGGAACGCACGCTTCATGGGAGCAAAGAACATGATCGGGAACAGATGCAGGACCAAAAGAATCGGGTTCGTGCTGCTGTAGGTCTTCTCGCAACCGGGGAGTTCGACTTCCCCTTCGTCGCCCTTGGCAGCCTTGATCTCGACGGCCTCGGTGATCTTATGCTCCATGTCACCAATGGTGCTGTTGTGGAACAGAATGTCACCAGCCAGGAAGATACCGAATTCGCGACGGAGTTGTGAAACCAAACGACCAGCGCTCAGACTGTCACCGCCAGCGGCGAAGAAGTCGGTAAGCGCAGTGATGTCCTCGGCGGCGCAAGACAAGGCGATAGCGAAGATCTCGCGGACGCGACGCTGAATAGGCGACAAATCACCGTCCGAGTTGCGAGCGCGGATGGCATCGTCGATGGCGGCCTGGTTGGGGTTGCCAAAGGGATCAAGAGGCATGGGGCCCTCGAGGGGAGTGATGCGGCTGGGGATGAGGTAGCCATCGAGCTGGTCGTGAAGGTCATCGGGTGTGACATGGTCATCGTCAGGATTATCGACAAACAGAACAGCCTGCGCGAACCCGTCGCGGGGGTGTGTCTGGATGTGCACGTCGGGGGTGCCGGCCATCTCGGTCAGAACCGAGCGGATGATGTTGTCGTCGATGACACACTGCTGCTGCGGGATGGATGCACTGAGCGGCGTACCGTTGGGCGGGCAGACAGCCTCGTAGTGCCGGTCGGCCAGAGGCGTGTTCGGGGTGAGAGTCTCCAAGCCTAAGCGCTGAGCAAGCTTGATACGCTGGATCTTGTTGTTCGACTTTGGCACGCGGTCCATATACACAACCACAGCGGGCCACTTGGGCTGGTGGATGATTGGGTGCAGCGCTTCGTTCAGCTGGCGAAGATCCGGCCTGGTCTTGCCGGGGGGTGTAACGATGACCGCACCGACAACTTCCTGCAGGACCTCGTCGGGGGCAGAGAAGGCCAGTGTCTCAGAGACGCGGCCATACAGCGGGGAGTTTGGATCCTTGGCCGCGGCCAGCACGGCGTCTTCCACTTCAACGGGGGAGATAATTTCACCACCACGGTTGATAACCTCCTTGCTGCGACCAGTGATGTACAGGTAGTTGTCGGCATCGAGGTATCCCAGATCACCAGTATCAAACCAGCCGGATTCATCAAATGCACTGAGATCGATCTTGCCCTCGGGGGTCAGATAACCCTCGAATGCAGGCGATCCACGAACACAAATGTGACCGAGCATCTCGGGCCGCGCAACGGGCTTGCCACCCTCGAGAATCGCAACCTCGGGACCAACGATCCGTCCCGAAGTTCCCTGGCGATCAAGAGTGTAGTTCTTCGGCGGTGCAGCAATAGGCATGCACTCCGTCATACCGTAACTGGGGAGGATAACGCAGCGGAAGGTATCGCGAAGCTGCACGGCAAGCGTCGGCGGAAGACCACCACCAGCGTTACAGATGAACTGGATGACGCTTTGCTTGACAGCGTCGGGACGGTGCTCGGCTTCGCCAAGGATCATCTGGTGCATCGTGGGTGTGGCGTAGTACCAGGTTGGTGTCATGTGAGGGCTTTCGACGGCATCCCAGAACATGCTGGGGTCGAAAGAAGGACAGCAGATTGTGGCGCCACCGGCGAGAAGGGGGGAGAAGATACTTCGGAGAATACCACCGCTGCTACTGTTAGTATTTTTTCCTCCATCTTGGTTTGAGAGAGGGGAACTTACACATGGTTCAGCGGCATCATGTTAAGACAGGTATCGGTTTCCGTCAGTTCCACCGATTCCATGGTGGCCATGGTACCCGCAATGAGGTTGTAAGTTGAGATAGGAACCAGCTTCTTGTTACCACTGGTACCACTGGTAAAGAGGATAATGGCAATGTCGTCCCCGGCATTCGGGGCGAAGGCAACTCCACTAGAAGCATGTTGTGCAGAAACCACCCGGAAAGTCAAATCCTCGAGTGGCTCAACACCAAACACCGGCCGACTACCGTTGTCCAGCTGCAGCTTGCCAATGTCAGCGTCCAGCGCGACAACAGCATCAGCTTGCACCTGCTCGATATCCATGTGCAACTGTTCCGGCACCGTGTTCGGCGCCATAGGCACAATGGTGTACTTGTTCGCGAAGGCGATAACAGCGACTGCCATGAGAGGGCCGTTAGGCAGGATGACAGCGACACGAGGCTTGCCATGGCGAGAGGGCCCCACGGGCAACTGGAAGTTCTGCACAAACTGCCGGATGGCACCATGTGTCAGGTTTCGTCCAGTGCTGACATCGATGAAACCGGGGCGGGAGTCTGTCCCGATCAGTTCGGCGACGTTGGGGGTTGCTGCCTTGACTTGTGCGCGGAGGCGGGTGATGAATTCATCGTTGTTGGCCTTGAGGGATTCGGGGAGGGCTTTGTAGATGTCCTGGAAGCAAGGGAGGAGGTGACGGAGGGACCAGGGACCGGAGTGTGAAGAGAGGAGGGCGGAGAGGTGGTGGGCAGAGTCTGGATGAGCGGCCTCACTGCGGAGGCGAAGTAATTGTTCCATGAGGCTATGCGAGAGTCAGTATGGGTGGAAAGAGACTTCAATAAAAGTAAAGAAACATCAATACATACGAAGATCCTGGCGAATCCGCCATAGTGTACCATGTGAAGAAAAAAAAATAATAAATTCTCCGCTGGTCAAAAGACAACACACGTTTTCTATAGATCTTGCGCAGTCACACATGAAAATGGGGGTCCCTTCACGTCTTATATGGCTGACGCTGCACCCTGATAATGCACACGATCCACTGGTAAATTGCAAATTACGGAGTACATCGAGGACCCTATTGCGTTTGCGCGTTCTCCATATGGGCGGGACACTGGGTCAGACCATCGCTCAGATTGCTTGGCTCAGGTTTTCCATCACAGCTGAACTAGATGGGATGGCACCAGCCCAGAGAAAGGGCAATTGTTCCGTCGTCTATTATTCCGTGGCTGTCAGCTAATCGGAAACCTAGAACATTGATAGACATTGTTCGGCGCAGGCCCGCAGACAGCGAATGTCACAACCTGATCCCTGTTTAGAGTCTATCGAAATTGAGTTTCTGTTTTTTCTTTTACTATTTGGACCCTTCCCTTCTTTTGCCTAATACGGTATTTACAGGGTGATGATCATAGGAGGCGATGACCCCAGCTATCTACTCTCGACATTATGTCATTTGGCGGGCTCCAACGTGATTATCGATGGTTTACACACTCTTTCATTTGCTTCGTATGCTCCACGCAATCTAATACCTCGGTGGCCATAAATAACAAATCCTTTTGCATCCTTCTGCACCAGCCAGACCACCGCCAGATGAAGTGGCCGCACGTGTTCGCAGGATCGTCGCTGATCGGCAACTTAGGGCTGGATCCATACCGCAGATCACGTGGGCCTGCGACGGTGGCTTCTTGGCGTGGGCTTGGCGATGCTTGGCACTCGGCCCCTATTTTTTGGGCCACGGAATATGGGTCACCGAGTACTCCGTAGGCCAACGTGTATACAGCGACAAGAGCTGACAACCGAAAAAAAAAAAAAGCAATAAAACTATTAATTCCTCCAAATCGATAGTATACCTGAATGGTCCGAAGTTGATATAGTGATTCCGCTCAGCTCTTCCGCTGAAACCCATTCCTGTATCTCTTAAAACCCGACACGGAGTCCGTACTCGTGTACGGAGGGCCACGGAACGGCCTATCAAAATTTCTGATGGGCCTCCAAAGGGGGCTCCGAGGAAAGGGGAGGGAACCCCCAAGGTTCTGTCAATCACTGACATCTAATTCGGGAAACACTGCCCTGCTTCGGTTCGTCAGCCTGGGGATTTTACAGAGTAACTACTGGGGCGATCAACGACTAGTTTTCGGGTCATGGCCCACAGTATGATTTTATTGAATTTTAATGGTTTCATAGTGACAAAATAACTCATGGGCTGAAAACTCTGCTGTAGGGCAGTCGGTGTGGTTTCCCACTGGCTTTTCGGTCGGTGTACGTATCTAATATTATTTCTGCATTTTTTTTTTGTGTGTGTTAGTATATTTATCGACACTTTTTGTGCACCCGGCGTCTCCGTATTCAGGGTATATCAACCCCGGGCAATCCTCCAATGATTGCTGCCTGCCCCGAATATTAACACCAAACCGAAGTCCCCATAGGATCATCAGGACCCGTCTTGGCTCGGGTTACATTACGCAACGTTCGGCTAAAGATTCCCCATGCCTTTATCAGATTTCCAGAGCCGAGTTATCATTATCAATCAACAAGCTTCGCCATTCTCGGTACCAAATAATATACTGTTTCGGTACCCGGAGTACTCCGGATTAGAATATTAACGGGTTATCTGTAGGAAAAAAAATCCCACCATACAATCCCGGTTGGATTTTATCGGGGTCTCGGGGCCCCAATTGTTCTTCCTCGGTAGGCCCGGTTGTCCGAGCGGTGTGTATGTGTGTGTATGTGTGTGTGTGAGTGTGAGTGTGAGTGTATGTGCACTTTGAATCAATAAATTCATGCAGACTGGATAGTGCGTGATGGATCTATTATATTCATTGGGTTACATGTCAGATCTAATAATTGGCTTTTTTCTTTCTTTTTCTGTCTATTGCTTGTTAGGACACTGAATCGAAACTAATTCAGCTAACACGCACGTGATAGCCAATGGAGACTTCCGAGGGAAAAAAAATTTAGGAAAAAGAAAAAACTTGACAGATAATGCACCTACGCAATTTGCCTCCCCCCTAACCATCCAATCGTCCAACCGTCCATCGATCTCTTAACCAATACGGTAGTGGCACCGGCTGCTTTCGTAGCCCCCGTGGGATGCACGGAATGTCTACTGGTACCTCGTGGGTACTCGCTACCCTGATGCACGTGCAATAGGGGTCCTACAGTTCAACGCCTACGCAATTGGGTATAATGACGCGATAAGGGTGACCAGACCCGAGTTCCCCCCGAGCCAGTCTCTGTCACGCGAAATGAGTGCCTGAATGGGTACCTGAACTTGACTTGACATTCCAAAGAAACTTCCAGCCGGGTGTTTCGGAAATTCAAAATCTAGCTGAGATTCAACCCTGTCGGTAGGAGAAAAAGAAATCTCGTAGAAAAAAGAAAAGAAAAAATGAAAAAAAAAAAATCAGAAAGTTTGTCTCATGTCCATCACCCCGTGTCAGTGTCAGATCCAAACACCAAAAAAGTAGAACAACCCTGTCGTCTACTCGACTCTTTCGAGTCGTTTCGACGAGATGTCAGGCTGACTCTTTGGCCAACGAGATCTCAAACCCACGAAACACCATAAACTTTGTCCATGCAGCGTCAACCTGTTGTAGGGCGGTGGCAAGATAACTTTATACTCTCGGTGGGCGAATGAAATCCATGGATGCCATGATCCAGAAGGATTCATTCCTTTTCCACTGCGTGCTTTTTACATGCTCACGGATGGTTATAGTCCAGCCATTCAGCGCCTGGCATGACTTCGGCATTTCGAGCGTCAGGCTAAACAAACTCTGGAACCTTATTCCTAGGAACTGAATCAAACAGCGTCCTGGGGACCTTTTCGACATGCAGACAAAGTGCGGAAGGAATGGCCTCCCGGGGAGGCTTGAGCGGTTTAGGGTTCTAGCGTCTAGGCCTGCATAGGGTGGATTGTGGTGTGGCGTCGGCCGAGAAATCTCTTCTTTTCTTCATACTGGAGTGGCATCGGCGTCTTTGCGGGTTCGTGCTTGGTGGAGAGCTCTGTCTGCTCATCTTTTGGACGTTGCTGCTCAATTGCACCGTGCTCTGGACCTGTTCCAATTCTCACCGGTGGCAAAACTACATACTACAGCTGAAACAATGACATAGCTGCTCAATCAATTTATACAGCTAAGCCTGTCCAGCTTCCTTTTCTAGAGTATGCACAAATCTAGACACAACCGGCCCAGGTCGCTCCCGACGAATCGAAACCCCGTTAATGACATCTGCCTGATCCCATATGCACCTCGACAATCATTTACAGTATCGCACAGCTCAGACAGGCTCTCCAATACACAACATATCTGATGACGAGGTGTATGCCACCAGGGGCGTAGACGCAGACGCACTGATCAACAGCTCTGCGTATCACATAAGCATACGGTATCCAGTAATACTGTAAAACCCCGTTATAAGCAACTCCGATATAAGCAATACTCCATTATAAGCAACTGGCCACGCTGTCCAAATTACAACTCCATATAAAATTGCTTAATACTCCATTACTAGCAAGTTGCTTAAATTCTCCCCTCCTCCAATACAAAATTGCTAATATAGGAGTAACCAAAATAGGCTATTTTGACTTCGTCCCTCCCTTCTGCAATGCCAAAGCAA